CAGAGGAAGCGCAAAAAGGGAGGAGGAAAAGCCACGCGAGGAAAATGCGATGGGAGGGGGGTGATGAAAAAGGGCGGACACAGGGAAAAAAGTTCCACTGTTCGGAATCGGAGACTGGGCATTTGTGTTATCGGTAATTATTTTGCCACTTTTTCAAGTGCTCTCGCCACTTTCGCCACTTGACTCGCGACTATTCCCGCATCCCTGCTCCACTTTGCAACCACCCCCCCCTTTCTACCCTCCTTCCTTCTCCTCCCCTTTCCCCTCTCCCATTCTCCCTTGTCCAAAGTCCCAAGTCGAACTAAGCTTATTTACCCATTTTTGCTAATGGCATGGGAGGAGCCCGTCGGACAACGGACCGAGAAACATATAGCTGTGCAGAAAGAGATGGGTAGAGAAGTGTGGGAGGGGGACAGCACAAGCGGGATGGAAAGAAAGGGAAAAGTGGTCCTCCAGAGGCAGCTGCAGTAATGCGATAAAACTACACTTACAGTGGTCCCCCAAAAAACGGAATAACTGTCTGATGGAAGGGAACACAACTAGTCTTAATTATATTTAATAGCTATATAGCACTGATTTTGATTTGAGAAATTGAAGCCAAGAGCATTACAAATGAATTGGTATTTAATTACAGAAATCGAAGAAAATAAATTAGAAAAAAACAAGAAACACCCGTTAAAAATGGATTCAAGTTAAGTTGTTTAAGGCATTTTAAATCGTTTTGGCTCACTGTGCTGGCCCTTTGTCTTTGTAAGCTACTCGAATGTTTGCCATTTGGAGCTAAAACAGAAAACAGAATGCAACTGCTAACATATTTGACCCAAGTCGGAGTCCCTTCCTCCTTCCAAGATTCCGAGATTCCGAGATTCCGCCTGCTTGAAATCCAGCTGTGGCACGCGTTTGTTTGCAAACTTGATGAACTATTCACTGGATTCGGTGTCTTACTTGCTGCCCGATCTGTTTTTCCCGCTTTTCCTGCTCTCCTGCCTTCTTGTTTTCCATCAAACAGCCTAATCCCATCAGTACTCCCCTTCTTCGCTGGCAGGATATAATTCGAATTGGCCCAAGGTCGGGCCGCGAAATATAAACCCAGTTGATCACTCAATGCACTCAATAATACCGACAAGTTTTTCAAGACAAGACACGAAGTATTTGTTAGAAAACATCTCCTTGGCAATATTATTAAAATTAAATTATTGTTAATACATATTAAATAAGTCAAGCAAACCCCACTTACCTACACTCAAAATGCCCACTATTAGCAAATTATTTTAACACAAATTATACACATTCTTATTGTAAATGTCAATTCTGATATATTATAGTCTGTTCCAAACAAACTTTAAAATATCATGTATATTTCAAAAAACTTATTAAGAGAAATCCATTTTTATCGTATTAATTAATTTTAATATTTAATTTACCAATTGTAACATAACATCTTTATTGCTTTTTTCATTACTTTTGAAGCGAATGAGATAAGTTATGATTCTTAATTAAGTTCATGGCTTATATATTCACATCTTAACTTGAGATGATATATTTAAATACATTATTTAAATCGACCAAGGGATTTTCCTCTCTGTGTGAGCGGCCTGGGTGTTGTGATTTTAATTTTCCCACCCAGCATTTCGGTTAATCTTTTTTCTGTGTTTTTTGCGTACTCGTGTCGCACTTATGTATCATCATTTGTTTGGCTCTGATTTAATACTAGCAATGACACAATGTTGACGCCGGCCGAGGACAGGCAATTTAACTACGATGTCGCCACTGCAGCGCGTCAAGGACGTGGGCCTGACAGCCGGATGGTCACCCCAGCCCTCCCCCCTCCCCTTCTCCAACCACCCCCTCATCAACGGCCAGGACCGCCCGTCGCCCCTCAGTCATCCCGAGTCCCATTAGACGTGGGCTTTTGTCTTTGCTATCATTATCAACACCCTGCCATGCTGCGTTCTTTTTTCCCCGGCTCGCTGCTTATTTTTCTTATTCTTAGACACCGAAAAAAATAATAATAAGGTTAACGTTGCGTATGCGTAATTAAGACGCCACATGTATTGCGTATACGCAGCGTTGGCGTATTAAATGCATTTTGTTACCACTAGATTTATTTTAAAGAGTTAAATTAATTCTTAAAAACTATATATTATTCTTCATACCAAAATAAACTTAATTCATCTTTAAAAATAAAATTATAAATCCTTCCTAAATATTTATGGGTAACAATAACACCCAATTTTAAAACGAACTTATTAATTAATTTTCCCAGTGTATCTGTTGGTTTATGAGACGTTTTGTTGTTGCTTATTTTGCTTTCGTCTTCGTTTCCACTCAGTTCAAGTGTTTTGCATTTCATGCTTGGCACAAGAATCAAGTGAGAATATATATTGCCATGAGGATGATAACCTCAATAATACCCTGTCAACATGCCTACCATATGTGAGTCAAAACGTGGCAGAGATCACTTAAAACAACAAAATTATATTTATAGGATGCCTTTAAATATGTTATATTTTGAGAAAATTCCTGTAATAAATATGTACTTTGAAAATACAGGACATTTTATTTAAACGAAATAATACGGTTTTATAATTTTTGTTTTATTACAAATAATTATAGTAATTTTGTTGCAAACATAATTTCTGAAGTTGAAAAGGCAATGTCCACTAAATAAGTATTTTTGATATAAGTTAAATTTGTTTACGTTTTAGTAAAATGCAAGAGGTGTAATTAACTGCCTTTGAATCCATGTTCTTTGATTATTTTAATAAATTGAATTGAGGCATTTATTAAAAATGAAAGTGTTAAATATTGCAATTAAATAAATGCAGAATTGAAAACAAGACAACCTATGCAACTTTTTAGCTTCTGAATACTTTTGTGGCTTTTTTTTTTGCTTGTATTTACTTTAATATAAAAGCCAGTCGTAGAATACAAATAAAACAATAACAATGATTTAATTGAAATGTATGTTGTACTTATATCATATGAGTTGAAAATCAAAAAAAATCGGAAGTAATTAAAACAAGAAAAAGCAACTATAAAGTCAACATTGCCCATTTGATACTCTGTAAGTAGAGCAGCTTTTGTTGGCCCGTCCTCGTCATTATCCTCTGTGCTGCATCACGACAGTTGGCGTCCTTTTTTAAAAATTAACACAACGTCGGCCAACGCCACGCCCCCAAGACGCCCGCCGCCCCTTTTCCCCGACAAGGCTAAGCCAGAAGAAATAGAAATAAGAAATAAGAAATGAGACATGAGAGCAAAAAGATGGAATGAAAATGAAAAGAAATGTCATTTATCACAATATAAAATTGTATGCTAAATAACTTGGAATGACCTGAATTAAAAGAGGAGCGCCAAAGACTTAAAGTCCATTATGGTGGCATTTTCTTGGGGCGCTGTAAGCTGTAAAAAAAACTTTCAAATCAGGTCAAGAGTATTAAAATTTCGAGGGCAATAAAACATAGCAAGACGAATCCGATTTAATCCGATTTTAGTTGAGTGTATTTTTTGGCACTTAACTAAATTGATGTAAGTCTGCCAAAATGTATTTAATTTTTACTGAGGAATCATTACTTGATATTTATGCAAACGGGATTAAACAAAAATAAATTTGAGTTATTTGTATTAACTATTTCCGCAGAATATAGACCACAAAACTTCCGAGTCAAGTAATCCATGACATCGAAAGGATTGGTGTTAAATTTCAGGCATTGCCAAGGCCAACTCGACACAAACGATGTAAAATGATATAGATCTGAGAAATTTCAAATCTAGTTATCCATGGAACCGAATGTCAAACGAAACATCCAAGGGACCCAAGCCAGAACTCCAAATCCTCAGTTCAACGGGTGTGTTCAAACGGTTAACACCGCTCGTCGGAACAAAATTTGTACGGCTTTTTTCCTCAAAAAAAAAAAAAAAAACCAACAAAAAAAAAAGTTCAATGTTTTTTCTCGGTTAATTCCCTCTCCGTTTGTCAAAATTTCTGTTGTTGAGTTCGATCGATGTTTTCGTTTCCCGCGAGAGATGTGGAACGGGAAACCAGTTGAGAAGAAGGCGCACATCTATCCGGAGATGGGTGACCACCAGATGCTCCTGTCCGGCGCTGGAGAAGCGGCAGTAGTAGTGGGAGCAGCCGCCTCAGCAGCGACAGGAGGATCACCGGGATCGGGAGCAGAAGGACAAGGACAAGGCGGACGGCCTGGCCATATCATGCAACGAGATATGGCCATGCCACGCCACCACATCTATATGGGAACATGATCTCGCCACTCGTGTGACCCATCAACTAGGGCGGCTTCTGGTAGGGGCACACCACTTTTACCCCTTACCCTTACCCCCTGAGCCCCATCTTAGCAGCAGCAGCAGCAACACTACGAATTGCAAACACGAATTGCGCAAACCGCATACACCAATACAAATACAAATACAAACACAAATACAAATACAAATACAGATGCAAACGCAAATACACACTCAAGTCAGCCACACTAGCTATACAGCCACATCCAAATGTACTACACTTCGTACACTTCGAGGATTGTTAACCCCACCAACCCTGCCAAAGGATCGGCGTTACTTGTTCGTGCAATTGAATATATTGTTTTGAGTTCCCCTGACATCTTCTTTTTATATGGGTGGTTTCTGGGTAAACAGTGCAAGAAATCAACATTTTTATATCTGGTGACATATGCCACAACGGCTACGCAGGTACAATATATGATCTTAATCGAAATCGGATTAAAATTATTGTGAGGTCATCTAAATTTCTTATTCTTGTGATTAGTTCGCAAGACAAGTTAATTTCAGAAATATGCCACGCCCACAAATTGCGCAATTCCGTTGTATCCAAACTCATTAGTTGCCTTCGGAGTAGGAGGAATCTCAAGGCATTGAGCATATAGTAAAATTATTTTATATTTTGTTCTTAAGTTGTATTGATTTATGATATTCGTTAATTGAAATTATATTTTTATGGCTATAATATTTCTTTGAACGTTCAATAACAGAAGTAATAATGAAAAAAAAAGTACGAAATATGAACTAGAATCTAAGGTCTCTCGGTGGGTTGCTTGGCTGCCTCCTCCTCCTTCTTTCCCTCCTCCTTTTCCTTTTCCTTGTTGGAGCATCCAAAGCAGACGTGGCTGGCCTCCACTGGCTCGAAGGAGTGCCAGTAGTCGCGCGGCTGGCTCTGCAGGAACTCCAGATAGTCGACGAAGGCCTCGAAGGTCAGCTCCTGGGTGACCTTGCAGTGGAGGCGGTGGTGGTGGCGGCACCTTCGGTCGTAGATCCAGGTGCGCTGCACCGGCGCCGTGGACTTGGTCCTCGCCAGGTGCTCCGCGAAGGCCTCGCGCTCCGCTCCGTAGTAGAGCCGCGTGGTGGTGTACGCGATCCCATCGTGGATGGCCTCCCGCACCGGCGGCTCCTCCACGATCCTGCGCACCTCCTCGGCCGACAAATCCGGCTTCTGGAGGCGGGCGAGCAGCCAAGGAGGAACCAAGCCGAAGCGAACGCCACTCACCACCGCGGCGAGGTGCTCCTTGCGCTGGGGCCACTTGTAGTCCAGCCAGCGGGCGGCCGCCATGAAGATCTCCAGCTCCGAGTTGACGCCCACGTGGTTCGAGGTGAGCAGCACGAGCAGCGGGGCGAGTGGCAGGCGCAGGAACTCCCTGGTGGCCACCAGTGGCAGGAAGAACTTGGAGACGCGCGAGAGGAGGTGGCGGTACTCCTGCTCCACCTTCAGGATGCGCGCCTCCAGATAGAGCATCATGGCGGAGTCCTCTGCGATTCCGGCGGAGAGGCAGTAGTCGCACTGAGCGATCAGCTGGGGGACTTGGAGGTAACGCGCCGCCTGGAGGACCTCCAGGATGCCGAGCCGCGGCAGGAGCGGACGATCCTCGATCATCCAGTCGTAGATGAGGCTGAAGGCGCGCGGCGTCACCTGCTCCTCGGGCAGCTCCACGACCGCCTTCTGGCCGAGATCGCAGATGGTGCGCGAGAAGCACTGCAGGACGATCAGGTGCACGGGGTGCTGGCTCTCCCCGATCCTGACCACCGCGTCCGGCTGGATGCGCTCCCTCACGATGCGCAGCAGCTCCTCGTACAGATTGCTCTTCTCGGAGTCCGGTTCCTCCTCCTCCTCCCCCCGACTCCTTCTGCTTCTCCAGAACACTCTCCGGAGTGAAGCCCAACGAGAAGAGGGATCGCTCGGTGAAGTGGTTGAGCTCCTTTCCTTGGATGTTCAACTGGGAGGAGGGAGTGGGCTTGTTGGCATTTAGGTTCTGGAACATCTGCCGCAAATCCTCATCCGAATCCGGGTCATCCTTCTCGTCCACTGCCCCTGCCACTGAGGCTTCTTCTGGCTTTCGACCATCGTGGGATGCTGCCTGGTTTTCGGTGTCCGAGGAGCCACCCAAGGCGTAATGCGACATTGCACTTGCACTCGTATATCTTTTATTATCTTTTACGGTTTGGACAAAGCTTATATTGGACTGAGCAGAGTCTGGAAATGTGTGCCAGAAGTATTTGTTTTCGTATTTCAAAAGCATTGAATGAGTTGTGAAACGTCAAGATTGAAGAAAAGATTTTCAAGAATGACTAGTCGGTGAATTTAAAAAATATCGCAGATAACGATTAAAATCGCTATCTAAGATTTGCGTTAAAGTTATTTCAAAATAATTGTTATTGAGGGTTTTTAAGAGAAACTAAAATGTTGTTATTATAAACGCTTATAAAGCAAGCTGGATTAAACAAGAATTTAAAAAAAGTGTATTTATAAGGTTGAATAATCATTTGAAGGTGCGATTGACAGATAGGTTATTTTGTTTCCAATGCCTTTCATTTTTTCATTCAATATCGCACTAAGCTCTTAATTTTCCATACATTATAAGCCTATACAGCTTAAACGACGTGAATATCTAATTACGTGTCTAAAAATTATTGTTGGGAAAATAAGGTGTGTTTGCTTGCGATTTTTTTTGTAAGCGTTGAAAATGCGATTCGCGTACATTTTATATGCAAATTATAGAATAAGCTGACGGCAAAAGGTTTTATTAATACAGAACCATTGACTGAAATTCTATTTGCTAAAATAAAAGTCAACTATTATACTAATTTTTAGCTACAATACATTGAGTAAGCACACGCGGATTATCTCTCCCTTAAGTTATTCAATTTTTTTACCCATGCAAATGATACCTTCGTATATCCAATTCTTATAATTTAAAACAAACGCTTATGAGTTTAATTGACCCAATTTACAGACTTATTATTATCCCAAGCAAGTCGTATAAGCATGTGTTCCTTATACCATCATTAAATCCCCCAAAACCTGACCAGAGCAATACTTTTCCGGCAGAACATTAGTTCACACTGTTGGGATTAGTCAAACACAATAAAAACTGACGTCTCCAACTATGCAAATAAAACTCCGTCCGCCCCTTTTTCGTATCGGGGGTGTGGCTAATTGTCTTGCCGATGAGACGGCAGTTTCTCAGCACGCAAACAAGATTCACTGAAAGAAAACCAATTTTTTATAATTTTCGACACTTTAAAAAGCAAAAATTACTTATGTTCTACTCATTATTTAGTATTTTTTACTACTTTGCAGGCCAGCCTTAACCATAATAGTTCTACCTTATATATCATATGTATAAAAAAACTTTGTAAGAAGCTTAAAAAACTTATGTAGTAACGATTCAGTGAATCGAATTGGCTTTAAAGCCACGTTCTCTCAATTTATTTAGTGATTGCCTTAAACCTCGCATTTTCAAAAAGGTTTTTACTGCAGCTAATAAAAACCGAACGTAACGTTTAGTCATCAAAGTGATTTTCGCTTGAATTGTAGTTTTTATTTGATAATTTTCTGTGTTATTGTTTAGTAAAATACTTTAAAGTACTTTGTATACATATGACGCTGAGAATAAAAATTAAAAATAAAAGTAATGAAAAAATGAAGCATATTTTGTTTTACAATACTTTGTGCTATTGCCACCTACACTTTTATGGAAAATCAACTGAAGAATCTAAAATGTACTTATAAAATGCATTGTTTTTTTAAATTATTTTGTTATGTTGATTCCAAAAACCATCCCTTTATAAGTAAAGTACAATAATATATAAGCTCTCAACTTAAATTACTTAATAAATACGGAAATGTATTAACCACTTTAAAGAACCTATTACTATTTTCTGCGCTTTTCGCTCAGTGTGACTGGCTAGAACTTGTTTGGAGAGCGGCTATTGCCGGCACGCAACGATATCGGCTATATATAAGCCAGATAAGCGAGAGATCGGTGCAAATATCGGCGGAAATCGAAGCGAACAACATGGAGCGCTGGCAGAATCGCGTGGCCGTCGTCACTGGGGCCAGTTCGGGAATAGGATCGGCGATAGCCAAGGACCTGGTTCTGGCCGGGATGACGGTGGTGGGGCTGGCCCGTCGGGTGGACCGCGTCAAGGAGCTGCAGAAGGAGCTGCCGGCGGAGAAGAGGGGCAAGTTCTTCGCCCTCTACTGCGATGTGAGCAACGAGAGCTCCGTGAACGAGGCCTTCGACTGGGTGATCCAGAAGCTGGGAGCAGTCGATGTGCTGGTCAATAACGCCGGAACCCTGCAGTCGGGCCACCTGGTGGACATGAACCCGGCCATCATGCAGCAGGTCCTGCAGACGAACATCATGGGCATCGTCCTGTGCACCCAGCGGGCGGTTCGCTCCATGAGGGAGCGCAAGTTCGACGGCCATGTGGTGCTCATCAACAGCATCCTCGGGCACAAGACCATGACCGCCATGGAGGGCGTGGTCCCGGACGTCAACGTCTATCCGCCCAGCAAGCACGCGGTCACGGCTCTGGCCGAAGGATACCGCCAGGAGTTCCTCGGCCTGGGCACCCGCATCAAGATTACGGTGGGTCACCCCATCCCAAGTTATTTATTATAAGAAGTCATAATTGGGAAATCAGTTTTCTATTACTTAACTTTCCGTTCTTGCCCAGACTTTATATTTGCTTGGCAAATCTTAAGCTTTATTTATTAGAATTGTTTTAAATATTTGAAGTAATGTTTCCATATTTCATGTTTAGGAAATTAGATGTTTAAAATTAATTCTGATTGACACTGTTATGATTTTTATTAAGAGAATTCCTATCAATCCCCCCTTCAAAATGTTCCTAATTTTTCCCTGATCAAATTTCAGAGCGTCAGTCCGGGAGTTGTGGATACCGAGATCCTGCCGGACAGCATCAGGGAAGCCATCAAGGACCGCATGCTCCACTCCGAGGACATCTCGCAGGGAGTGCTCTACGCCATTTCCACTCCACCACATGTCCAGGTCCACGAGCTCACAATTAAGCCCCTTGGAGAGACCCTGTAGTCCTCTACCAAATTAAACATTTTTTTTTTATATTTTTTTTTTTAGCTTAGTATTGTTTCTGAAAGTATTTCGGATTTTATTTTTAAGCACAGTTTTTTTATTTTACTATTTCGTACCCACCTCTTGTCTAAAAAACATGTAATGGTTTTCCTGTACTGTAAATTTTGAAAACACAAATTTGTTATATAAACAGATTTTCAGCACAATTTTGAACTACTTTTCATTTCATTGTCTTCCACCTCTATGTTTTAACTTTAAAATATTAAAAAATGTGTGTCACTTCTTGAAATATATCGGATTTTCGGAAACTTGATAGAAACTATAAAAACTGATTATTAATATTTAACAAAGCTTTACTTTTAAATATCGAATGTAAAGTATATCGAATGCTTACCACTTCTTCAGCATTAAATATGAATTTCAGCTATTCTTTTTGGAAATTAAAAACGTTCTTGTTTAATTGTAAGCGTAAATACCATCTAACCAACTTTTGATTACTTTATTTTGATAGCTTCTCTGATTTATTTATCTGCACATTGAGCTTCGGGTCATCGATGAAAGTTTCCCCAAAAAGAAATGGCGGCTCAAAATAGTTTTTGTTTCAAGTGAAAAATTATGTTAGCTATAAATACGGGCGACGGCAAATGACATTCCGCATAATGGGACAACCAACTAATTGCCAATGGCCCTAATGGCTTTAATTGACAATTTTTGTTGGCCGCCTGCACATGGCGTTCTTCCGAGGAACACAATGGAAATTTTACACAGAAAAGGCGAGCAATAAATGGGGAAATAAAGGCAGTGCCTCTGTTCAAATTAAATTCTCTGTGGTAAAAGAGTGTCGTGCGGAATTGGGCATCTTCGAGCAATAGCTTTATATAGTACGAGGAGGAAACCGAGTCATTAGAGAGTCCTCTGTTTTGCAGCTTCCTTTACACAGAAACCACTTTTAGTTCATTTTAAATGCCTTGCTTTGCAATATAATAGGCAATTTTATATCAATGGTTTTAACACTTCAAAAGAGAAGCCTTTTTTTTATGAACAAAGCTTAAAAACAGAAAAGAAAACAGTATAAAACAGAACAATTTGTCTTTACTTTTTTTTTTTGGATAGTTATAAATAAAGTTGCAATTAAGTTTTATGTATGACATTAAAATAAAAAGCTGTGTGTCATATACATTTTTTTATAGCTGTGTGGTGTATAGTATTTTATTGCTGTGTATTTCTTGCTGCCGGCCACACATTTGATTTTATTTGCGCTTTTTCCGAGTTGCTGTCCGTCCGGAAACTCAATTTGTCAGACAAATGCGATGGAGCTGCAGCAGCAGAGCATAAAACAGGACCCACAGCAGCTCCAAGGACAATGAAGCATCCTTGGCGAAGTCTATTAAAGCCAAGTAAACACAATTCTCAATGAACTGCAGCTGCAAATTCCAATTGACTTCAATCAAAAGATGACCGCATCAAATAATGAAATTAAACGATTTCCTCCGCCTTTGGTTGGCTTAAAATACCCATGAGCAATCATAAACACATAAAAGAAAGGTGTTATCAGCTTTTGTGATCAATTCAATTACATTTTTATTTGAAGAAAATACGTTTAGGCCATTTAATACATTATAACATTATAAGATTATTTGCAAAAACATAATAAAGGCGCCTGTTTGCAATAAAACAATCTATATAACAATAAGTCTTCACAAATTAATACAGCTAAATTGAAAATAATTATTAAAAATCCTAAATCTTAGAATGATATTTGCCCACAACAGAAAAATGGTTCTTTTGAACAATCCCAAAAGGATTTCTTTTGTCCAAAACTGATTCTGGTACAAAATCTAGTTGTTATACCTTTAATTTTGCTAATAATACTCGTTTACCCATCAACTCTAGTTATTAATAATAAACGTGGAGTCCAAAAGTGTACTGTATTTGTTGAAAAATAAGTAAGTCATAAGTAAATGAGATATATTCTCAATCACGCCCGCAAATCGCAAAATCAGAATACATAATATTTGGAGTCTACTCGTGAATACGCAGCGAATGTTTATTTTTTACGACCCCGTTCATGCCTTCCAGCCTTGGGGGCGTGTCCGCCTTTTTGTTTGCAAAAAACGCTTTAAAAAACTAAAAAAAAAGCTAATATATTTGGATTCAACATGCAAATTCTCTTGGTGAGTCCACAGTGAAAGAAGATTTAGTAAAAATGCCAGGCCCACAAAGCCCGAAGCTCTTGGATTCTGGTAATAAATGCGCAGCGAATGGCGTTGTTAAAAATTTGCGTGAACTTTTATCTGAGTTATCTTTTCAATCAAATAATAAAAATATTAAAAAAATCATTTAAAGATTCCCTTTGTAAAAAATTAAATTGATGTAAGCTAATGTAATTTTAATTAGCATTCAAATAGATGGCTGTGTTTTTTCACGGACCCCCTGCTCGTTCTGCCATTTGTTTTTCTTCCGAAACTTGAGATTGATCGATTTTCATATCTGCTTCCCATTTATTTGTTTGACTCGCTCTTTGTTTGTCTGTTTTGGCCATCTTTATCAAAGTTGTTTTGACGGTCTCGCAAGGCCGCCAGCTGTCAAAAGTTTTACATGCCGCCCCCATCCAGAGAGTCAAGACTCCAATCTACACATCCCGTCCAGTTGCGGGTCCGATTCCAATTAAGCTGTCATTATGGAAACTCAACTAGAAAGACTCGTTCGTGCCAGAGAGAAATCTTGGATATTATTATAATTAGATGTGAGATTCCCGTGTGTTTATCAACCGCAAATGGTTGATTAATTAGTTACCAATTTAACTGAATAGCCGGCAAGATACGTCTATTTATTATGCGCCCCTCGGACCGAATCATCATGGGTTATAATAATAAATTCATGCCAGCGGCTAGCTCCGCTTGTAAAGAATTGTTTATCACTTATTTACGCTTTTTTCTAGGCGAATTAATGCAAATGCAATTAGTTCGATTAACCGACATCTCTGGCGGGCTTAATTAATATTAGATTGTTTCGAGCGGAGCCAAAGGGGAAATGCAACTTAATTTCATTGTATGAAATTGATTTGCCTCTTTCCTTTTTTGAGCTGTCTGTGTATGCATAAATTATTTGCCAATTTATGCGCTGTCTGTCACAAAAAAATCAGCCGTGCAAAGGAAATGCAAAAAATGCAATGAAATTTAATAAATGCTAAATTTAAATAAATCGAAATCCAATGAACTAAGAGAACTCGCTTAGACAACGTATCAAATTCTATGCATTTTTAATTGATTACAATATTTTATTTCAAAGCAATTTTGCTGCTTTAAAATATTTATAGGTATTTTTATAAACTGAAGTGGTAAGAAGGGGGAACTTTAAATTGTACAGCTGTTGAGCTCCGTACTTTGTTAGACAATTTTTTAATGCTCAATTAAAACAATTAAATTGTCGAATTTTTTACATACATGAATGGACATAAAAAACGCTTTTACGCTTTTAACATTTAAAGGTGCTAAAGATTTATGCAGTAAAAACTTACTGAATTAAATAATAAGTTTAATGAGTTTACTTAGAAGGATACTTAATAGTGTTTTTTAAGTTCGCAGAAGACCGAAACTCGCATAATTGAAGCTTATATACCCTTGCAGTCACCAAATATAATATGTCAAACAAAATACATAACGACTAAACAACATCGAAGCTATGACAATTTTTCTATAATTTTACATATTTTCGACTATTGTTTATATGGCAGCTATATGATACAGTCGTCCGATGTTGATGATACCCTTTTGCTCTGCAAGGGTATAAAGTCTGTTTCATCCGAGGTTGCTGCGCCCGGGGCATCTGGCAGCTGGTGCAGCAGAATCCTTGGAGGCTGTGTGCTACATGGCTACATGGCTACATGGCATGTAGTACGTGCAGGAGGCAACCCATCAAATCGCAAAAAGGAAATCAAAATCAATGTCAATATTTTTTTGAGCCAAATCGAGGCTGGCAGAAAAGGCGCTAAGTCAGGCCGGCAATAAGGAAAATGAGCACGTGCGAGGGAAACCCAGAGGGGAAGGGGATGAGGAGGAGGAGGTTGGATGGGGGGTGGAGGAGGAAAGGCGAGGGGGAGTGGCAGGCAGTTACAGTGGCAAACTTGGCAAAACTGTCGCCAGGCACAAAGGATGCGGGCTGAAACAATAAGTAACCGAAAGGAGGACCAAAAGGGGCCAGGTTGAGGTAGACTGGCGTCATCATTTATCACGCGCTCTCTCAAACACACACAGCCAATCAGACACACACACACACACACACGGAGAAAGGTCAAGCAAAGTGTTATCCTTGGAGCCATCAAGGCAATGCGGGAAGGGGAAACCAGCTGCCAGCTGTTCCTCTCGGTCCTTGGATCCCTGGAAAGACATGTGCACTCAGAGAAAACTATCAGTAGACCCCAAATGCTGTACAATATAATTAAAGATCATCACTCCTTAGTTAATTGTTATTAGTTTTACTTTAAGATGTTATAAACTAATCATTAGGCATATCTTATATTAACCAAAAGAAATGCGCTTTGTTATCATTGAAACCTTTTGTTATTTAACACTTAAAACGAAACCATTTAAAAAAGACTTTTATATACGTATTAACCTCATAATTGGGAAATTTTAATTCGATGTCTTTAATGCATTGAAAGTTTTTCTAATATACATTAAAAGCGCAACTATTTGTTGTTTTTTTTTTTAATCTATAAAAAGGAATTTCTGAAGCAATCACATAACGTTTATTGTTTTTTAAATGGAACCGTAAAACCAAAAACAAGTCCCACGTTTACTTAAATGAATTCTAATTTTGGTTAAAAAATACTTTTAATACATCTGAAAACGAGATTTTTTGAGGAGTGTAAGGGGAAAAAGAAAACGTTAGTGAAAATCACTATCGAAATGAAAATACCAATGATGTGAGGAAAAGGCTGCAATTGGGCACTGCCAGTTGGCCTTGTTCTGTGCGATAATCGTCAAAGAAGCCTTTCATCATTAATAAAAGTCCCGCATATCAAAGTAACTTTTCGCCCTTTCCCTTTCAAGAATTCTGTAACAATTTTCATGAAGTTTTCCTATTACGCATGTGTTAACAGTTAATAAAAATTATAGACAAAAAAATATGTTATATGTATTTAAATTGTGGAAATTGTTTCGAAATACTAAAATAAGGTTTCAAATTTAAAAAAAAGAATCCTTTAATCCTAAGTAATTTTGTTTTAATTATTCAGTTTGGGTGACCATCTTATTTATAAATTAATAATAATTTAGTTATTATTGTTGAAATATAAAATAAGTTAAAAAAATAATTTTTATTTTTCAAGAATGAAGTAAAAATATTTTAATCAATAGCATTGCTCTTATCAAAATAAATCCCCGTTGGAAATAAAACCACTTTTCAATTATTTTGTCTTTTTTTGTGTTTTTGGAAAATTTTATTTAAATTTTTTTACTTTTTTTGTTGCAGTTTTCGACGCTGATTGATGCCTTTATTTTCTTTGTGTTTCAATTTACATAAAGTTATTTGTGTAGAGGGTTTTTAGCTTTGTTCTTTGTTGGGGGTTTTCGAATACCGATCAATTTATTTAAATAATTCGCTTGCACAATATTATTAATTTGCTCTCTTTTTATATATATTTATATATAATGTTATACAATATATTTAATATAATTATTTTGTATTTATACATAAAAATAGTTTCTGTAGCACAAATTATTCAGTTAATTTTCTTTTTGTTTTCCCGGTTTTTATTTTTTGTTTTGTTTTTGTGGTTGCTTCTGACGACACATGGCAAAGAGCGAGAGGCAAGGAGTTAGTTCAACAGAAGGGGAAAGGGAAAATAAAAATATATAGGAAAATATAGAAAGTTATGGAAATGAAGTCTCCCGATGAGAAGAGCATACATACATTTGGTGGAATACATATGGCTCGCGACTCGAATAAATCATAATAAAATAGATCCGGCTCTGTTAACTTGGTCTCTTGATTCAGACACATGCGTTCGGTGCCGCGCGCTTCTTTAAAATGGCTTAAATAAAAACTTTGCTTTGCTTGCTTTAAAATGGAGACGTACAGGCGTCTCTCTTCTTGAGCGGATAACGAAAGAGGTCTACATTAAAATCGAAGGGGTTAAGGTTAAAAATTAATTACAATGGGTTCTGTCGTTTGGTGTTGTTGTTGGTTGTGTTTGGGTGTGTTGGTTGTGTTGGTTGTGTAGGTTGTGTTGGTGAACAAAAGCAAAAAACGCAAGTCGTGGGTGTTAACTTAAAAATGTACACACGACAAAGGAGCTAGTCGACTTATCCAGGCATAAATACTACCATACTAGTACAAACGTTTCGCCTGCCGAATCAACACGAGTGTGAGTGGGTGTGTAGTTAATTAATATAATTAAAAAGTACATACAAGCTAGGCGCATACCCTCGTCATCGCGGGGATCTTGGACTGTTCGAATCTCTCGTTTGTCTGTCTGCCGTTCGTAATTACATTTTACAGCGCTTTAAATAATTTATTTTACAAATGTGCAAGTGTGGACCCGCGAACGAAAAAAAAAACTTCTAACTGCTTCACATTATCCTTATCATTATCATTATCCTCTCTCTATATCTCGCTTAACACATGCAGAACGGGTTTAGCTGCGCGGGTAGGACTAAATCTTATCCTTTCTTCGAGAAGCCAACTTTTTCGCTAAGCTAAACCATTAAGTGGCGAATGTTTCGTCTCTTCTCCATCATTATGCTTCTCATTCCTAGCTTTTTTGTTTCTTTTTGTTAATGTTTCATTTCCTATCGAAAGTTTTTGAGTATGCCGCAGGAGGCTCGTAAAAAGAATTACTCGTAGTTATAAAACTCATTACATGAGTTCCACGAAAATTTGAAAAGTTTATAAAAATCTCAGGGCATTGACCAGTTTTCGGGGGACGTTGGAAAGTGGAATTAATGTTTCCAAAACGAGAGGAACCTGCCATTGAGCTCCGTTACAGATTTAAATCATTTTTAAAGGTAATTCAACTACTCTTACGCTTTTGTTGATATCTTGCCTTACACAGTTTGACGTTTAAGCTTAAAGATCTATGAGCTTTCAACCCTGCAGTTTTCCTCTTTCAAATACTTCACCCCCAAAACTGATCTAAGCCCTCACACCTTGCAGACTTGCAGACCATTGAATGATCTGAAGGCCGTTTCAAATCGCGGGTTCATAGTTGGCCCCCCAGCACTACTGGTCCTACGTTCTCTACGAGTCTCTGCCCTTCACTTGATGATGCTTAATTAACGTTTTCATGTTGATCTGGTTCTGTTGATGCTGTTGCTGCTGCTGCTGCTGCTGCCGCTGGTGTTTCGCTGTGGTGTCTTTGTGGCTGCTGATCGATCGACTGACTACGGCTCAACACTCACTCTGCGACATGTCGATCTCCTTCTTCACGCTGCGCGATAACCGGTCCAGCTCGGCGGCCGCATCCGTGCGCACGGCCAGCTTCTCGGGCGTCATCATTGCGTCGGTGCCGTTGGCAGTGCGGCCCGGTCCCACCGGACTGCTGGCTGCTCCCGGACCGCCGCTCGCCGGACTGCCCGACTTTTTGTGCAGCAGCGAGTTGAAGAAGTTGGCCAGAACGCCCTCAGCTCCTGGCGTGGCTGGCGTCAGCTTGGGATCGATCTGGGAGTGGGTAAGCAAATGAAATTCGTTTCGGTTTTATGCGTTCACTTTATACCCACCTTTTTGGGTGAACTCTGACCCGTGGTGCCGGGCGTCCGAGGACCGCTCTTGTTGCTTCCCACGCCCTGCGACCGCAGTGGCGACTCGCCGCGCACCTGGTCGCCCTGCTTGAGGATCTCCTGCTGGCGAGCCAGGAAGGCCTGCTCGTCCTCCGTCTGAACCTCCGCCTCGCGATTGGAAACCGCCTGCAGAAAGTAGAGAGGCAAGTTAGCAAAAACTAAATAATCACGAACTTAAACTAGAATTAAGGAAATAATGCAATAAACAAATGCCTCAGAATATTGCTGATCAACTACGAAATAATGGATATTAATTCAACATGGTCCTTAGATTTCCAGAAAAAATACGTATCTTTATAATGGGACTGAATTCTTATAGACATACCTTTCTAGTTGGTGGCGACTTGATGATATCTGTGTAGGGATTCTCGGCTTTAACTCCATGCATGTTCTCGTACAAAATACTAATCTTTTTCAGGCTATCCCAGCCAGCCGGACTGCAAAGATCGGTACGATATAAGTAAACAATCAAATCAAATCAAGGACAATAAAAAGCAAGCAAAGAGACACCCACATGAGTACCGCATCCTTCTCAACGACTAGCGCTGGCGTATGGAATGGTAGGCCATAAATTCGATGCGTCAGATATTTGTAGAGGAAATCACAGTTTTTGTCTTCTTTGACGCTCGTGTAGAAGAGCGAGGTGCCGTGCCGCAGGCAGAAGTTGCGGATCCACTGCTGGATGAAGTCGAAGTGCTCGTCACGATACTCGTACTCCTTCTCCAGTGTGGTCATGTAATCCGTCTGCAAGCCACAAACAAGAATTGATTAAGTTAAGTACGGAGCATTGTGCTTGATCCAACGAACCTTTGTGACCACAACAACGATGTCGAGGCCCAGATTTGTAATTAGTGCGTCCTCGGTCAGCGGCAGAAGGTCGTCCTCGTCGATCGAGTTGTTGCGCAACGTCCGCTTGACGGGAGAGCCGGGATCCAGGTCGTCGCCCACCTCGCAGTACGTCTGCCACGTGGTGGTCAGTCGCTGGCGGGCCGCCTCCTTCTCTTTGGCGTCCAGCTGCAGGCTATCGATGTGCTGGCCCAGCACCTTGATCCAGTGGTTCAGCTGCTCCAGCCAGCCCCACGGCTGCGTCATCGAGACGGTGAGGATGACGAGTGTGTGTGCATAGTTCGTTTCGTTGAGCGCATAGTGAAGCAGGTTTGTGTGTCCTGGATCGCCGTCCAGGACCCAAACGCCCAAACGCGTCATGTCTACAAGCGAAGATTGAATGCCAAGTATTAGCATTAGCATAAGTACGATTTAAGTGCAGGCTCCGATTGAAATACCCACCGTCTCTGTACTCGTCCTTGACATCGATGTAGGCATACTCCAGGCCGGAGCCCTTCTTCGGATCCTCGACGCCCTGCAGTTTGGCAATGAGTGTCGTCTTTCCGGTGGCATTGTCGCCTAATACTAGTACAGATTTGTTTGATGGAAGTTTTGTGCTGCCCTGTGTTTGTACTTCATTCAATATCGCCGACCTGCAAGAAAGCAAAGGGGCTTTATTACTAAAAGAGTTTATACTAAGTACTTAATAAAGCATTTCTGATAGATTATTAAATAGAGCTTCGAAATCAAGGTTATATTTCCCTTTCTTTGGGAGTAATTAACTTCAAGAAAATGTGTAACACTACCAGTAATTTTGATTTGTTTCAGCAGACTTAGCACCGAACTCTAGAGCTCTCATGATCTCCAACTTCTAACTTCCAACTTCATGAAACTGTGCGAATTGTACGCATTATTTGGCTTTTCCGCTGACACGAGTAATCGAAATCAGGTCAGAGCTTCGTCATTCATCCCCACTTCTTCCTTTTCGCAACATTCCGCCATCGAGTTAATTGGCGGACCCCCAACGACCCACCAAACGCCACACCTCCTCCTCATGTTTCCCAGCCCACGGTTCGTGCTCAATTTTAGTGTTTTGGAACTGTGTACGTCAATATTTGATATGGTTTTGCATGCGATTCTCAAACGACGCAGCAATAGCAATGTCTGCAATTCAATTAGACCAATTAAATAATTTTCAATTGGTGTGGAGCGAAATGCTTGTGCTCGTCGCACCAACAACGATCCTGGCGGGCAGGCAGTCCGCTCCGAGTGTCCTGTCCCAGTGTGTCCTGTCCCGACTGCCAGGACATGCAAATTGACCGAAGGACCTGCTGCTCCCCCGCCGCATCTCCCGAATCCTCCGCGCGACTGCGGGAAATATCGATTGCGAGCACTTTTCCAGTTCGCTTCGATTGTTTTGTTTTGGTCGGGTCCTTTATTGAATGCGGCCCTTTCTCATTTGCCTATGAATACGGCACAGTGGTTCGGGTTTTCTATGCACAGCATTCACATTACTTGGTTATAAAATTGAGAAATTCATCTTAGGGAAAAACATTTACGAGTTCAAAGCAATAGCATGCCTTTATATATCTTGGTTGGATTCTGTAGTTCATTTCATTTTGTAACTACATATATTATTCGCCTATAAAAAATTTCTTTTAGTTCCCTTTTAATTTGAATGCTTATTATTATTATTCTTATTTGTAACTAATATTAGTTGGTTGTAATGTTGTAAAGATATGACGTAATAATATATGACATATTTTCCTTTTAAGAACTGATATATGGTTACTTTTTGTATAAGAAAAATCCCATCTACTTCTCACCAAGTCCATGTATTTTTAACCAATAAAAACCACTTAAATCCTGCTTCCTCCCTGCCATTTCCACGCTTCGGTTTCCCCACGAACCAATTAAGTTCGCATCCTTCCCTGTTGTTTCCCCAGCCTTTCGCTGGCTTCTGACCCAATTCGGAGGAAAGTCAGCCTGCGGCCCACTGTGCGGTGGCAAGCGAACACTTTAACGTTCTCCATTCGGTGGTGGCTAGTTGGTAGTTGGTTCCTGCGAAGGCTGGAAGAGGAGGAGGAGGAGGGGGAGGAGGAGGAGGAGGTGGAGTGGTTCCCCGTTGGCATGGTGCACGCGAAAAGCCAAACGAAAGGTACGTTTTCCATTCGAACTCCGCTCTGCCGTCGAGGAGTCCGTCTTGAACTGTTGGTCGCGCTGGTTGAGAGCTGAATATTTTCCACACCTTGCGAAAATTGGAGCATACGCCATAAGATGAGTTTGCTTTTGAGGCGGCGTTCGCGCAGCGAGACGCGTCCTCAGGAGGCTCCTCCGGCGGACAAGACCAAGCTGGCGGAGTCCGAGAAGCCGGGAAGGCAGCTGCATAGCCAGCAGCAGCAGGCGAAGACCCACCAGATGCGCCACCATCCACCGCACGCCAGTGAACAAAGCCTCAACAAACTGGGACTGGCTTCCAGTGGCTCCATTGGCTCCAGCGGCTCCGGTGGAATGGGCAGGCGCAAGACCTCCGCGGAGCTCATCAGCGAGGCCAAGATGTTCCTCGGCGAGTCCGTGGGTGTTCCGGTTCCCCTGATGGCCACCGGTGGTGCCCGCTTGGTCAGCACCCGACGACCCATTACGCCCCGCGAGTCCGGAAGGGTTTTGTACGGCAAGGTGGCCTTGGCAGGTCGCCCACCCAGCGCCTTCTCGTAGGTTCCATTTCGTAGGAGATCGCAGTGACGCAGTTCAAAAGGTTTCCCTCTCCTTCTTCGATTAGCATGCGGTATCTGCAGAACGAGAAGCCGTCCACGCCCCGCCAGCTGCCGGCTCTCTCCGGCTCCGGACCCGCCACGCCCATGCCCACCAGGAACGGAGCACTCCTCTGCCAGTCGAGCACGGAGACCCTCATCGAGCTGCTCAAGCAGCACAGCGGCCTCAAGGATTGCAGCGACGAGACGGTGCAGCACATCAACGCGGTGAGTCCTGGATACCCAGGCTTACTTTTCCATTTCTTTTGCATTTATGTATAAGTTTTCTGATCCAATATTTATGCACTTATGATTTGGGTTAGAGTGTTCCACTCACATATTGCTTGGGTTTTCCACTTGAATTTTATCATTGTGGTTTGAAGTTATTGATATTCTACAGACGTTCCATTCTTCAGATACTTTAATTTGTATCTTAATAACAGAGTAGTAATCATTTGCTGTGTTCCTTTTCTTTCGAATATTTTAAATATTTTACCATTTGATAAACAGTGTTTCTTATTTAGTCAGGATCCATATTAATAATGCTTTCAAAGGCTGACTATAAGTTTTCTGATCTTGTATTTATGATCTGGGTTTGAATTTTCCATTCACTTATTGTTTGGGTTTCCCACTTGAATTTCACCATTGTGGTTAATAGTTAATTAACTATATATATATAATAATTAACTATATATATATAATAATTAACTATATACATATATATAGTTAATGTTCTACAGGCTTTCCAACTTTCAGACAGTTTAATTTGCATCCGTGTTCCTTTCGTTTGAATACTTTAAATATTTCACCATTTTGGTAAACAGTTTTTGTTATTTAGTCAGGATCCCTGTTAATTACTCATTGCTTAATGACTCATTGCAGATCCTTCAGGAGCTCTATGTGCGCGTGAGGAAGCAGGAGCGTAGCTTCAAGCGCGGCTTCATCCTGGGCGGACTCTATGGTTTGGTGGAGTGTAGCTCCCCACGAGTTTTGTTGGCTGTCGCGCGGGTTGTTCTGGCCGTGAGTCATCAGCTGAGAAAGCTCTCCGTACTTTCCCCCTAATGGGTATTCCCCTTAAATCCCTTTCAGCTCAGGGTGACAGGGAGCAACCTCACGGGCGCCTGCAAGCTGATCTTCAAGGTGGCCAGGCACGAGCAGCACGACGCCCTGTTCCACGAGCACGACGTGCTGGAGCTGCTCATCGATGGGTTGGGACACGCCTCGCCCTTGGACGAACCGGAGGCCTGCATTTACGCCTACGGCTGCATCCGCTTCTTGACCGCCAGCAGTGCCCAGGAACGGGACGATGCGCTCAACCGCAACTGGATCGGCTTGGAGAGCTCCTCCGGCGAGGGCCAGGCGCTGCCCATTCCCGCCCTCATGCCGCCCGCTCTGTCGGCCATCTCGCCCTCCCTCTGTCCCAGGAAGCTGACGGGCCAGCAGACGCTCGTTGCCCGTTTGGCTCGCCACGGAGCCGTCGAGCTGATGATCCTGCATCTGCAGATGCTCAACGAGGCGGGCGCCACCAAGCGGCTGCAGGGCCCGCCGCTCCACACGCTCTACCAACTGTCGGCGGCCATGAGAGCTCTGGCGGATGTCTCGCAGCAGCAGCAGCGCCTGCAGCTTCAGCTGCAGCTGGCCTGTCCGCATCTCATCCGGGCAGCCGAGGTCTCCATGGGCGAACTGGAGGTCCAGGCCAATGTGGTGCGCACTCTCAGGTGGGTGTGGCTTTATGCCTCTTTAAGGAGCTCTAATTCGGTTTGAAATCCCTTCCAGCGTTCTTTCCGAGGACTCCGATTGCTGTGAAACGCTGCACAACTACGCCGCCAGGATTGGCCAGCTCCTGGGTCCTTCGTGTGCCGGCGGTGGTGGTCAGTGCAGCGAACGTTTGCTGGCGGTGCTGAGTCGCTTGGGCTACATGCTGGGCAATATCCTGGCCAAACACGAATCAGCGCGCATTCAGGTGGGTTTTCTTATCAGTTGCTAGTAACTATGAATTGTAATGAAATCGTTAATTCATTTATAAGGCTATAATTTACAGATTACTAATATGTAATTCTCTTCATTTTCAGTACTTTCACAACGATGTTGCCATGGAGTATCTCCTGAATGTCTTGGAGCAGCTAAACGAGCGTTCGCCCACCAGCGTGGCTCTCCTGGATGCCCAGATCAAGCTGATTCGAGTGGTGGCCAACATGAGCGTGAATCCCGAAGTGGGCGCCGGTTTGGGAAATGTGCGTTCCTTGGGCGCCGTTCTCTTACAGCTGTTGAGCAAAACCAGCGGAGAGTTGGCCAAAAAGAAGGTGGGTTTGCTTGCTCCAATCCCAGTCAGAGTTTAACCGGGGTTTGTACTCCCTTTCGCGTTCAGTCCCCTGAACAACAGGAGCTTCTGCATGCCACTTTGGGAGCCCTGCACAATCTGTGCTTCTACCAGGACAAACAGGCAGCTGTGCCGCCCTTGGCCGAGGGATCCCTTCAGAGTTTGATCGATGATTTGTCCGCCTCGCTGGCCAAGGTTTTGGGCAGCTGCCAGACCGCGGTGACCAAGGTGGAGTTGGCCCGCGTGCTGGGCAATCTGACGAGGAACGAGCGGGCACGTCGGTGCTTCTGTGCAGCCGGAGGATTGCCGCTGATGGTGCAGCAGCTGACGAAGCAGGCGGCTGGCCAGGATTACGAGCTGCGCACCTGTGCCATCGGCGTCCTGGTGAATCTGCTGGGCGATGGCGAGCAGCGAGGTCCTTTCCTGCAACTGCGAGGAGCGGAACTGCTCTCCTTGCTTCTGCGCGGATCCTTGGAGCAGGAGGACTGGTTCCTGGCCAACATTGTGTGTCAGGCCCTCTGGAATCTCCTCATCGATGGCCAGTGTGCAGCGAATCTCTGCCAGAGCGGCAACATTCTCGACGAAGTCAGCGATCTGCTCGCCGATTATCTCGATGAGGAGCGATTACTGCCCGGCGATAACGATGACGACGAACCGGAGCGGGAACAAGAGAATGTGGAATGTGAAACGGAAACGGATGCAGAAGCCCACGATGCTTTGTGGGAGGACTTCGCCTTGGTCGCCACCGATCTGCTGGAGCGCATCCAAAACAACTTCGATAGGCAACAGCAATCGCAGACTGTGGTGCAGCCACATGCCGATAACGAAGACGATAACGATGTTTTTATCGAAGAAATGTAGTACCAGTTCGATCGAAAGTTTATACTGTTTCTATATGTTTGCATTATAATTCGATAATTATCTTAAACTTAATAATCCAAGTCGATAAAAATGTTTCGAAAATACTCGTGTTATTCTTTGAACAACGGATTTGGGTGGGGATATGTTGAGAGTCCCTTTACTGCTTTCTCATAATAATATAATATTTCAATATATGAAGCTAAGAAATTTTTGCACTTAAATTGCAAAACTGTATCGGAAATGATTATATTTAGGAAATGACCATTAAAACAAACATGACGTCTTTTGTCAATGAAGAAATGTAAATATATACGAACAAGTTCCTCATATTTCAAGACACTTTGTTACAAACTTTTGGTTTCGTCTAATACTGATATAATTCTGATATGAACATAGATTCATTGGCAACAGCGTTAGTATTACTTTAAAAATATCAACATTACTGATTGTGAAAAATCCTGTACCCGCAGAACTTTGCATACTTATAATATAATATAAAGAAGATATCAGAAGGTATGCTTATTTTAAATTCAAGCTATCCATTACTGCAAATGGTTTTATAAGAAAGGTGGAGAATCAAGAAGCACTTGGGAAATACTATACGCGAAATGCATATGAATCATTTTTAAAAGAAAACATTTGATACTTCTTTGCAGGTGCGAATTCAGCTTTCTTAAAGTTGGTTAAGCTAATCATTTGAAATTTAAACTATTTCACATTTTTGTATAATATACGTGTTGATAAATTTTGTTTAGTTTTAAAAAAAACTCTTCTATATTCTACATTTACCAAAAATATGCAACCTAATAATGGAATACTTTTCCCTCCTTGTTCGAATATAAAATAGCAAATGAAGGAAATTTGAGAATGCAATTCAGTAAATCTTCCCCAGGTGCTTTGCCCATTTATGTGGACTAGTGTAGCTTAAACCAAACGACATATTCAGGTGATGACAACATCGCTCGAACTCACACACGCTAGCGGAAACCAATACACGCACGTCTTAAAGCCAAGTTTGGGTTCCAATCGGAATCGGTCTTATTGGCGGGCAGCCCATTAAGCTGGGTTTTATTTATAAGTATGAGTGTAGACAAATTGATAAAGACGAAAAGAAGGTAAGTCATGCCCCCGATTTGTATTTTGTTTAGTGAAATTATGAATCATCCCCGCACATTGTTGCTCTTTAGCCCTCTCTCTTTTCTGTTCCTCTCTGTTTTTTCTTATTGGACGTATCTCTCTCATTCTTCTTCTTATTAAGCTTTTTGTAATATTTATTTACGCACTTTGTTTATTAATTCGCATTTGCAAAAAGCCTAGAATCTTTAGGTAACGATTGAGGTTAAATAGGGGCAGGTAGTCAGAAAAAAATGAAATGACAGCATGCCAATCAGCTGGAGTTTGGCTTCAGAAAAAAAAATGGGAGTTGCCGGCTGCCACGGAACGTCTAAGAAAATGTTGCACAGAAATTAAAGTAAAGAACATTAGTTACCAACTGCCACAAAGATAATAGTGATGGCAAAAATCTGCTTGCAAACGTCATCCAAAGAAAGTTATAAAAAAAAGAGCAAAACATTGAGCTCCTCTCTTACGGATTTCATTTTGTTTATCTTTTTGGTTTCTCTTTTTTGGTCTATTGCACTATTTTTTGCATCTTTAATGGTACTCCAAACATTTTTAAGGTTGTTTTTAGCAAAGAAATGTTGAGACAAACATTTCATAACTTTTTGTATTGGTATATTAATTGTATTTCCCCTTTAATTTCTCAGGGTTTTTGAATTTGATAGTAAACTTTACTTGTCAAGATTGCAAGACTGTCCGGAAACATGTTTTCAGGGAATATGGAATTGTATTTTACGATTTTAATTAGAGTTTCTTTGGAACCTAAATATGTAGATGTTTTCCCTAATTTCTCCTTTAATAAAGGGCGTTTTTCTGAAGAGTTTTGTATTGTCGCGAACCACTTCGTTGGGTGTTCTATTGAATGGGGACCAGCATATCCTAAGGTTTCTATTAAAATCCCCTATGTTTTGGGCACAAATCTTTGGAAGGTTTCTTGGGGTTGCATCTACACTTACCATAAGTTTTCCTTTTCCGCAGCGGCATCCTTTTTCTTGGTGGTGAAGGATGATGTCAGCGCATTCGTTTGCGTCCCACTGTCCAGCGCCATGTTGTTGTTGTTGGCTCTGCGCTGCGGTATTCCTATTGGACTGCTCTCCTGCTCCTACGCCTTGTTGGGTTTCCTGGTCCAATTGGGAATCGGGATGTGCTGGAGCTGCGTGAGAGAGTTGGAGGAAGGGAGGTGGGATGAGAAACAGTTGGCAAACAAAAACAAACACACACGCGCGGCAGAGCGAGACGGCTGCCAGGTGTCGGCTGCATATGATTTCGCAGTCTATTTAAATAACTTTACTTAATTTGTTTATGGCAATGCAAGGCTGCACACTTGTTTTTTTCCTGTGCATTCGTCACCGCTCTCTCTCGCCCTCTCTCCCTCGCGCTTTTTGTTGCTTTAGTTACGACGCACAGCTGCTGACAAATTCGCAAATTTCCTCTTCTCTCTCTCTCTCTCTCTTTTCTTTCTTTTTTGGTGCCCACTTCTTTTCTTTTCGTACGTACGCAGTTTTTCACGCTCTTCGCTCTCCGGTGAAAACTCGCGGCCCTGGATCTTCACGCACGTCCGCTGGGCCTCCTTTCTATCGCTCCAATATGGGCCGACGGAAAATAACAACAAAAATGTCGACGGGCGAGCGAGGAAATTGAGTTTTTCGCTACGGAAAAAATATTTTGTACGACGAACTAGGGCTGGAACTGAAATCGATTAACCATCGATCAACACCGATAGGCCGATTGTCATGTATTAAAATCAACTATCGAAAGCTAAACAAAAACTCACTAGAAAATCTCCCTCGGCTTGTTCCTCAACCCTTCAATATAGGTTTTGAACACGGATTTTAAAATTGAAATTGGTGTTGCCAGACAACAAGAAAACTTTATCCAAAAAAAAAACTGTAAACTCCGTAAAAAATTTATTTCAATACTATTGATTTGTCAACAAAAATTCAATGAATTGATTTAATTACACTCAGAATTTTTTTATTTTGTTTTTATTTCCAACTTAAAATGCTGTTTTGAGTAAAATTTATGAAATACAAAAATTTTAACTCGTTTCAATAAGGTGTAGTGGGAGTGTTTTGATTCAATAAATTCATTAACAAAATTAAGCGATATACGCTGAAAATTTCTGAGTTTATTTTGGAAATAACTAATTGTTATCAGAAGTATAAAGAAAAATCGACTTCATAACTTCTAAAGAAAAACGAAAGTAATACAAAACAGGGATTTGATCCCTTTAGAACTATCAAATTATAACTGTTAGTCATTATATTTTGAGCCTTGTAATTATATGATAATCATAATAACAGGAACAAAAACCATTACTGATAAGGCCAAACAAGTGAACAATAAATTAAGTTTAATCCTCGCTAAGTAAATATCTATTTTAACAATGTCTTATACTTGAGCTATAATATTAAACAATAATTCAAGGTCCCAATACATCTAACAAACAAACCGACGTTTATTTTGCATCATAGAGGCACTTTTTTATATTGGAATTTTATAACAATTCCCTTTATTTTGAACTCTTTTTTGTACTTTCTTTCTCATTTAAAGACCTTTCATTTTCGGTGGGAGTGTGAATTCCGCGGCTGGTAACACTGTTCGACAGTCATAAATGCGTTAATCTTAACATTCATATTTTTATAGCACTAAATACAGAAACAGGAGGGAAAGTCGAGGGAGCTCAAAAAACGGGACAATGCAATCTACTAGCCTTTTTCTAACTGTGATTTTCCTTATAAGCCTCGTCCAAATTAATGGTAAGTTCGTCGAGTTCGTGTTCCAGTTGCAAGTCTTTTGTTTCTGTTGCATATGTGTTGTGTCCGTGTGCGTGTTCTGCTTTTCCACACGGGGAAAACAGCAAAAGTTGATAAATAACAAATATTTCCGCCAACTCTCTAACTAATGTCTTAATTTTAACATTTTTTTACTTAATATAGCTACTACATTCTTTATAGAAAACGTGCATTTAACAAGTGTGTTGCACTTTATTTTCATTATTTGTAATTTTTTTTTATTAATTATAATTTTTAATAATTTTGTGCTGCTTAGTTTAATAAGGTTTTACTAATCGTTGAGCAGCAGAATTGTCTTGTTGGAGAAGAATACATATTTATTTACAGTAGAATCCTGTTATAACGACTCCGCTTATAGTGTCCGTCCGGGTATTGCGACGAAAACTCGATGGCTTGATTGGTCCCCAGACAGACTTATGTATACACTTAAATCCTTCTGCTTAGTGCGTCTTCCGGGTATAACGACGAAAAATCGTCGGTCCCTTGAAAGTCGCTATAAGCGGATTCTACTGTATTTTGTTTTTATAAACTTTTTAAAGCATTTGAAATTTAATATAGTTTTACCAAAATCAAACATACATACATATGTAGATTTAACTTTTTAAGAGTTAATTATGTGTTATTAAATTTACACAGCATCCTACTCCAAAAGTTTTCGCATACATTCAAATGAATTGTGTTTGTTCCCTATGATTGATTTGTTAATTATTTGCACTTGCAGGCCTCCTGCGGCGGTGCTACCAGTGCCGATCCCGCGGAGAGTTGGGCAGCTGCAAGGACCCGTTCACGTTCAACGCGACGGACGTGGAGAAGGAGTCGGGACTGGAGGCCATCCCGTGCGCGAGCGGCTGGTGCGGCAAGGTGATCGAGGGCGGCGGCACCTACGCCATCGACGACTACGACCTGGCCATCCAGCGGATGTGCGTGCAGCGCGGTCCGGACGACAACATGGACCGCTGCGCGGACACCATCTACAACTACAAGAAGGTGTACATGTGCTTCTGCCAGGGCGACCTGTGCAACGGGTCCAGGAGCTGGTCCAGTGCTCCCCCGACGATCCTCCTCCTCCTCCTCCTCCCGATTCTTGCGTTGCTCCAGCGGATCCGGGTCTAGACTGGCTGCCTCTCCTCCAGCGTGCAATGTATATACACTCTTAATACTCATCAGCATGGAATCAAAATCAAAATATTTGCAATACAAAATACAAACTGTTTTTCGTTAACACTTTGGAGCGGTTTTCTTTTGATAAAGTGATTGGAAATTGCAGATTCCCCCGGGAAATAGTTCATTTTTGTTACGAAATAAAGAAAGATTTGAAAAAAAAAAAAAAAAAATACAGAATGTTTTTAAATATTTCTTTAAATGTATTTGGTATAAAGAAATATTTGAAAAGACAGAATACAGAATATGTTTTTCAATGTCTTTCAATTTTCTTAAAACAGTAAAAAATAAAAGATCTCTCGTTAAATAAGCAAAGCAAGGTATTTCAAGTTAAAAAGGGCATAAGGGGTCTGAATTTTGTATTAAGTGTTTCCATGGGAACTTAAAGTGCCCAAGATAATACCCCATAATCCATTAGATAAGGCAAAGCAAGTAATTTTTTTGGCGCAAGCTCAATTACATAAGATACAAGTTGTTTTAAGTAGGATTGAAGGTTTTTATAGTTAAAGGAAATTCTTAAACTATTATTATTATTGAAATAAACTTTAAACTATTATTCTTTAAGGACTTGCTTTGGTATTTCCCAACATGTTTACCAAATATTCCTCACCATATACTTACATTTTATACCTTTACTTTGCAATACTCAATCGAGTGGATTTGCTCTTGTTCATGTTTTATGACCTCTTCATTAGTTAAGTAAAAATTGAGCACAAGAACAATAAGAAATCCAAAGCCCCCATTAACATTCGGAACACTTGGTTGCCGAGAGGCGGAAATCACTTTCGCAACTGAAACCACGCTTCGGCAACGTGTTGAACCCAATTCCCAAAGGAGGTCAATCGGCTATCAGCGGAGAGCTTCTTGCAAACGAGCAGTATGCTGTTTATATATTTATTTGAATCACTTGCGTATGCACTTAACATACAAACTTATCTAGGAGGCTTGCTTGAATGCGATAATGTAGGAAAAAAAACTTTTAATCAATGCTTTCCTTCGTTCGCGCTGACAAAAGGTAAAAAGGCGAAAAAATGAACGAAGGGAGGCGTCTAATAAATGCCCGTGTCCATGCGGCCAAGGAGCCCACTGTTCCATCCAACAACACGTGGTTTCCGCTCGGTAACCAGGAGAAAAAAAATAGAAAACATAAAGGAGGATCCGCTGTCCAGTTCACTTGGCGTCCCGCAGCTTCTCCGACTGATCGCGCAGACACGCCGGACACCGGGAGTTCTGCAGCTGCATCTGCTGCCGGTTCTTGGTGGCCTCGTGGCAGTCCATGTGGTAGAAACCACTGCATAAATGGCAGTACATCGCTTCGCGCTCTGAAAAAATGCAGAAATATAAAATCGGTTTTAGAAGATGATCGCAATTCATGAGAGCAAAATGTTATCGCTAAATAAATGCTAATAATGATTAATATCTGTTAAATGCAGGCACCACTTGAAGATCATTTTAAAACTGTTGTATAAACATAGCTTTATAATGTTTTTAAAATTTCAATAAGTATAAGATAAGTTAAGCTATCAAGTTTTCTTTATAATGCAGGAAATATCCGTATATCAAATGTGTTAACTCCATTTTTTAATAAAGGCAAAAAATCGAGTCATGAATTCATGAGTGATCAAGAAATTGTATGTTAATGGTTCTTATGATCTTACGATCTCATCTTCATGGCTTAAGTAGTCAACGATATTAAGAACCACAAGGGGTTAGGTAGAATCTTTAGTTTCTTTGATCACGTCATCTTAAAAGAAACGTTTATGGTTTATATATTAGGGATTTATGCCTTTAGAAACTCACAAAGCATTGCAATACAAATTAAGTGATTTGCTTAAATAAATCTTTAGAAACCACGAAGCGTACGTTAAAAACTTATACAACAAAATCAGGCAATCCAATGGCCTTTGTCACCATTGAAACCTCAACGATTCTACGAAAGTGAAAATACCCATCAAAAGTGAAAATGGATGTAAAACCACTGAGACAATGACTCACCGACTCGCCGCTTGCATTCGCGGCACTCGCGGCACTTGCGGCACCTGGAGGCGCCACTCTCCCCGTGCTGGCAGCCCGGCACTCCACTTCCGGTCACCGCCGATCCTCCTCCAGCCGCTCCTCCAGCTGCTCCTGCAGTGGAGATCTTCTCGGTAACCTTATCCGGGGACTTGCTCTTCCGCGTGTACGCCCTTTTCGAGTTCGCCTGCAGGCGCTTCTCCTTCGGCGAGAGCAGGAACTCCGGCTTGTCCTTGGCCTTCTTGTGGCCGCGAATGCCCAGGACCAGCGTGTCCATGGCATTCAGCTGCTGGCCGTAGTGGAAGTCCACGCCACTGGCGTTCTGGACGGTGCGTCGCTTGCGCTTCGAGTGCCGCTGGTTGAGCTTCTTCAGCACCTCGGGTGTGTACAGCCCAAAGAGGCCGAGGAAGGTCTCCTGGCCGTACTCCGCCGGCAGGATGCGGCTCTCGCGCGGCTCATCCCGCCACTGGGCGGCGGAGGCGAACAGTCGCTGCTGCTCCTGCTGCAACTCCGCACTGGAGTCGTCCGAACTGCCCGACGGCGATCCCGCTGGCTGCGGTTGCGGTTGCGAATGCGATTGGGATTGGGATTGGGATTGCAACTGGGAGGAAGACGACGGCGTTGGCGAGGATTTGCGTCGGGTGTTCCTGGTCTTCACCGAGTTCTTCCCCGTTCCCTGGAGCGGCAGTTGAGCTGCCGACTTCTTGGCCAGAACATTGGATGCCTGGTCCGTCACGATCTCCAGCGGTGGCGGTGTCTTCCTGCCCTCGCCACTCTTGGACTTCCGCCCGTTCTCCAGACTGGTGATCTCCAGCTCCTCCTCGTCGTCGAAGAGGCGCGGCTGCTGCTTGGTCTTCCTGGCCCGCTTGAGCGCCTGGTGCAGGTTCTTCCTGCTCTGGGCCACCACCTCGAAGTCGGGCGGCGAGGTCGTCTGGTTCTGGCTCTGGGGCAGCGCAGGTGCCGCCGCCTGTGGCTGTGGAGCCACCAGGGTCTTGGTGATGGGCGCCAGCGGCGGCGGCGAGCTGCAGGTGATGTTCCGCCGCTTCAGGGGCGCAGCTTCCAGCGATCGCTTTAGCATCTCCGACTGGGACTTGAGCGGCGGTGGCTGGGCCAGTGGCACCTTCTCCTGCTTCGGCCAACTGGCCTGCGGATGGACGGCGGCGATCTGCTGGCCCAGTCCCCTGACCGGAGGAGCCAGCATCAGCGGTATGTTCTCGTCCAGGTCGCTCAGCTTCAGCGGCGGCACTCCCGCCTCGTCGTCCTGGCTGAGCAGGAAGTGCTTGCGGATGAGCATCTCCTCGGTGTCGCGGCTCATCACCGACTGCGGGCAGATCTTGTAGCTGGGGTCGGAGATCAGGGGCACTATCTGCCGGGACACGAACTCGTTGGCCAGCTCCGGAACGCTCTCGATGTTGTTCTCCTCCAGCTTCACGTAGAAGCCCTCCAGGTCGTCGTTCAGGCGGAGGAGGAGGAACTGCTGCTCGGCGTTGATCTCGTACACCTCGTCCTCCAGCTCGTCCAGGATGCGGCGCATCTGCACGGGATCCTGATAGCAGAAAAGGGATAGTTATGAATTAAATTCCTTAGAGATTATTTCAAGATGCGGGGTGATGGGTAAAACAAGGTTTTTATGCTCCTAATCAGTCATTAATATAATGATGATTAATTACATTTGGTGTACATAGATTGGATTTTAGTTTTCCATATGTATTTATCAATTTATAATATTTAACTTTTCTTCTTTCGAAAATATTCACCAAGAAGTGTTAATTTCTTTTTCTTACTATATATACATTTATAATAACACAAGAACATGTTATAAAAAGAATGTTAATAAAATATATTGTGCTCTTTATACAAAGAAACAACTTTTATTATTCATCTAAACTTTGAAATGAAACTAGTATTTCTTTAATTTTAAAATTGACTTCTAAAAATGTATATGTATTTGAAATTTTTTTAAATCAAAAGCCAGTCTTTGGATGACTGATAAAAATGTTATTATTCATACTAGTTTCGATGAGCTGACTCAATGTGTACGTGTTTGTGCATACATTAGGGCTTCATTCCCAAGAAAAAAAAAGGAATTCGAATATTTTTAATTCTATAAGCTCTGAGGGTTCAGTAAAACTCTTAAAAATAGTTGAGACCTAATCAGTTGTTAAGTATGAATGGTTTTGTGTGGGAATTCTGTGTGATTTTTCACTAGTTAGTACGTAATTAACACACACATATAATCAGTTCCTAATAGAAAATAAATTTAATATCCCATATTTACAAAGAATTTGTAGAAACTCGTTCCTGAACCACACCTGATCAGCTTTCCTGTAACGTATTGAATATTTGAAACACTTTCGTCTGGGTTTGATAGGTTTTATTGTTTCTACAAGAACACCTTCTAGAAAAAAGCTCCGCATTCAGTTCTTTGTGTTGGAACTCTGGGATCTGGTGGGGTGCATTCTTATAGAATGGGTATAGGATTCAATTATTCATACTGGTAAAGACGCAATTCTTTACGAGGTGATTCAGTGTGCACTTGCGTAGAAACACACATCTATTACAATCGTTTCAAAATGAAAATACGCATATAAGAATAAAGCTTTCGTAGAAACCCATTCTCAAAATATTCTCTATAAGCTTTTCTGTAAGTAAGCCAAATGTTTTTAAAATGCTAATGAATATGGTTTCTGTTCTTTATGTTGCAACTCTATCATATTAAGTAAACTATTAACTACTTCGGAAAACTATACTCCAAGTTATTTACTAGCACTTCTGTAATGAGCTTTTGGGCAACTCATTCTTAAACTAAACGTTATGAGCTTTCTTGTAACTAAAACGATTGCAAAAAGAAAGAACTTCTGGTTATTTCTAATACTCAACTACATACAGTTCTTTGTGTGGGAAACCTTTTGGTTTTTGCTGGGGGTATTCTTATCAAGTATGTCGGGTCCAGGCGGGGGTTAGGTGACCGTGGCACCTGCTCCCGCGGAACAAAGGGAACAAGGACTCGCGCTCGTTCGTTCGCTATTTCGTTGTCAACCCACCGCATCCGCCTGCTCCTTGAAGACGTCCGTGACCAACTGCAGAAGAGCCGAAGACAAAGGAGTTGAGTAATGCATTATCGGAATCCGGAACTCGGAACCCGGAACCCGTAGTGTCCCCTAAAAGGCCCAAAAAAAGATAAAACTCACCCCGTGGACCTTGAGGAAGTCGCGCATCGCACGCTGGCAATAAACGATGTCGTTCTTCAGCTCCAAAGGCAGCACGTAGCAGTTCTCCATGTAGTAGCGGAACTTGGCGTACTCCGTGCACCAGTCGCTCATCTCGGCTGCTGTCCCCGATTATATGGCGGCTATATAACGACCGATATCGAACGAATCACGCACGCGACTTTCGGTTTCAACGCGATTCACTTGTGGGATTTCATTGGCTGCAATGATGGAACGTTCGCCCCTTTTTTTGCGGGGGCTGTGATCCCAAAGGGGGTTTTCTTTCTGGGCTGACGCCTCTGGGAGGCAGAAAGTCGAGAGAACAGGTAAACTCGGATCGCAGGATAATGCAGAGAAATCGCGAGAGTTACGGATTTAACTTTTTGATTGAGTTCGGCAGTGTGGCCAAACCGCGAAAGACCACCGCGCCTAACGCGAAGTTCGTTGAAAACTCTGGTTTCCAGTGCACCGAACACGAAGCGCGAAATTTGAAAATGAGTAAGAAAAAGTCGGAGCAAAGACTATAAGATAACTACTATTATCCCCCAAAGGAGGTTTATCGTTTAAAAACTGTTTCATATGTTCAAGTTAGGCAAAGTTAATATTTTAAAAGATTTAAATAAAGTTACCATATTAGCAAACAGTTCAGCAAAACTTATTTTAATAAATAAAATAAAGCTATTAAAAGAGTAGTATTTTGAAACAAGAACAGACAATTCTTAAACATGACTTCTAAGTTCAAAGTTTCCAAAAGTCAGAACGTTTAACTTTGCTGATAATAAGAATTTATTTAAAAACCATTTAAATGTTTAATTTAATAGGATTCTACCTTCAATGCTTAAAGCATAAGAAAATATGTATATATGAAGAAAATATATGAATTACTGTTGATAAAACTAAGAGACTAATTTTATCCAAGTTACAACACAAATAAATATTAAATCAATAGATAGTAAAATCCACATCCACCACATCCGACTTCGTGGAGTATTTGTAAACAGCGATGACTTATTTAAAAATGTCAATAAAACATATAAATGTACTAAAATTAAAAATAAATATATTTGTATTTCTTATTTAACTTAATTTTAAATAAATTCCATTAGTTAAATGTTAGGTATTGTTTACATAAGAAGTGTAAATTATCCCGTTGAGTAAAAGCGCCAATGCGGCCAAGAACGGAAGCTCTAATTTGGACACCCTGTACTCCACTATCGTATCAACAATATATCGCTTCAAAGGAAAAGCCCGATTTTTTTTCTAAAAATATTTCGATATATTGGCACTTGAGTCATTTTGCACATCTCTAGCTAGTTGATTAAAGAATAGTTGTGATCAACGAAAGTGTGATTAGCGAGGTTTTTAGGAATCGAGGAATTCGAGCCGCAGCAAGTGAGTAATCCCGAAATGTGTGCCAAATTGTGTAGAAAATGGACTGATCCTGCTGGCCTCTTTGCCAAGTGGAATTAGTCTAGTAGGCGCCGAAATTCGCCACCGCCTTTTTGACCCGGTTGCAATATGGAAGACAGGCGATGGCGTCGCTTCGCTTGGAAATGTGCGGCTTATATCGAGGAATTCGCTTGCCGATTGGCCAACCTTGGCTCCTCCGGCTCCAGATCCGTCCGATAATGAAGCCGGCTGCCACCGCACATGCCATGCAAAAGGCCTTCCAGAGATTTCCGCACAAACGACGTGGTGCCGCCTCGTGCTGATTTACTTATCCAAAGCCCTCCCGAAACCGAATCCCTGTTTGAAATCCCGGCTTGGATAAACTTCAGTCGATGTTCGCTTTTGAAATCTACTTTGTTTTTTGGGCCGTCAAAGGGTTTTTCTAATTGCCATGGCATGGTAGCGCCATTCGCATTTTGTGAGGTTAGGCATGAATCGCAAAAAAAAAAGCGACGAATTTGCTTCATGTTTCTTCTGCCGGCAGCGACGTTGACGTCGGCGTCTGGCTGCGTGTGCTTGCGCCTGTGTTTTATGAGTGTGTGTGCGTTTGTATTTGAATTTTATTTGAGATTTCGAATTAAAAGCGATTGCTGATTTTCACGTGAATCGCGACTGGCAATGCAACCGGTGCATTATTTGTGCGTCTGGTTTTTTCTTCATTTTTTGGCGCGCTTAGCGGCGTCCACAGGTTTACACAAACACATGCAAACATTGCTGTAATCGGCCGGCGTTTACAGGCCGCCCCCTTTACAGTGGAGTTTGCTTGTTTTTTCTTCGTCCTGTCGTAATTATGGGCAGCACTAACAGTCGCGCATGCGAAGGAATTCACGTTTCCGATTTCACAATCTCGCCATCCTGAAAATCGGAAAATCTTGAGTGTGACTCATCCAAATTCCTTTTTCGGCGTCTTACGAAATTTGACTTTATTCATGCCAGAAATCATTCTCTATGCTTATGATAGTATCTATCAAAAAAGTTTGAGTTCATTGATACATATTCCAAGCTTTATATTCAAATGCAAGGACCAACAACTAAACCTTTTTTTCTTAACCTTTATTTTTTAAAGGTATAATTATTATTTACCAACCCAAAAAGACTATAAATAGTTAAAAGAAATGAAGCTCAAAATTACCGAAAGGGAGTTCTTCAGAAAATAAAATCAAGGACTTTTCATGTATTTTAAAATTTGCCAACTGCCTAATGAACTTTTATGTATATCAATACTGTTATTTGTGAACAGGAAATTCGAAGATGTCGGAAGTTGTCTCTCTAACAACACCTTAAGTTTAGTTTAGTTTGTGTTCTTAAATAACAATTTCATTTCTTATATTTGAATTTGTTTAATATTGTAGCTCAACCAGCAGTAATTTTGATTTCCGGCAGACAATTGTTTTTACTTATTTCGCATGCCTGAATTTAAATTAGTAATCCTAAGACAATTGTGGGTCATATCCATGGGTTCTACGGGTTTCCTTTGTGACCTAAACTGTTTTTGCTCCGCATAAACGTGTTGCTTAGTGTGTGTGATTGCCTGCAAAGTATATCCTTCCGCCTCCTTGGCCATTTGTCGCTTGCCAGTTGTCCTTCTTGCCGCTCCTGTTGTTGTTTTCGCTATCGTTGTCGTTTCGCTTGTCGTCGTAGTTGTAGTTGTAGTTGTTGCTCCTTGGTGCGCCAGGAATTTTGGCTTACCTGCATTCGCAGGCAGCCACTGTTGCCGTCTCTCTCACTCTGCCGTCCGTTATCCTGCGGCCCAGCGTGAGTGGCAGCTGCAGTGTCCCTCTATCGCCGTCCTGCTCTCTCGCTGGCTGCCCCTGCGAACAGCTGGTTGCCGTCCTTGGCGGGCTTTGACGCATCCTTTGTGTACGTCACGTTTTGGACGTTTCGGTTCGCAGGATTCGCAGTCAGTCGCCTGGCGCTCGCCGAACCAACAACATCCACTGCAATCCTTGCAATCGTCCTGCGCCGCTGCTTAACTTTGGAAGAGAAATACTTTTGCAAAACACTGAGAATAACGTACGAAACATACAATCCTCTACAGCTCTCTGATCCGCCGTCAAAGTCCAGAAGTCCCAGAAGTAAAGAACACAGAGTGCCAACAACAACACAAGCAGCAGCAGGATGGCTCAGGAAGGTCAGGATATGCCCACATTCAAGTGCGTGCTCGTCGGCGATGGCGGCACTGGAAAGACGACCTTCGTGAAGCGCCACATGACCGGCGAGTTCGAGAAGAAGTACGTGGCCACGCTCGGCGTGGAGGTGCATCCACTGATCTTCCACACCAACCGCGGCGCCATTCGCTTCAACGTGTGGGACACCGCCGGCCAGGAGAAGTTCGGTGGCCTGCGCGACGGCTACTACATCCAGGGCCAGTGTGCGGTCATCATGTTCGACGTTACCTCGCGTGTCACCTACAAGAACGTGCCCAACTGGCATCGCGATCTGGTCCGCGTCTGCGAGAACATCCCGATCGTCCTCTGCGGCAACAAAGTCGACATCAAGGACCGCAAGGTGAAAGCGAAGAGCATCGTCTTCCATCGGAAGAAGAACTTGCAGGTGAGTGTGGTTGGACTTTGATCTAAGAAACTGCGAATTCCTCTGGATTGTTGCTTGGCTTGATAGAAGATAGAAGCTGCATGAGCTGAACTACATGGTTCTATAGGGTATTGCTCTGAAAACTGCATATACAGCTGATTGGTTTCCAAATTTAGAGGAGTTCAAAGTGTTTCGTTCTACTTAGGCATTACTAAAACCATCCTCGTTCTCTGCAGTATTACGACATTTCTGCCAAATCGAACTACAACTTCGAGAAACCATTCCTTTGGCTGGCGCGCAAGCTGGTTGGCGATCCCAACCTGGAGTTCGTCGCTATGCCAGCCCTGCTGCCGCCCGAGGTCAAGATGGACAAGGACTGGCAGGCGCAGATCGAGCGGGACTTGCAGGAGGCCCAGGCGACCGCCCTGCCCGACGAGGACGAGGATCTATAAGCCTATTCTATAGTTAACTGAGAGAGAGAGATGGCCGGCTTGCACACACCACAATCACAACCACAACCACACGCAGTCACGACTTTTGGGACAGCAGCAGCAGCAAAGCAGGCGAAAAGTGAAGCGAACCAACCAGCAGCAGCAGCCGCAGCCGCAGCAGCAGCAACATCAACTAGAGATCAGCATCAGCAATAATCCACTATATATAAAGAGTTACGGATTGCCAGCTAACGATCGGCCATTACGCCAACCTTTAACCAGCAGTCCTGCATCCTGCAAGCCCTTCTGCCGTCGATCGTAATATAATTTTAGAGATCCACTCATTGATAAGTCGGTTATAAATGATTTTTTTTTGTGTTTCTTTCCATTGCGTTGCTTTTGGCTGAAACTGAATTGTCTTAATGGTATAGAATCGAGAAACGTACCCAAAAATCAAGTAAAATAAATATCGAAATCGTATTTTTTTAAAACTTGCAACAACGATGTTCTTTCCACTCCTCTTGCAACAATTATCGTAAAAAAAAAACAACAGCAAACAGTGTGCATGTCGAAAAGAAGGAGACGGCGAGATCCGCACGCACGGGAGCGAAAGAGAGGGCAACAACGGCAAACGAACTGAGTCCCCAAAAGAAGATAGGAAAAAACTAAAGAAAAAAAATAGAACAGAACGGAACAGAAAAACACTAAAAACAAAGAAAAATATATAGGAAGGCCGCCGAATCCACATCTACATGTTATTAATATAAGATACTAAAGAAATAAAAAAATAAACGTCAAAAACACTATTTAAACTCGGTTTGCTATGCAGAGGATTACGACTAATTATTAAAGGCAAATTACAAGGAATATTATTCATTCCCGGACTTAGTTATACAACTTAAAGCGAGAGCTGGAACTAAAACGTTCGTTTTTGATTAAAATGGTTAAGAACTACGTTAGGTTTTATTTTATTAACATTGTGGGAAAACGATTTTATATCGTAAACATATTTTTTTCTTTAAGCTCACATCCTCTAAATTTTATTTATTATAATCTTTCACATGGAAACATTTTTGTTTAGGTTAAAACACTTTTTAAATTTGAAATGAATGGAATGTATAAGCCTCCGTAGTTTTCCGATTTAAGGGCACTTTATGCAGCAGCCTGGAAAGACACCCGTGAAGCTATCCTGGTTGGCACACGTGATCTTGTACTTGGCGCAACTGCGATGAAATTGTATTTATAGTTAGTATAGGATGTTAGTAGAATATGAAATACAGCTTAGAGTGCCTAATACAAGAACAAAGAATGTGGTAACAGCAGTTCAATTTGTTATGTAGATCACCTCGAAAGGAATATACATTTTTATTATTTGAAAACCAAATGTACAAATTAGGCTCCATTTTCGCGAATTGATTGAAGTGAATTGATAGTTTGGAAAAATTAAAAACCGATGATGTCGGAAAGGAATTTATAAATCTGCCTCGCGCCTCATTTCAGTGCTTATTAGTCAACTTTCAACAATGAATTTAATTTTTTTAAATCGGATCCATGCTCATTAAGGACTTTTTATTTCAATTTTGAAAGTAAATAAGTTGATTTTTTCTTAAATCGGAAGGCTCTGTCAAAAACTCTAGAAAAATTGAAATACCTTTGTTGTTAAACCAACTTGTTTTAAAAGACAACAGTGAATTGTCCTTTTTATATATAATACTTAAGTTGTATCTGCAACACTTTTTCCACTGCATAACAATTTGACAATATGTCAGCTTAATTTAAGCATTTTGCTTAACGTTAAGCAATTCACTCCGGCAATGGATATCAAAATATATTATTTATATTATTATTTCTGTAAAGATCAAACTACTCAATCATAAAGCGAAAGAATTGAGAAAATTAATGGGAATTTGCGAAAACGGAGATGAACTATAGCGCTTAAGTTGTGTGGATTGAATTAACAATAGGAAAGAATAGGAACAAGTCTGGTTACTATAGACTCTTGAAGAGTTTTCCCTTTCCTTTCCTGTTTTTTGTAATTACCTATATTCTGATTGGTTTGGCCTTGGGAGCCCACATGGGTACTTACTCCTCCACGACGGTGATGTGGGGGTCCTTGCAGACAGCCCTCTTGTGGCACAGGCCATTCTTGTCGAAGTCCACGTAGTCCTGTTCGAGCTTCAGTTCCTCAAAGTAGCGGAGAACGATGTTCTTGCCCTCCAAGTTGCGGTAATTGCACGTTATTTCGCTATCTGGAAAAGATCGAATCGGATCGGATCGGCTATGGTCTCCAGAAGCTGATGGTTGGCATCTCACATGCGTCGGCGGTGGGCAGGAGAGTCTCCGGGAGGAGGAGGGCCAGCAGAACGGCGAACACCAGCCACTTGGACGAGCTGTGCATCTTGGAAGTGTGCCGACGAGACTGAACCGACCGCCGGCCAAGCGTTTCCTATTTATAGTTCCTCGAAAGAAATGTAGCAACTGGGATCTCGGGATCTCAGAGATCTCTGCGCTGTTTGCAATTTAGCAGCCGTGATTTGCATTTTCAGCTTGATTGAGAGGGGCTCTTGCTGGCACTTTTAATTGGTTAATTGTTTGGCAGGGGTTGGTTGCCCAGTTTCCCAGTTTCCAAAGGCAAGTGTTTAAATCCCTGCGAGAGCATTTAAGGAGATTATTTTAAAATCCTACAAGATGAAACACTTGCAATGGGAGTAACAAAAATCCTCTTCACAGCATCATTATGAAATCTACTTAAAAGATGTTCTTTCAAAGATAAAGAACTTTAAAAAATATTAATATTCTGTCTGATTCTTTCCCTGATGTGTGACGCTATTTTTAAGACTTGTTTAATTTATAGGTGAAATCAACACTTGGTGGATTTATTTCATTTAAGCAACTTTATGTTCAACAAATAGAATCGAATCCTTGTATTTTTATAAATATATTTATTTCGTAAGTTCCTTAGCTGTCCTATACATATTGGTATTTTTTAAACCAAATTGTGAAAACATAAGACATGACTCATAATCAACATTTTCAAAGAACATATAAAAGACAGAGAAATAAAATGTAGAACAAGAAGTGAGGAAACTTTTCGCACCAATGCAAAATCTTAGAACAAAAGTTATTGAATGGGTTTGAGAAAAACAAAAAGTAATACGTTTGAAGCTAATACTAGGTTTGGATTCAAGGAATAGGGAAGGTGCCTAAATGTAGTTGCTCTCCGACTCCTGGCAAACCAATTTGGGGCAGCAGTCGGGGAAGGTGCGTCTCATGTCCGAGGCAATCCTGCACTTCTCCGTGGGAACGAGGTTGTGACGACCGCAGCTGGAATGGACATCAATTAATAAATGTCAACTAAATAAATGTTTGATGTTCCATTTAGGAAGCTTACTAGCCAATCTCCAGGACATAGTCCGGCCGACAGTAGATCGATTGGCAGTATCCTTCGCGGTTGATCGGCTTGTAGGACTGCTTCTTGGGAATCGCCTGGTTGAGTTCCTCATAGTAGCACTGGCCAGGATAATCTGAATGCATTGGCAACGACTATTCAATTAACTTACTGATCATACATTGTTTTGTGGGAAATTACACTATCCGATAGGAAAGTATACTTCAGAGTTAGAAGCATAGCATTTCTGATTTTATATTCGAACTCCGAGGTGTAAAACTAAGTGGGTAAAAACCGGTTTGCTTTTAGTTGTAACTTTATTTATAGGCACAACTATGTAACTATTTTACGTTTACTTTCTCACATTGGAATTGTTAACTTTTTTTTATTTTTATAGAATTTATAGAGAGGAAGAGAGATCGGTAAAGAAGAGGCATTTAACTATCAGATAACCATAATTCAGATAAACAAAGATCAAGAATATTATACATTATGGCGTCGCAAGTGCTTCCTTCTGAACACTGTTTAAGAGCTTAACAAATTATTTAGATCCAAGTCGAGCGATGCAATCATGCCCCCAAAATAAGTCTTGCTCATCATGTAAAAAACTATTCAAGGTTAATGCAGTCTGATATGACTTTAAATAAAGTTGTAGTAAAGTTAACTTCTTTACCCAAGAGCACACATGAATATTACTGTTTAGAAATTATATGGAAAATCTAAAAATCAACTTGGCACTTCAAATCTTTGCAATATCAACTGTAGCTTTTCCACAATTTCAGATTTCCGATTTAATTACCGATTCGCCTCTTAAATATCCAATGGCCATTGCTCACCTGGATGAACCGCATTTCCGCGGTAGGTGAGATCCGCCCAAGATGCACCGAGAATGCCGAGGAGCACCAGAAGACCACCAGCCACTGTCAATCGCATAATCGAAAGCCAACAAAAACAAAGAATATAGAAGGGGGAATCAAGTGCGAGATTCGGAATCCCAATTTGAAGTCCAAGTCCAAACCGACTTGGCTGTTGTGCGCTGCCCGTGCGACTGAGTCAATTACAATTAATTGTTGTTGCTTTTATATAAAATTAATAATAAACACTGTGCCGTATGTGCTGAATGTGGGTATATGAGCACACGGGTTAGCACACAACAATCCATACACACAGAGATAGCATCTGCGCTGTGCTTTTGTTTTGTTTTGCTTATTGTGACGACGACTTGAGGCACTCGCTCTAGCTCTAGTTTAAATTTAAATTAATTAAGCCAGCCCTGAAAGCGAGAGTGAGATCTGGAGGGGATCGGATCTGGTGCCATGGGGGATTGGGGGATCGGGGGGAACTGGAATGGAACGGAATCCCCAACAGCCGAGTGACATGGTTTGGGAAACTGTGGCAAGGTTGCTGCGCCGCGAAAAGTAATCAAAACACGCAACTCAACTCTTTTGTAAATCCGAATTTCGGCCACCTACACAGAAAACAAATGTTTTTATATCTCAAATAATTTAAATATATTATTAATGCTTACCAACAACGGTTTTAAGCACCACTGCTACAAACACATTTTTTTTTATTCACAAAAAAATATATTTAAACCATTTACTAGTATATTTTATTATAATTTAGCAGCTACATTTTTATGCTAGCTCTGATTAATATGTGATATCTCAAAATAACAATGAAATAATTGACAAATGTACGTATTTTTGTTTTCTGTGTACCTTAAGATTCCCGGGAACGTATTACGCAGATACATTTATGCAAATTTAATGGAACTCACGAGTGCAAGTGCATTGTGGTTGGGATTAAACTGCACTCGCATTAATTAATTCAAAGCGCGGAGAGGGGAATGGGATGTTGATTTGATTTGGATTGCATTGCACTGGATAAAGGCAAGTCAACAACTTTCACTACAAATCGACAAAAGTCTAGGGATCATTTTCCGCTAAAAATTAAAATGTTTATAAAAAATATAACCAGTTGTTATAAATGAGTTAATTAACTAAGAATGGTAAAAGAAATAAGTATATTCTATATACAATGCATTTCAATGTAAAGAGATATGTAAAATGTATATACAAATTATACCATATTATATCATATTATAAATAAAACCATGATTATACATTTTTCTTTTAGTTAAAACGATAACTAATTGAATTAACCAATAATTATATTTAACGGAACAGTATGCGTATTTAGTTTAGTAATAAACCTTAACAATTATGCGGTATATAAAAACCATTTCTCATCAAAATTATTGGTGTACAAAATTATATAAGTTATCAGCATTTGACAAAAATTTGTTTTTTTCCTGGTTGTCAAGGATTCCTAAAGATTCTTTTAATTGTTTCAAAGCAAACTGTTTGATAAGCAATTTGCGAGGCTATCAAGCTGGCAAATTTGTTTGGTTGTTGGTTGGCTTACTACCTTACACCTTAAGTATATTATATTAAGTATATTTTCCTGGACCCAGCCAACATCTCGAGTAAGTGGGTCAACCTATCTATCGTCGATTGATAGACGGCAACTTCCTCCACTTCCACTTCGAGAGCAAGGCAAACCGCGTCCAAATCAAATCAGCTTTCAGGGGCACCGGATCAGTGATAGGAAACTGATAAGGAGGCCATATAAGAGATGGTCGGACCGAATGGCCGGGAAATTCCAAAGCGAGAGCAGCCATGTCCGGAGCAAGATGGATGTCCGTGGCCCTTGTGGCCTTGTGCTTAGCGGTGTCCTCGGTGGCCGCCAATGGCTTCAGCACCCAGTATCGCGGTCACGTCCAGCACCCAACCCTCCCGCTGCACTGCCTCTACGAGGAGCTCGACCTGGCCGTGCCGCTCCATGGGTACGAACTGCCCTCCGGTCACAACGGCTACTGCGTCCGGGTGCACTGCGCCGAGGACTACCTGCTGATGATCCAACAGTGAGTCCCGACTTCGATAGCTAACAACGCATTCTAATTCCCCCGATTCCCGCCAGCTGCGACCAACAGCGGTACCCAGCACCTGGCTGCCAATTCAGTCCCAGCGACTTTAGCCTCCAGTATCCCGACTGCTGTCCTCAACTGGTGTGCTCCTAGCTCTCTAGATATGAGGCATTATTTTATACACCATGGAACTCCCTCAACTGGGGCTTCAACTGCATCTGACATCAAAAATGTAGAAGAAGATTGACAATAACATTTAAAAATAAATTTAATAAGACATTGAGAGCTAAGAAAGTGGTTAAATGGCAGAATTTAAATTGAAAAAGCCTAAGACATATATTATTAATTTCCAAGCAATATTAAACAAAATATACATATAAGTCTAAAAAAATAATATAAATAAAATTCTTAAAAAATAAAGTTTTAAGTTTTTGTTGTAACTTCGAAAGGTTTTTTCAAGTGTACCTTGCATCCAGAGCTTATATTTGAGCTTACACCTTTAGGTAGTTAGAATATAATTTGTTTTTAAAGTTAAAAGATTTAACTTTGTATAAGCCAATAATTATATAGACCGATTACTAAATGGCAGCGGAATACAAAACCAACATACAAAAATGTTCCATTCAAATATAAATTTCACTTTTTAAATAATGAACAAATTTGTAAGTCGAACTTTTAAATATAAAATATAACATTTAGTTTAACACATGTATTTACACATTTGAATTTTACATTTCTAATTTGAACTAAAAGGGACAGAAATATTTAAAATTCGTATAAATTGTAATTGCTTACTTGAGTGAGTATTATTTTAGAAATTATGGTAAATATGGATATGCTATTTGAATTTGAGTTAAAGATTTTGTTAAAGTCATTAATAAATGCCAATTACTTTAAGACTCACCCGCTTGAACTCTATAAAAATGCAAAATAATTATAGTTTTTAACGAATACCTTAGTTTATATTGATACTACTTCGACAGCAGCTGTTTTGCTTAATTGACGTACGAATAGAAGACCGCTTGCAGCAAGATTTTTCCACCCGTTTGATAATCCCAGGGACCCCGGGGAGGCAATCGCGGGAGCACGGAGATCTTGACCCCTCATTCTAATCACAGGCGCACCCAAACAAATAACATCAACTTGGTCGGACAGCTTGGAAGTAGTCGGCTCAGTTTGCTGGAGAAGATGAAGTCGCTCACGTTCGTTCTCTGCCTGATCGTCTTGGGCGCCCACTCGCTCCTTGTTTTCGCCGGTAAGTTGGCTCCTCCGTCTCCGCCTCCGTATCCTTCTGATCGGGACCCTTTTTCAGCGGACTGCGAGATCAGCGGTCATAAGTTTAAGGCCGGAGAGACCTACAGTCCGGAAGGTCGCTGTTTGCAATACACCTGCAACGGACCAAAACAATTTTCAGCCTTGACGTAAGTCTCATCGACAAGCATATAACTTTCGCTGACTCACCTAGTTTTTAAATCCAGATGTCCAGCTGTGGCCACTTTGAAGCCCTGCAAGATGGAGGAGGACTTGAGTAAACCTTATCCCGGCTGCTGTCCAAGGTTTAATTGCTAAAATCCTAAAGCAAACCGAACGAATCTCTACAACTGTTTGAATGCTAAAACTAAAAAGGGAATTGTTATTTTGAAAAGCAAACATTGATTTGATTTTAGTGAAAAGTGTTTTCATATTAAATTTAAAAGACAAAAGATCTTATCCGAATTATAATGAATAAAAACCGTGCTCCTTTAAATGAACAACCAAAACTCTCTTACAAAACCCAAAATTGCGCATTTATTTCGATTTCGGTTTGGTATACAGGCTTGAACTTAGTCGTATTTGCTCATATATATAGTAAATATACAAGTTGTGTTCTATGTGTATACATATATAAATATTCTCGTGTCAATTGCGACTAATTCACCGTTCACTTGGACATGCACATCGTCGGCTTGCATAACAAGTATATATATGTATACATATATCTCTCTGCTTAACTACATATATGAATTTGTATAGTTCTCTAAAATAACGAGGAGCTCCGGCAGTGTCGAGCGCACATCCTGCCCCTCTCGACGGATCTCCTCCGCCTCCGCCTCCGCATCCGCCGCCGCAGCAATCGCAGCAATAACCGCATTCGCTGCGCAGACGACACACGCATCGGAACAAGCACTCGGGATCAGCAGGTGCATCTGGGTCTTAGGACTACGAGTACAGATAAGTGGGTATGTGGTAAAGGGACATTATCCGAGGCGATCTGCGCGTCTGCCGCGGATCGGTTCATCGGTCCAATAACTTGTGCTGCAGCTAGAGCGTTGTACATTTAACCGATTTAAACCTGAGCTAGTCTAAACATTCTTTAACTATGGTCCGGCGGCCCGAGGGCCATAAAGTTGATGGGGCTTACAAGGTAATACAAACTACTACTTCTTAATGCGAAATTATGGGTCTTGGCATCACCTAAAAACAGTCTTTAGAGCGTCCTATCGTTTGATACTTAAGTTCAATCTTGTTGCACTAAGTTCAGCTTGAAAACTTCAGAATTTATAATGATTTCTCAGATGTCGAGCTGCCTCTTGTTAATCATGAACATGAGATATTGGGTGAAAGTGTTTTGAACGCAAACTTAATAAAGCAGAGGAACTTGTTTCCAAAATGAAATTAAAACTATAAATTCAAAATTTGTGTTGTACTGAAAATGTTTAAATTCAGCCAAATGATATTATCCTGTTTATTCTAATAATTTGGAATGCCAAGCAATAAAATTTTGATACAGAAAAAGAAGCAATCAAGAAAAGAAAAGGAACGCTCGCTCTTCTTGAGCGCGTTCTTTTGTCTTGAGATATTGGCTCACAAAGATAACTGATCGCTCCAAAGATGCCTGGTAGGTAGATTCGACCCATCGTTTCTGCGGTTCGGGGAATTAACCTAGTCGTATGATGAGGATGACTCGCACATCCTGGTCCATTCAATCCGGCGACGCCAGCTGCGGCGCCAGCGACTCCTCCTCTCATTGGCGAGCCGCTCGCTCCGTCTCCATAAGGCACTCGCGCACCAGAATGCGGGCGTGGACAATGCCGCGCTTGAGCCGCTCCGTGGAGCTGCGCGATCCTGTGTACGTGGGCCTGATGTCGCGGCCCATCTCCTCGATGACAGCCAGAAGCTGGGCGTACTTGGTCAGGCCGTTGCCCGGCCCCACGGAGGGCAGGCTGGCCGTGGATGTTAGCGGCGTGGTAATGTTCGCCGAGGTCTGAGTGGTCACCACCACGGGCGAGGTGGATGGCGGCGGGTACTTAAGCTGTGAGGAGCTCAGGTTGAGGCCCATGCTCTGGGCGCTGCTGGCGGCAGAGGCCGAGCTCCGCTGGCCACCGTTGGTGGAGCACATGTTAGCCAGCGAGAGGGCCGCAGCGGCGGCGGCTGCCGGAGTGGCCGTTGTGTTGGACTGTTGCTGCAGGAGGGCCAGCTGCGCCTGGAGGAACTGCGGGGAATACTGGAGCGCGGCTACGGCGGCGGCGGCTGCTGCTGCATTGGCCGCTACAGCGGAGCTCTGTTTGCTGGCGGAGCTGCTGTAGTCGCTGGCCGAGGAGCGGTCGCGCTCCCGCTCACGCTTGCCCGCGCTGCCGCCCGTGGAGTAGTCCGTGGCCGTGGAGGCGGATCCTCCGCCGCTGCCCCGTGAGTGGTGGATGGCCGAGATCTGGATCTGCGGCTGCTGCTCGCGCTGCTCCCGCTGCTGCTGGTAGTTGTAGAAGTTCTGCACCTGACTGCGCGGTATCGGTGTCACCGTGACGTCACTCAGCTTGGACTCGACGGCCTGGATGTCCATGATGTCCATGGTGGCGTGGCGCTGGTGTACCGGTTGTTCTTGTTCCGATCCGGGGATGTGGCGATTGTGCCCAGCTAACGCGTTTGTATGTTCCCTGGTAGTTTGTTGGTCTTTACAGGTTTTTTCGTTTCGGCAATTTACGCTTTCCTTTCTACGCACAAACAAATGCACCCACCACCAACTAAAGATGGCACGGAATCGATACTATCGATGCTTTTACTGTTACCACCGGCATTGGCCGACTTAATTTGCGTGACAAAAGGGGCGCAACAGCCGAGCTCCACTGGCTCACTTTTTTAAAAATTATTCCACCATTTAATTAAAAAGTATACCAGCATTTTAAAAATGTATTTGTTTAACTTAACTTATTACGCCAAAGATGCCTTGCGCTTCGACAACAGTTAACATTTAAGGGTGAACTATTTAAAACTTGTTATATCCTCAGTAAATGTTAAAAAAAAATTTTAATTCGAAAAAACGTTTTTTGCTTGCATAAGAGTTAACTAAGTTTGGTTGGTAAGCAAATATTATTCTTTAATCTTCTTTTACCGTAATATTTAGCAAATAACTAGATTGAAAGAAAGCCATTGGCTCTCAAGGCTCACATTGACAAGTGTTGGCTAAGCAGCGGCCAAAAATTCCATTTGGAATATTAAAACATACCAGAAATATAACAATTAGACTAATTTTGTGAACAAGTTAGCTGTTTTTTTATAAAGCGTTTCCGTCGCTTTGCCGACGTTTGTTTATTTATATTTTTAAATAAGCTAATAGGACGGTAATTGTTCACAAACAGCTGAAGTTTCAAACGACCAGTGTTGAAAAATGCTCGGCGGAAGGTAAAATGCCTAAACTACTGATCCTATTGACCTTAAACACCTCATGTAATGCACAGACGGCTCTACCAAAGGTAACTACAGCTAAAATAAATTTTTCTTGCTATTTGCTAACTGCTCAATTTGAATTCAACGGCTGGTTGCCAGCACTGGCCGCACTACTGCCCAGTGATGGGAAACTCCAGGCCATCGTCATGACAGTGTGGCAAAAAACAATGGCGAAGAAACTGTGAAACTACACAATTCTGTTGCTGACATCTGGTCGCTTGTAAAACTATTTCGAGCAGATTTTGTGATATTTCGTTGTGATCGGTCGATAAATCCTTAGTTTTTTTTAATGGAAAGCGTGAGCGAATCGTAGCGGTTGGGAAGACAGCAGCAAAGGTGAGCAAAAGGCAGCAGATTGCGAAAAATTCAATTACATTTCCGCGACCGTCTGTTTTTTGCATCGGTGTATGTGAGCTCGAGTGTTGTGTTGTGTGTGTGGGAGCCCCGTGTATGACGTAAAGCGATAAAGCAAACGCATTTTCCCGTGTTTGTGTGTGTTTTTTTTGCATCTAATTAGGAAGCCAAAGCATTGATTGGTCGTCATATGCCGCTGATTGTTGTTTTTTTTCGGCCCTTTGGCCGCCGCAGCTGCATATGTGTCGCTATGTGTGCCGCTCGGCTATCAGTGTTGCACAGTGCCGCCAGTGCCCACAAAATGGGCGCACAACAACAACAAAGGGACGGGATTGCGATCCTACGCTCGTTCCCCTATTAGAATTCCCCATTTCCCTGGTTTTGCATTTCTTTTTTGTTATCCGTTGCTAGACGCAACGAAAACGACAGTTGGCATTTGAATTCGGTTTAAACACACACTCGCTCACACGCTTGCTGAGCGCACGACACACACAGAGTGGCAGAAGAGAAACAGACGCTGCACAGTGGGTCCATTGCCGAATTGATTAACAAAACGTACAAAAGAACTCTTATTTTGTCCACTTATCCTTAATGTATTTTATAATCAAAGTCAGTTTCATTTAGAAAACATTCTGAATATTGTGGAAATTTTGGTCACAATTGGGGGATTTTAGTTATAAAAACCTAGTAGTACTTCACAAATAACTTGAAAGATTTTATGAAATATGAAATTTGGATAAATAAAAAGAATTAACCCAGTGTGCGCTATTGGCGACCCCGAAAATCAGTTCCCTGCGAGTTAGCCGTCACTGGCTTAAACTCAATTCATTTTGTTTTCGCCCTGTGAATAGTTTTGACTGAATAAACATTTTTTTGGCCCGACTCAAAATCTGTTTTCTCGTTTTTTTTCCGCAGACATAAATTGCACTTTAAGCATAAATAAGCAGTGGTTGACTAACGGAACCCCTCGCTCCAAGCAGTCACTGTCCGCAAGCAGTGCCAGGAGTACCGTTAAAATCGAATTAAGAGGATCCCCCAAAAGAAAATCCGTTACGCAACACAGACAGAAGGATCCGCGCCAAAATGGACATGATTACGGTGGGGCAGAGCGTGAAGATCAAGCGCACGGACGGCCGGGTCCACATGGCCGTGGTGGCGGTGATTAACCAGTCGGGCAAGTGCATCACAGTCGAGTGGTATGAGCGCGGCGAAACGAAGGGCAAGGAGGTGGAGCTGGACGCCATCCTCACGCTAAATCCGGAGCTGACGCAGGACACCGTGGAGCAGCACGCCGCCCCGGAGCCGAAGAAGCAGGCAACCGCCCCGATGAACCTCTCGCGCAACCCCACACAGTCCGCCATTGGCGGCAACCTCACCAGCCGGATGACCATAGCCGGCAACATGCTAAACAAGATCCAGGAGACCCACTCGATCCCGCAGCCGATGGTCAACAGCAACAGCGTCAACACGAACAGCAACTCAAACACGACGGCCGGTGCATCTACCACTGGGCTGCAGCGACCGCGCTACTCGCAGAATCCCGCCGGGCAGCAGCAGACAAGGATCGCCTCGGCGGTGCCGAACAACACATTGCCCAATCCCGGGGCGGGAGCCACTGGTGCCCCGTCTGCGGCCCAGGCGGCGTCCACCGCCAGCAACACAACTCAGGGAACCGGCGGCGCCGGAGCCCGCCGATCGCACGCCCTCAAGGAGGTGGAGCGACTGAAGGAGAACCGCGAGAAGCGCCGTGCCCGTCAGGCCGAGATGAAGGAGGAGAAGGTGGCCCTAATGAACCAGGACCCGGGCAATCCCAACTGGGAAACGGCGCAGATGATTCGCGAGTACCAGAGCACGCTGGAGTTCGTACCGCTGCTCGACGGACAGGCCGTCGATGATCACCAAATCACCGTGTGCGTGAGGAAGCGGCCCATCAGCCGGAAGGAGGTCAATCGCAAGGAGATCGACGTCATCTCGGTGCCGCGCAAGGATATGCTCATTGTCCACGAGCCGCGCAGCAAGGTCGACCTCACCAAGTTCCTGGAGAACCACAAGTTTCGCTTCGACTACGCCTTCAACGACACGTGCGACAATGCCATGGTGTACAAGTGAGTATCCCAACTGTTTCATGTGTAGGATATACCTAAAAACTAGTCCCCTGACATCCCCCATTCCCCATAAATTGCTAAATATGGGCGAAACAAGCCGCGTGTTGTACGGCAGCAAGCATAAAAGGATTTCGTTGCAAACTATTCGCAGCTGTTGTTGAGTTCGAGTGCTCCATCGCTGAAATATTAACGCGTTAAAGCAAACATCGGCTCGTATTCTCAATATGGTGAAAACACATTCCATGTTCTTCGCAAGTGTTTGTTATAATCCCACTTAAATGTATAAATCCTCAGTAACTGATCAGCTTCGGTATTTTAATGAACATTATCTATTTGCACAAATAATTGAATTAACTTTCAAATATATAGGTAAATTACTTTTATAAATTATAATACATAGTTGCTTGTTTCAATTTCGTCTTGATATCCTTGTGATTAAAGACTCTTCAACCTAAGTAAATACAGTACGATGATCTATTGGAGGGATCTTTATATCATGGGCAAATATTTAACATTTAGAGCCTTCAAGGATGACGGCGAATTTGAAGTTGTCAATGCTTATCAATATGATGATTATATTTGGGAAGTTATCCATTATTTTTTATCTGCGGGCAACATATAAATAACATAAGTAATTCCGGTCGCGCATCTCTGGTCGAGCGACTTATTGAGTCATGCCGACAGAGACGGCAACAGAATCAGACAGAAACTTGCATCTGAAAGCGGTCGCTCCCGAAATAGCCAAGTTTGCTTAACGCTTTTTCGCTGCCGCCGCATGACTAACTGGAAGAGCCAGACGGACGCTTCCCCGCGTCCACCGAACGATCCATCCAGTTCTCCAGTTCGAACTCTCTAAACCGAAGTCTGTTTCTGTCCATTGGCCGCGGCGGAAGAGATTTCGAAAAGTAACTGCCGTTTGGCCCGGCATTCGGCCATTAGTAATTGTTTGCCTTCAATTGAATTAAAGCGGCTCTCGGCTTTGTTTACTTCACTCACTCACTTGCTGCCTGACTTTCGTCGGTCCCCTTTCCTCCGCCGACTTCTTGGCTTCTCTTTCCGGTTTTGGGACTCGGGTATATTACACTTTATGGCTCTCTGGAATTGGTAACGCCATACGTAGCGTTGCGTCACGGCGGACGCTAGGGTATAGTATAGTATGCCCCACGATTACTCACGGGAATTAATGCCAAAGCCGCCCGTTGATAAAACCAATGCGTGTTGACAAATCTTAACGGATGAATCAGCAGCTGATTGGACAAGAATCACACGCTGTTATCAGAGCCTATTTATATTGAAACAACTGGACATGATGCGCCTTAAAAGTGGTTTCAATTTCAATCCATTTTAATGGGGAAATGACTGTGCGGCCTTGCAGCCAGAGATATTCTGTTCATATCATTAACATTATTATCTTAAATAATAGAAAAAAATGTATTCGCTGGATTGAAAACAAAAACTTATAGAGAACAATCTTAAAAAATGGCATTAGAACAATTACAAATCAACGTTAGTGTCTTCTATAAATAAAGAAAGTATAAATTTGAACGGAATTCCAGAAATAAGTAATGCTGTACTGCTAATAATCTAATAAAGTAAAGTATTACTTACTAAAAAAGTGATATCATTGATTATAATCAAAACAGTGTTTCGATGGCTAACAAAGTAAATATAACCTTGTTTTTTTATTTATCATTTACTCATTAAATATTGATCACCGTATGACTGCGAACTGTGTCTCACCGAACCATCCTCTTACCCCGCAGATACACAGCCAAGCCGTTGGTGAAGACCATCTTCGAGGGCGGCATGGCGACGTGCTTCGCCTACGGCCAAACGGGATCCGGGAAGACGCACACCATGGGCGGGGAGTTCAACGGGAAGGTGCAGGACTGCAAGAACGGCATCTACGCCATGGCGGCCAAGGATGTTTTCGTGACCCTGAACATGCCGCGCTACCGCTCCATGAATCTAGTCGTCTCGGCCAGTTTCTTTGAGATCTACAGCGGCAAGGTGAGTGCTCCGAATCCATCAACCGCGATTGTTACCACGACTAATAAACCTCTGGGATGGGTTGGTTCGCCAGGTCTTCGATCTGCTGGCCGACAAGCAGAAGCTGCGCGTCCTCGAGGACGGCAAGCAGCAAGTGCAGGTGGTGGGCCTCACCGAGAAGGTGGTGGACGGCGTGGAGGAGGTGCTGAAGCTAATCCAGCACGGCAACGCCGCCCGCACATCCGGCCAGACGTCGGCCAACTCCAATTCGTCGCGCTCGCACGCCGTCTTCCAGATTGTGCTGCGGCCGATGGGCTCCACGAAGATCCACGGCAAGTTCTCGTTCATCGATCTGGCGGGCAATGAGCGCGGGGTGGACACCTCGTCGGCCGACCGCCAGACACGCATGGAGGGCGCCGAGATCAACAAGTCGCTGCTGGCGCTCAAGGAGTGCATCCGGGCGCTGGGCAAACAGTCGGCCCACTTGCCCTTCCGCGTCTCCAAGCTGACGCAGGTGCTCCGCGACTCGTTCATCGGGGAGAAGAGCAAGACCTGCATGATCGCCATGATCTCGCCCGGCCTCAGCTCGTGCGAGCACACGCTCAACACGCTGCGCTACGCGGATCGTGTCAAGGAGCTGGTGGTGAAGGACATCGCCGAAGTGGGTCCCGGCGACAGCGAGCCCATCGAGATCATGGACGACGAGGAGGAGGAGGAGCTGAACATGGTGCACCCGCACGCCCATCAGATGCACCCGAACGCCCATGCGCCGACCTCCCAGTCGCACAACCAGCGCGGCGGCACCGGTTCCCATCACGCGGGTTCGAGTATCCACAACAACAATAACAACAACAACAAGCACGGAAACGCCGGCAACATGGACCTGGCCATGCTGAGTTCGCTGAGCGTGAGTATCTCCGATAAACATAAGGCTTAAGGTTTCCCCCATCATATCCTCCACCCGCCTCCATCTAGAAATCCCAAAAGAAGAAGCGCTAAGTAATTGACAATCAGCTGAAACATCAGAGTCAAACAATTGTGTCTGGGAACTCTTTCGTGGACATTTTTGTTTTCATTACCAATTGCAAAATCTTTGAAATTCGTTTTATCTGTATAAACAGACCGTTGTATGTTCGCTTCACCCTTTCAAAAATAATACATATCCCCTCGAATTTGGGGTATCTTTCGGCAACAAATGCTGGCTTGTCTTATTCAGTTCAATAATAATAGTTTAAGTCGATTCAGTGTTTAAGCTAAGCAGTCGAGAGCCCGAAAAGATGGCTGTGTGTTTAGTTTTAGCCCATTAACCCAGTCACACATTCAGTTCAAGCTCAGTTTGCAGCCTTCAGTTTAGATTTAAGTTTACGATACAAGTCGATCGCAACGCAACACAATGCCCAAATTTTCACCGAAGCGTTTCATTAGCGAAGTGAAGCCAAGTGCCCGCGGCGACCACACGCCGAACATCGCGGGTTTCACCAACTCGAGGACTTTGCGATCGGTGTACAGTGCAAACGAAATGGGATCCACGACTCTCCGGACCAAGGGCATCGGTGGTCAGCCGCCTCGCGTGTGGAACTCGAACAAACCGAGGGTGGCGAAGGTGGCGAACAAGACGTACAAGGTCTACGCCAAGCAGCAGACTCCGTTGGCGAGCAAGGAGGGATCCAGGACGATCATCCGGCAGTGGGTGGATCCCCCGTACCCCGTTCCTCGGCCAAAGAAGGAGAGGAACCAGTACGGAGGACCGCCCAACTACGAGTCGTTCTACGTGCCCTTCGGCCAAGATAAAAGCAGCAAGGCGGCGGGGTCATCGAATAAGGCTTTCTTTGTCCCACTGGAGGATAACCGCGAGCTGCCGCAGCTCCGACTTCATCAAAAGCACAAGCAGAAGGTCTTGGCAGAAGTGGATGCCCAGTGGCGGAGGACCGAAGAGGAGAAAATGGCTAGGAAACTCTGCAATTTGGGTTTCCAAACGGAGCCGCATTGCAGAGCTTTCCAGCGATTGCGGCCGGCGGGAGAGCGGTTCGCCGGTAAGATTGGGGAGATGGTCAACCTCATTGCGGAGGTGAAGTCGCGCCGGCAGAAGGCCGACGCGCAGATGTCCGTGGAGAACGTGCCACTGCTTCCGCCGCCGCCGCAGTTTGCCGAGGATGCCAAGGAGTCCAGAAAGCGACTGCTGTTCCAACGCTCGCGCACGGAGACGCTCTTCTCAACGCTGGATTGCGACTCCTCGCAGTACAAGTACGCCTGCCGTCTGCCCTACGTCCGGGATCCCGCCCATCCCGATGTCATCCGACCAAGACTGAGCCGATTCTCCTCCACCTGTCCGAAGTCGCGGAAGATCTAGGTTGATTCGATAGGCATTCGATCGCTTAGTTCCCCTCCCTTTATATTTTGTTACTTGCGGAACACCGATGCAAAAAATGCCCAATTTATTGCTTTCCAATTGCCTTCAAACCTGTGAATAATAAATATTCCCGAGCGCGTTTATAAGAAAATATTTATCCCGTATTTATGGAGAGTAGCTAAGTATTTAATCCATATCCCGCTTAGTTTAAAAGTTTGCTCAGCTTTTGTGAGAATTGCATTAAAGAATGTAAGGTTGCCTTAATCCTGAACGATAACTGATATATAATCTATTGTATTGTAGTAATATATAGGATGTATAGGTAATGCGTAAACTAGATAAACATACTTGCATTAGTACATCGCCCAGCTAGTAAGAAGTTGGCTTCTTTAATCACATGTGTACTTCACTGACTAACAACTCTGTTTGGTAACCCCGCAGGAGCACGAGATGTCCGACGAGCTGATTGTGCAGCACCAGGCGATCGACGACCTGCAGCAGACGGAGGAGATGGTGGTGGAGTACCATCGCACCGTGAACGCCACGCTGGAGACGTTCCTCGCCGAGTCGAAGGCGCTGTACAACCTAACCAACTACGTGGACTACGACCAGGACTCGTACTGCAAGCGGGGCGAGTCGATGTTCTCGCAGCTCCTGGACATCGCCATCCAGTGCCGGGACATGATGGCCGAGTACCGGGCCAAGTTGGCCAAGGAGGAGATGCTCTCGTGCAGTTTCAATCCGCCGAACGGCAAGCGTTAGTTCTCCCTCGTACCGCGATTCCCGATTCCCGATTCGATTACCCCGATTCACCCCAATCCTCCAATCCCATCCAATCCAATCCAATCCCCTTAACCAAACTACTTCCTCTGATTTCCCGTCTTTCTTTGTATTATGCTAAATGCACTCTCACTGGCACTTTAGATCTAAAGTTTTAACATGAAAAACGATCGTTTAGCATTGGAGTTTCTCGGAATGGATCCAGAAGCCTTTATTTATATAGCATATAAATAAATGAATGAATATAAATAGATGGATTTAAAACCGAGGAGGGCACAGCCGAAGGCCTCTCAAGTGCATCTTAAATGGTACGAACTAAGCTCGGGAACAGATTCAGATCCAGATTCAGATTCAGACTTACCATTCACCATGACAGCAACACACCAATAACATCAAAACCCACTAATCAATCAGCGGGCCGCGACTTTGATGGGTTCTCTTTCGATTATGATTATATGATTATGATTATAATTTCTCCGCAGTCGATACTTTTGTAAAAGAAAAAGACATTTACTATATTATAATTACTACTTACATACGTTCTACTCTATATATGATATGAGATTCCATTTAATATAATTACCTTATGCGATTCGTTCCCTTCACTTTTGTCGTTTTAAAACTTAAGTGCTCGTCCAGAGTTTGTTCATGACACGGCACAAATCTATTAATTTTACAACAACGAACTAATCGCGCATTGTATTTATTTAAAGGCCACAAAACCGTATTTAATTTGTAATAATTTATTAAAATACTACTGCACCAAATCCAATTTACATACGTATTCCCCCGTAACTATAATGATTATCTTATGCAAACCGAACTGCAATCTTTGCCTGCGAGATATTTAGCCAGCCAATATAATTTTTTTTGTATTGTACTTTTAAACCTCTTTCCTTGCGTTTTCTCTTCTTTGATCTATTTATAATTTACATTACATTTTTTTTATTGTCATTTTAAGAAACTTCGGTGAAGAATTTAAAATGCAAACTATCTTTGCTACTATTATTTAAAGATGATTTGCATTTCATTTTGTACTAATATTTATTACATATATTTAATTACGTTTACACAACTAAAAACTATCGAAAGCAAATCAAACGAAACTTAACCAAATCAAGGATTTCCAAACACAAACACTGCTTACACTGCGTTAAAAAACAAAAAAAGAAATCACAGATCGGTTCCAAATAGCGGAGAACATAGTAACTTAGCCTTAAAAGAAACGAAAGAAATAAACGCAACTAAACAAAAAAGATAAATGAGAAAAGGAAAATGGAAAATGAAAAATGGAAAAAACATACTCACGTGCTTCTCCTAAAGTATTTATCCAATCAAGACGTTTAATCATTTTGTTATTGCATTTCTTCAGAGCACTTTAAAAATAAACCCCCTCCCAAAGCATGTGAATGATAACAATTTTTTAATCCACCAAATGCGAGTTTTTAAAACAATGTTAATATGGAAAACCAACTGAATGAGTGCTTCGATATTATGCGGTAAAAATAATGAAAGTGTTAGGACTTGGACTCTAATAATGTATTATTAAATATAAATAATAAATTATATTGTAATAAAAGTGAACATACACAACTAAATTTAACATTAAAGATGTGTAAAGCAATAACCAAGCATTTTTATTTTAAAAGGTGGACGAAATAGTGGTCGGATATAAATGATTCATTTCAAAATTAAAGAATTTAGCGATCAGCTTTTTGAAAGTTCCGCCAAAATCAACCGGTTCTTGAGTGACATATAAGTCATATCTTATATATCTGGAACAAAAGCAAAATCAATGAATCCAATATATACGCTATATTTTGGATATACTAAAAAAATTGGTTTCTTACTTTTGGAACTCAGGTTTAATCTCTAAGCAAATTAAAAAAATTATACCTTTTACATGTAGGCAATATCCCAAAAGTTGAAAAATTTTCGAAATTAAGAGAATGTAAGAATTTTAAAGTAACGCCAAGTATAATCATTCACTTATTTGAATACTGATACATTTTGATAAACGATCCAAGTTATTTTTGTAATACAAATTTAATTTTTAATGGTCTTAAATTTAAAATTCCGAACCATTCGTACTAAAGGGATATGAGAAACACCAATTTATTGAAAACTGGATCGAAAGGATTCTCAACACGCTCTCTTATTCAGTTACATGTTATATTTATATTTTAATTTATTTATTTGTCGAAACAATACAGTTCATTCATCTAAAATATTCGCGGGCAACAATTTAAAAGGTCATCTGGCAAAAGTGAAAGTAGCGACGGTGGCGGCACCGATAGTATCGCGCAACCATCGGATGCTTCTCGCCTCCCATCTCCCATCCCTAGGCAGCCAAGTGACGTGGAACGGAACGCTGCTGTCAAACTGATGCAAATGCAATGCTAGAGCGTGTAAACTTTGTCGCGTCGCTGAACTGACGGATCCGTAGGTAAAATGTTGGACTTTGTGGTGATATTCACCAAGGGCGGCGTGGTGCTGTGGCACTCGAACGCGTCCGGGAGCAGCTTCGCCTCCTGCATAAACAGCCTGATACGTGGCGTCATCCTGGAGGTGAGTGGATGCGGATGTCGATGTGGATTGTGGACGTACGATTGAATGAATGAATCTCTTCTCGCCCCAGGAGCGGAACACAGAGGCCAAGTACTTCGAGGAGGACAACCTGGCCGTGCAGTTCAAGCTGGACAACGAACTGGACCTGGTCTACGCGGCCATCTTCCAGAAGGTGATCAAGTTGAACTACCTGGACTCCTTTTTGGCGGACATGCAGTTGGCCTTCAAGGAGAAGTACGGCGACATCCCGGCCACGGAGCGTCTGGGTGGCGACTACGACTTCGACCGCGAGTATCGCCGCGTGCTCAGCGCAGCCGAGGAGGCGTCCGCCAAGCAGGTGAAGGCTCCAAAGGCCATGCGCTCCTACAACGAGTCGCAGAAGTCGAAGAAAACCGTCGCCTCGATGATCCAGGACGACAAGAAGCCGGTTGAGAAGCGGGTGAACATCCAGGAGAGCCCGCCGCCGTCCAAGGCGCAACAAACGCCGTCGCCGCCAGCTTCCATGGACGATATCATCAGGGAGAACAGGCGCAAGCTGCGCGAGAAGCTAACGCCCACCAAGAAGACCTCGCCGGGCGACTCCAAGCCCAGCAAGAGCACTGCCTCCGAGAAGGCCGGCAAGAAGCCGCGCGTCTGGGACCTGGGCGGTAACTCCAAGGACGCCGTCATGCTGGATCGCTCCAAGGATGCGCCCGAGGATGTGCAGTACCAGAACATCAACAGCGAGGTAAGCGAAGCTGGGAAAGTTTGGTTCAGGAAGTCTATTTGTGCGCGACATATCATGAAATCCTATAGTGAAAACCTTGTGCCAATAAGAGGGACACAGTTGTGGTTATTTTCAATCGGTTTTTCAGTTATTTTCAATAGGCTTTAAGCACCGAGATGTTTTACTAGCCCTGCTTTCTCAGTAACCCCTTTTGAATTAACAAACTAGATAGCAAAAATGATTATATTCGCATTTCTATGATGTTGCCTTATTTACATTAGACATAATTTGTGAATTTTACTTTTATGAACATCATTCTATTTTTTTTGTTTTTATTTGTTTTATTTATTTAGTTTGAAACATTTTTATATAAATGCACTTTCTTTTTAGCTTCACAAACAACTTTCACTTTTTAATGTTGTTTGAGCTCTTCTGAATAAAAGTTTTAAATTTGTTAGGGATTTTTTAGAACGGTCAGGCCAAGGGATTTTAGGAAAAGATAAAACACAAATAGCGACCAGAATATAGGATTTCTAGCTTTATGCATTGCTCTTCATTCAAGAAGCTTGCTTACACCTTTATACACTTCTGATCGCATATTTTCTCGTATATTTTCCATCAGTTGGTGGGCACGATGCAGGGCGTGATCCGCGACTTGGACGTGGAGAGCGAGGACGAGGCTGAGGACGAGCAGGAGTCGTCCGAGGAGGAGGAGGAGCAGCTGCAGTCGCGGAAGAGCAAGAAGAGCGGCGGCCTGCTGTCCTACTTCAAGGGCATTGTGGGCGCCAAGACCATGTCGCTGGCCGACCTGCAGCCGGCGCTGGAGAAGATGCGCGACCACCTGATATCGAAGAACGTGGCCACGGAGATCGCGGCCAAGCTGTGCGACTCGGTGGCCACCAGCCTGGACGGCAAGCAGATGGGCACCTTCGACAGCATCGCCAGCCAGGTGAAGGAGGCGCTCACCCAGTCGCTGGTGAGGATCCTCTCCCCCAAGCGGCGCATCGACATCATCCGCGACGCCCTCGAGTCGAAGAGGAGCGGCCGACCGTACACGATCATCTTCTGCGGCGTAAATGGCGTGGGCAAGTCCACGAACCTGGCCAAGATCTGCTTCTGGCTGATCGAGAACGACTTCAACGTTCTGATCGCCGCCTGCGACACTTTCCGCGCCGGCGCCGTCGAGCAGCTGCGCACGCACACCCGCCACCTGAACGCACTGCATCCGGCGGCCAAGCACGACGGCCGCACCATGGTGCAGCTGTACGAGAAGGGCTACGGCAAGGACGCCGCCGGCATCGCCATGGAGGCCATCAAGTTCGCCCACGACACACGCGTCGACGTGGTGCTGGTGGACACCGCCGGACGGATGCAGGACAACGAGCCGCTGATGCGCTCGCTCTCCAAGCTGATCAAGGTGAACAATCCCGACCTGGTGCTCTTCGTCGGCGAGGCGCTGGTGGGCAACGAGGCCGTCGACCAGCTGGTCAAGTTCAACCAGTCGCTGGCCGACTACTCCTCCAACGAGAACCCGCACATCATCGACGGCATCGTGCTGACCAAGTTCGACACCATCGACGACAAGGTGGGCGCCGCCATCTCCATGACCTACATCACCGGCCAGCCGATCGTGTTCGTCGGCACCGGACAGACGTACGCCGACCTCAAGGCGATCAACGTTAATGCGGTGGTCAACTCGCTGATGAAGTAGCTCGTTCCAGGCGTCCAGCTGCCCAGCTGCCCAGCTCCCCGTCCTCTTTCCAATGCTCCTCTTTGTTTAAGTCTCCTTTTGACCAATCAAATACAGTGCTTTGTCTCTTTTGTTGTTGAGTAAGTGCGTTGGTTTGCTTCTGGATGGGATGGAATGGCATAGCTATCCGCATTTGTTGAGGATTTCATTCTGGCATTCGAATCACTTTTAAAAAGATATGTGTTCAACCCCTTTGTAAAAATTAAAGATGTTTTTTTATGATATCTGTATTTACAATTCTTGTATCAGTTATCTTTCTTTCGCTGTTTTAGTTTAAACAAAAATACTTTCGTATACAGCAAAATAAACAATTACACTGAAAGGCCGTACTTAAATATTTAGCAGAATTTAGAACGACTTACATATACACATAAATCCTAAGCTGACTTTTTACCAATATACAAATAACACGTAGCTATATAGCGTATATATGGAGGAATTTGGTCAAAGAAGTTCGTTAGCATTGCCATTTTTTATAACTGCATGAATATATGATTTTTATCTGTTCGATTTGTAAACATTTAAGGAGCTTAACACTCTGAATTTGTTGTTATACAGAAGCAATAAAAGTAAATGAATTAAGTTAAATCATATACATATTACAGAACAAAGCAAATACTTTTTGGTGCAAAAAAAAGTCAAAGAAAATGTCCTAACAGACAGTAGATTTTCTAAATATTTGTGGTTGGAATTTTTGGGTTCCCCTCATTAAACCATTAATCAAGAATCCCTTCGAAAATTCAAATACGATTTGTTTTTATTAATGATATAACTTTAGGGGTACAAACGATAGTTTAGCGTAAAGGGACAGTGGGTGGGAAATGTGGTAGTAAGCCTATTTGTAGAACTCGTGCTCCTGCTCGTCCTTCTTGATGTTGTTCTTGTAGCCCTTCTCGAAGTCCTTGGCGAGGACGATGTAGCGGTTCTCGCGCACCGCGTGCATGCCCGCTTCCTGGCAGATGGCGTTGATGTCGGCGCCGGAGATCTTGTCCGGCCGCGCCACGAACTCCTCGAGGTCGACGTCCTCGCTGAGGTTCATCTTCGAGGTGATCGTGGAGAAGACGAGTCGCTTCTGTCGGCGGTCGGGCAGCGGGAACTCGATTTTACGGTCCAGACGTCCCGGACGCAGCAAGGCGGGATCCAGTGTGTCCGCCCTGTTGGTGGCCATGATCACCTTGACGTTGGTGGTCTGATCGAAGCCGTCCATCTGGTTGAGCAGCTCGAGCAGGATACGCTGCACCTCGCGATCGGCGCCCGTCTGGGCATCGAATCGCTTGGTGGCGATGGCGTCGATCTCGTCGATGAAGATGATGGCCGGCGCGTTCTCCTTGGCCAGGCGGAACACGTCGCGCACCATGCGCGGCCCCTCGCCGAGGTACTTCTGCACGAACTCCGATCCGACCACGCGGATGAACGAGGCCGTCGTGTGGTGGGCCACCGCCTTGGCCAGCATCGTCTTGCCGCATCCAGGCGGACCATACATCAGCACTCCGCGCGGCGGATCAATGCCGATCTGCTTGTACAGCTCGAAGTGGGTCAGTGGCAGCTCGACCGCCTCGCGGATCTCCTGCTTTTGCATGTCCATGCCGCCGATATCTGCGTAACTCACGTCTGGCTTCTCGTCCGGCTGCAGCATTGAGATGGAGCTGTCCGCCTCTGGCGGCAGCACGTCCACCAGGGCGTTGCTGTGCTTGTGCAAGGCCACCGAGGCGGAGGGCTTCAGCAGCTCGCGATCGATCGTGGACAGGATGCGGACGTAGTAGTTGGAGCCGGTGGTGGAGCCCACGATGCCTGTGTTCTGGTCGACGGCCTCCAGGAACTGGCCGATCACCAGCGGCACGGACTGGATGCGTTTGACCTCCTCCTGAGCGTGGAGGTACTCCTTCTTCAGGTTGCGCTGCTCATCTTTGATGTACTCCTCCTGGACCTCAATGAACTCCAGGGTCTTTTGCAGTTTCTACGGGACCGAAGGGGTTAGTTTGGCTAGCACGAAGAACTAGCTGCGCCACAACGCTTTCCTCACCTTGTAGCGCACGTACAGATCGTCGATGTCCAGCTCGTCAAGGGAACTGTGTGCATCTTTCGGCTTCAAGTCAGAGAGCTCGTCCTGCTGGCAAAAGGGAGATACATCTGTTATTACGGGGATCAGGCTCTGGAGCCCCATCTACAAACCTTCTCCGGCATCAGTACGTCCATATTGTACGGCATTGTTTCTTTCTTTCCGGCTAGCAGTGAGTTTCAGTTTAAGTTTGTTGGTTCTTTGCGAGACGAGAAAATGACTCGTCAAAAACAAGCCAGCTCTGCGGCGGGTGGCAACTCTGTTTGGGCTACCTACAATCGATAGTTGGCGAGTTCCCTATCGATGCATGAACTGTTTCGTTCGTTTACCAATCGAAAATAAAAATCTGAGGATCTGGTACTGCAAAGCGCAAGTTCTTACATGTTGTTTTGTGCTAGCAGAAACAGTAAATAAAATAAAAAACTTGTATGCATTTCATGTAAAATATTTTTTTCCCGCATGTATCAAACAGATGTTAATGCATGATATAATATAACTTTCGAATTATTTGTCTTTAAGTCATTAAAAACTATCGATAAGCTCAACATTTTTATTTCAATTGAAACGTGAATATCAACCCAAAAATGCTGGAAACATTTTAATCTTCATATTAAACAAGAGGACGTTTTCTACTGTAAAAACGGATCTATCGATAGTTGTACCAAAACATTTAGTTTAGTAGCGTTATTATTAGGAGGTAATAATTTATTTAGTAAGGTGTTAAAAAATTTCGAAACAATTCATTCAGAACTGACTAGAACATAGACTATCGATAGTTCGTGCATTTGCCTCGCGACGGTCCAACGAGACAAGTGTGTACACACTGGCAAACCCGACCATTTTGACGCGATTTCGATTTCCCATAAGAAAAAAAAAACACACATTTAACTCGGGCGCTCCTGCTGCTGTGTTGTGTGCGTGTGAACGATCCAAATATATACACACACGAGCTGGAGAACAGTGAAATCGAATTGGTGTTTATATTAGCACATAGATGGCTGATAATGCCGCCGCCGAAAAATCGTTTGGCCATCGTTAGTATCAGAACGGGAACGAGAAAGAGAGCGAGTGCGAGTACGAGTACCAGAAAGTATCGTTGTCCTGCCCCCCGCCCCTCCGCCACCGCCCCCTCTGCGCCGTACGCACGCATCGATTTGGGCTAAACGTTAGATACCTCCTAACGCAGTTGTTAGGGTGGAAAGGCCAGGGAAAAAAATAATACACTACACTGGCCACCCGATAAACTGAACAGAACTGAAACAGAAACTAAAACTGCAACTGCAATGCCGTGCGTTGGTTACTATTCGCGTGCAATCCCCTGATACGATCCGGATCCGCTCCTGGGCAGGTCCGCATTCACACTCGTAGCTCCGACATCCCAGAAACCCGGAAAAGTGCAATACATCTTAATATATGAGAAGCGAAAAACACGGAGAGACCGATCCAATTCACAAAAGTCCAAGTGGAAAGTGGTTAAACGCTAAACTATGCTATATGCCAAAACAATAACCGATAACAGATAAACCCGAGGAGTCGAGTCGAAAATGTTTATTGTATAATTTCCAATTGAGCAGGTGTGCGTGCGTGTGTGTGTGAGTAGTTTTTGTTTTTTGCGCTGCTTCTTCTTGCGGTTTATTTGTCAACAAAAAAAGCAAGAAGGGAAACGAAGGAGGAAGCAAGCAGGCGAGAGCGCAGGGTGTAATAATTTATTGTCCCCTCGCACTGCTTGCAGGAGTGGCGAAGCAGATTACTTGAGCAACGAACCGCCCGACGACCAAGTGGCATCCATATGAAGACCATGTCGCGCTTCGGCCTGCGCCGTGGCTTCAAGCTCTCGGAGGAGCAGGTCAACGGCAGCGGCAAGAATCCCACTGCAGCGACCACGCCCCTGGCCTCCGCCGCCGCTGCCCCCAATCCCCGCAAGAAGCAGCGGCAGCAACGGCAGGAGGATGCGGAGGCGCAGGAGGACCAGCCGCACGAGGACCCCGACCCGGAGGCGGAGCAGGAGCCGCTCTCGCTGATCTGCAGCCTGCCGCTGGAGCGGCTGCCCCGCCTCATGGAGAAGCTGCACCAGATGACCGAGGAGCGGGATCGGGAACGGGAGCGAGAACGAGAAAGGAAGCGGGAGCGGGACGAGGCCGCCGGACCAGGCGGAGCGGGACACTCGAAGGTCCTGTGTCTCTACTGTGATAGGAAGTTCGCCTCCGGAAAGCTGCAGGCCAAGCACGTGGACAAGTTCCACACCGAGCGGCAGGAGCGGCGCTGCAGCGGCCGCTCGACCAGCTCCAACTCCCATCCCGCCGGCGGCTTCCCCGGTTGCCAGTGGTGTGGCCAGCAGGCCACCCGCCGCCAGGCGACGCCTCCGCCGCAGATCTGCCTGCCGGCCAAGCACCTGGAGCAGCTGTTCCAGCACCTGGCCGAGCAGCATGCGGACAAGTACTTCGGCTGCCGGCCGTGCCGTCTGCGCTTCCAGGACGCCGACCACTTGGCGGGCCACCAGCGCCAGCTGCATCCCCAGCAGCACCCGGCTGCGGACCACGCCTCCAAGCCCGGCCTGATGGGCGCCGACGAGCCGGTGCTCTTCCGCCTCGGACTCACCCAGAACCGGCTGCCCAGCCATCGGAATCGCGGCCAGCGCAAGGAGGAGGAGCCGCCGCCCGCGCTGGCCACGCCCAGCGGCAAGTCGAGGAGCAGCAGCCGGGCGGCGGCTCAGCGGCAGCACCAGCAGCATCATCAGCAGCTCCAGGCGCAGCAGCAGCTGGCCAATCCGAGTGGCAGCCAGGCCCTGCAGCTGCTGGACTCCAGCCAGGCCAATCCGGATGCGGTGTTCCGGCTGCCGGCGAGCCTGGCCTGCGCCTCATCCTCGTCCTCATCCGCAGGCTCCTTCGCCGGCGCCGCCAGCTCCGCCGCGTTCGACGACAAGTTCTACCAGGATGTGGTCTTCAATGTGCGGCACAATCTGCAGAATCACCTCGACGGCCGGCTGCTCACCTCGCCGCCGGCTGCCTCATCCTCATCCGCCTCCCAGAGGCCGGACCTCATCATGCTGCACGGACCCAGCCAGATGGGAGCCGGGGGCGCCTCCTATCCCACGCTGCTCACCGCCGAGCAGTTCGGGGGAACGGGGAGCTGCTGCCGCTGGCCAAGTTCCGGCGGAGACCGCACACGAAGCACAGCTGGAAGTGGAAGTGGGACTACGTGAAGAAGTTCACCCTGATCAACGAGGGCGGGCGGCTGGTGAAGAAGCTGAAGCAGCCCAGCTCCCTCGGACTGCGGGATCTCTCCAAGCTGGACATGTGGACGCAGCTGACGATGCGCCAGAAGCACGATCTCTCGCTCCGGCTGGCCGAGGAGCACAACCAGGAGCAGCGCCGCCTGCTGGAGCAGCTCGACCTCATCCTGGACCACCGCCTCCTGCCGCACATCATCCTCGAGCAGAACGAGCAGGCGGTGATCAAGTGCGAGAACGACGAGGACGAGCCCGCTGCCCTGGACACGCATCCCGGCGACGATCTCCTCCCGCAGAGCTTCGCCGACGAGGGCTTTCTCTCGCTGCTCCAGCTGCAGCCGCGCAGCGGGAACGGCCACCGGGAGAGGGATCAGCGGGATCAGCACCACCAGGGGGAACTGGACAGGGAGCGGGATCATCTGGAGCCGGGAAGGAGCAGCAGCAGCAGGAGCCGCAGGGCCGTCGTGCTGAGCGGCGAGTGGGCGAGGCCACGCCTCTACCTGTGCATCTGCTGTGGGGCCAAGTTCGACCAGCGCAAGTCGCTGGAGGAGCACAAGACGTTCCGCCACTCGCACATCTACGCCACCCACTACGAGGTGGTGGGACGGGAGCTGCTGGCCGGGAACCTGCTGCGGCACCTCTTCATCCCGAAGCGGGCGCTGGGTCGCTTCGCCGCCGCGAGCAACTGCGTCCGGTGGCCACAGATGGCCACACTTGGATCCGGGGGGCAGCAGCAGCCGAAGCAGGAGCAGGAGCGCGTGCCGCCGGAGGAGGAGACCCGGTCGTCGGCCTCGTCGCGATCTTCGTACGAGGTGTCCACGCCCACGCCCACGTCCACGCTCTCCGGGCTGGAGCAGCAGCAGGCGGGGATCACCTCCTCCTCCTCCGCGTCGTCGTCCTCCTGCTCGCCCAGCTCCTCGTCCGCCAGCTCCACCCTGATGTCCACCGCCCCCACCGCGATGTCGTCGCACTCGGCCTCCTGCACCTCCTCCTCGGCGGTGACCACCATGCTCTCCGCATCCGCCTCCTCCGCATCCGCATCCGCATCTGGCTCCTCATCCGCTCCATCGAGCTGCACAAAGTGCGGCCGCAAGTGCAGCGGCCTCATGGATCTCTACCGGCACATGCTGGACTGCTCCGGCGACTACGTGTGGTCGCTGGCCAAGAAGCGCAAGTACCGTTACTACTGCGGCACCAAGAAGCGGCGCGCCTTCTCCAAGAAGCCGCTCAAGCAGCTCTCCGCCCGCAAGAAGGAGAAGCTGGAGGTGGAGGAGGGCGAGGGCGAGGGCGACGGCGACGGCGATGGCGAGGGTGAGGGAGAAGGAGAGGGCGAGGCGGAGGGCGAGGAGAGCGGCTCCAGCTCCTCCAAGCTGAAGAACTCGCCGCGCCAGAGGCCCAGCGACGGTGGGTTCACCCCTGAGGATTACCCCTACCCCAATCACCTAATGATAATCTTTTCTTGCAGCGGAGTCCATTCGCAAGATGCTGGAGAACCTGCCCGCGAAGCGCATCTGCAAGAAGATCTTCCCGGTGGACAACAAGGCGAAGCGCAAGGCGAAGAACAAGGCGAAGGCCAAGTCGATGGCCAAGTCGCTGGCCAAGTCGCTGGTGAAGGCCAAGTCCAAGTCCAAGAAGCAGCAGCGCAGCAGCACCAAGCGGATCTACAACCAGCACCTGCTGCGCACCACGCGCTCCCGCTCGCGCTCCTCGGTGGTGGCCACCGGTTCCTCATCGGCGGCCAACCAACAGCAGCGCAGTCGCCGCAAGCAGAAGCAGCAGCAGCAGCAACAACAACAGAAGCAGCAGCAGCAGAAACCCAAGCTGGACAAACCGAAATCCCCGCCAGAACCGCCGGCTACTGTCGAGCAGGAACCACTGCCGGCCAAAGTGGAGGTGGCCGCCAAGCCAGCAGCACCCTCATCCACATCCACATCCACAGTCACTGCCAAGTCACGATCTCCCGCTGAGGAAAGACCTTCCCTGCGGCTGGAGCTGCCCCCCAGTCAGCCGGATGCAGCTGCTCCGCCCGCCGGGTCCGCTGTCCAGGAAGCGGAGCCCGCCTCGCCCACTCCCAGCAAGCAGCTGATGCCCACGCCGCCCACCACACCTGCACCGGCCACCAAATCCCCGCCAGTCGCGGCCGCCGCAGCGACGCCCTTCTCCGCCAGCACTCGCCTGGCGTCGACTCCCAGCTCGGGGGGAGTGAAGCGGAGCAAGCGGATCAGCGACTGCATCGCCATGCTCACCGGCAAGCTGGAGGAGAAGCTCAAGACGGAGCAGGTGCCTCCGTCTCCTGCGCCGCCGGAAAAGGACAAGGAGAAGGGAAGGGAGCGCGAGAAGCCAGTGGAGAGTCCTGCTGCGCTGCCACCGTCGCGCATTCCGGCGGAGAAGGAGGTTCCGCCGGAGATTCCGGAGAAGGAGCGCGTGCAGCCAAAGACTCCCAAACGGAAGGCTGTTTCCCGCCGGATCATCAAGGTGGACGCCACGCTGGAGGTGCCTCCCGCGGCGGAATCGATGCCAGCGAGGAAGCCACCGGTGGAGCTCCAAGAAGCGGTTCCATCGGTTCCAGTGGCTGCACTTCCTCCGCCGCTGGCCACTTCGATGCCAACTCCTGCTGTGGTTCCTCCTGCTCCTCCCGCTTTCAGCAGCTGTGTGCCCGCTCCTCCGTTGCCAGTGGTGACACCTCCTCCGGCTCCTCCATCGCTTGCTGCTCCTCTGCCGCCAGTGGCTGCACTGGCTCAGCCGCCGCCAGTGGCGACCATCACCCATCCGCCGCCGCCGAGGCGCACGCCCACCAAGGCGGCGGCCAAGCAGATGGCCGCTCCGCCTCCACCGAAACCCGCCTCCTTGGCCGCCCTCAAGCAGTATCCTCCGCCGCTGGAAGCGCCACTGGCTGCACTGGTTCCCCCGCTTCCCAATTCCGCTGGAGCACCCGTTCCGCTCGCCCTGCCCGTGGGAATGCCCCTGGGAATGCCGGGGATGCCAGTTCCAGTCCCCGTTCCCGTGAACATGCTGCCCAAGATGCCTCTCTACCTGCCGCAGCTGCAGCAGGCGAATCCCGGCCAGAACCCGGCGCCCCCAGCCATGTTCGTGATGGAGCACCAGCCGCTGAACCTCACCAGCCAGCGAGGAGTGCTCCCGAAGCCCCTGATCGGAGGCGCCACTGGGGATCCCGGCCTGGTGGGGATGCCGCCGCACCATCGCTCGGGAGGATTGCCCGCCAGGAGGCAGACGATCTGCGGCTTCGAGGCGCGCAACCTGATCGCACTGGAGATGGACATGGAGCCACTGGATCTCTCGAAGAAGTCGAGCAGGAAACCCTCGCCGGTTCCTCCGATGAGGATGCAGCCCATCCCGGAGCTGCCCCTCCACGGCTCCATGGTGTCCATGCAACTGGTACCCGGAACGGGAGCGGGAGCTGCAGTTCTTCCACCTCCACCTCCACCTCCGTCGCAGCATCCAGGTGGTGCTCCTGCCCCTGCTCCCGCTCCCGGACAGCTGGCCATGCCCGCAGGGGTCCCATCGCACTACTACTCCAACCTGGACCTGCTGAAGATCCCGCAGGTGCGCAATCCCGGCAATCCCGCCGTGGTAGTGCCCCCGGGAGGAGCTCCGCCGGTCTCCGTGCCCGTCGCTCCGGCAGTGGTGACGCCCCTGCATCCCGTCAAGAGTTCGGGTGGGAAGAAGCGCTCGCTGGAGGGAACCGGTGGCTCCAAGAAGGAGCACGGCAAGGGGCAGTCCAAGGCGTGTCCGCGGATGGACGAGGTGGTGAACAACCACATCGACGACGCCATCAACTCGGTGATCCTGGCTGTCCAGGCGAGTCTTCCCGACGACGACGAGGAGGAGGAGAAGGAGCTGGCCAAAAAGGAGAAGGAGAAGCTGGAGGAGGCACTGGCCAAGCCGACGACCACGAATTGCCTCCTGGCACTGCAACCCTCGACGGGATTGCCCCAAGCTGGACAAGTGGAGAGATCCCAACCAGCAAATGCTGTTCCCGCTGTGGGGGCAGCTGCTCCTCCTGCTCCTCCACCAGCAGTGGCTGCTCCTCCTCCAGCAGGTGCTCCTCCTCCAGCAGGTGCTCCTCCTGCTGCAGTTACTCCTGCTCCCGCCAAGAATCTGGCGCCGAAGAAGCGCTCCATGCGCTCGCGAACCATCGACTGCCGCTCCGCTTTGATCTCCCTGGAGGAGAACCTCCTCCCAGTGGCTCCCATCCTGCCGCACTGCATCATCCCGCTCCCGGTGAATGGCGAAGCCAAGGGGGAGATGCTCCCCTATCCTCATGGAGTTCCCGCTCCGGTGGAAGCTCCTCCTGCAGTGGCGCATCTTCCAGTGGTGGCTCCCATCCAAAGGAATCCCGTCAAGGAGAAGAAGCCTCGGGAAGTCACTCCACCACCGCCAAGTGATCCAAGGCCCATTGTTGCACAGGCCACACCCGTGGTCACTCCTCCTCCGCCAGTTGTGGAACTCGAATCCCCGGAGTCACCCGATCCCGAACCGGTTGGCCAGGCTCCTCCTCCTCCTCCAGAGGATTCAGCTCTCGCTCCCGTGCCCGTTCCCGTATCCGTGATCTCGGTGGCTCCGGCTCTGCCGGCCACTCCTCGGATGGCCACGCCCCCGCCCACCACGGAGACGAACTGCAGCTCGCTGCTGGAGGAGCACAGCAGCAACCTAAACAACAACACCTCCTCGGGCTTCCACAGCCTGGCGCAGTCGGAGCAGCCGACTCCGGCCGCCAGTGCTCCTCCGGAGGAACCCACTCCCGCTCCAACCCCAAAGGAAGAGGAGGCGCAGAAGAAGCAGCCGGAGCAGCAGGAGGAGGAGCTGCTGCCCGCCAAGAAGAAGCAGCGACGCCGCCGGAAGAACGAGCTGGCGGCCATCGTGGCGGACCAGCTCCTGGAGAGCTTCAAGATCGACAACGCGCGCCGGGACAACCTGAAGAAGCTGGAGAACCTGGCGTACGAGAAGAGCGAGGACCTGCTGCTCACCGGGATGCTCCTGATGTCCAGCACCAAGCGGAACGCCGCTCTGGGCACCTCCTCCTCCGCCGGAGCCGCCAAGCTGGCGAAGAAGGAGGCGGACGTGGATCCTCCGCCTAATCCTCCAGTGCGCGGCAGACCGAAGCGTCGCCAGAGTTGCTACTACCGCAGGGGTAAGGCGGGCGGAGGAGGAGGTGGGGGAGGCGGAGGAGCAGGTGGCAAGGCCACCAACGAGAACATCAGCCTGCTGAAATCCTCGCTGGAATCCTTCTCCATCGGGATCGAGAAGCAGCTGCTGGCGAAGGAGGCGCGCGAGGCGAAGGAATCGCAGCCTGCGGGATCCACCAGCCAACCACCTGTCGGCTCCATCCTGCGTCCCAGCATCCTGAGCAGCGCCGTGTCCCGGGATCCGGGGATCCAACAGCAGAACCAGCAGAATCAGCAGAAGCAAAAGCCGGAGAAGCTGGAGAAGATGGAGCAGAACCTTCCGCCGGCGGCGGCCACCTTCAGCCGCGATCCCCGCCTGAACAAGAACATCCACAAGGAGCAGCCGGAGCTCAGGGATCCACCCAAGGCGCCGTCCTCCGCAGCAGCAGGAGGAGCGGGCGGAGGAGGAGGAGCAGCTGCGAACGAGAACGCCGAGGAGGAGGACAACTACCTCACGGAGATCGCGAAGAACGTGAACGAGAAGATCATGTCGGCCACCACCAACGAGGACTTCGAGTTCGCCCACGACGCCTTCGACGGGGAGACGGGCGATCCCGACCGGGACCAGGACCAGGAGCACGACCAGGACGCGGACCACGACCAGGACAAGTACTACCGCCCGCCCACCTCCATGAGTGTGCGGAGTGCTCCGAACCTCAATGACGAGCACTCCAACTTCGGCTCCATGTGCGACGACAACACCAACACCGAGGTGATGGACATGGACCTGGACGACGAGATGAGCGTCTACACCAGCTACTCCCAGGATCTGGGAAGAGGAGGACGCGGGCGAAGGAGACGCCGCCGGAGGAGCGTGCTCCTCACCCGGCGACCCAAGAAGCGGACGCAGCGCAGCGAACTGGATGCGGAGAAGTACGGATGCCAGCTGTGCGGGAAGAGCTTCTTCACCGCCACCTCGCTGTCCAAGCACAACATGACCCTGGCCCACGTGTCCCGGCTGTCCGCCCAGGAGTACCTGCAGTCCCAGACGGCGCCCTCAAGTCCGCAGGATGTCCGCGAACCGGAGGCGGAGCCAGTGGTGGAGCAGCATAACCAGCATCCCCACCAGCATCATCAGCATTCCCATGCGCAGGAGGAGCCAGTGGAGCAGCCACCACCAGCTGTTGCACAGCAAATGAGAGCCTCGGTGCTGATGCTTCCCACGCAGATGGGCCACCAGGAGAGGGAAAGGGATCGAGAACGGGAAAGGGATCGAGAACGGGAAAGAGAGCGCGAGCTGATCAGGATTCAGGAGCAGGAGAGAAGCCACCTCTTGATGGAGCAGCACCACCATCAGTTGCAGCAGCAGCAGCAGCAGGAGCAAGTGCACCACGTGATCACGGAGGCCAGCCTGCGGCTCCATGACAACCAGCACAGTCCCTCGGCGCCAACGGGATCCCGACTCAACCTCAATCCCGACGAGCGGCTCTTCTACGAGTGCTGCAACATCCTCAAGAGCGCCGAGACGCCGCGTCCGCTTCCCTGCGGCGGAGGAGGAGGAGGTGGAGGAGCAGGTCCCGCCGCCACCTCGGTGATCGTGACGGCGGGCAGGAAACAGCCGCCTCCTCCGCCGGCGTCTCCTTCGCCGTCGCGCTCCTCCTCGCTGCCGCCGCCGGCGTCGCCGTCGCCCACTCCGTCTCTTCCGCCGCCCGCATCCCCGTCGCTCTCCCTTCCCCCGCCGGCCTCGCCATCGCCCTCTCCCTCGCCTCCACCGCGAGGGGAGCCACCTGCCCCGGCCCTCCATCCGCACGGCCACCAGCCGCACCACCAGCAGCACCACCAGCACGCCCATTCCCACGGCAATCCCGGCCAGCAACCTGCGCCGGCGCCCGCCGTCTGCCACCAGCCGGTCATCCAGCAGCTGTTCCGCAACCCGCCCGCCGTGGCGCCCACCACCACGCCCACGTAAGTCGCTCTCCATGCTTTAGGTGTTCATTCATTACTCGGAGTTATCTCAAGTAGTTGAGTTGTAAGTCATAGGAAGAAGATTCTTTGACCTTTAACCTCTTTGACAAAAGGATAAGCGAGGATAAATAGATATCCAGATTGCTTTCCATTTAATAGAAATCCACTTCAGAAATATCTCAAGAAATTATAAAAGAGGTTTTTTTTACGTTAATTAGAATAGAACAGAATTTAAAAGAATTCCATTTCAGAATTATCCCAAGAAATTATAAACAATTTGCTTCTATATAACATCAATTAACTGAAGGATCGTCGGGGATACAAACATAATCCGACTTGCTTTCAATTTAACAAGGAAGGAAGCTTCTCTTGCAGTTAGAACTTAGTTCCAAAAAAGTTTTCCTTTCGTTAGTTTTAAATTTGTTAGGATGGTTTTTCTTTTAATTTTGTTCAAGTTCTAAGATCTTTCCTATGGGATATCATATAGTACCATCTTCCCATTCTAACGAAATTTATTTCTTAGTTCAAGAGTTCTGTAAAAACCCAATATTCCTAGGTGTTACATTTTGTGTTCATTACTTTTATAAAGATATAATATTTCGATCATGCCAATGGCAGCTATAAAATATAATCACATGCATTTTTTCCAATTTCTGGAGTTGTTAATAATAATGTAATAATAATATTCCATTTGTTACAATAATTATATCTTAGAAAATGATTTATCTAAAGATCGGTCTAAAATTTCATAGCTATCATAAAAATGAGGATTTGAATGGAAAACTCAACAAAACTAAAGAGATTCTAGTAATACCTTATATCGCTGATATCGCTGGGATTCAATTAGCATTTGAAATAAATCTTGTACATATATAATATAATGAGTCTAGTCCTTTAATACTGCAAGACAGATTTATTTTGTTTTTTCAATACTGTTAAAACTTACGTTTTAAACCTACATAGTGGCGGAAATAAAGATTGGACATTTCAATTGGAATTGGAAATACAAATAGGAGTGTTGCGTAAATAAATAACCTCTTTGATTACTGTTCCTAATCTCCAAACTCCAATTTTTATTTGTCACTATATGTTCCCTTATCATTTTGCTAACTTGTTTTTAAATATTAATAGATATATTTAATCTTTAAGAAATTAAACACACCTTGTTCTTAACTACATAATAGCTAATCTCCAAACTCCAATTTTTATTTATCATTGTAAGTTCTCCTATCATTGTGCTAACTAAATATTCAATATTAATGGATATATTTTATATGTATTTCTATAAGATACGATATATTTCTTTAGAATATTTTGAACCCACTTTGTTCTTAAGTACATAATAACTAATCTCCAATCTCCAATTTTTATTTACCACTACATGTTCTCTTATCATTGTGTTTACTAAATATTAAATAATAATAGATGTATTTAATATTTATTTCTATAGGTTATTATATATTTATTTAAGAAATTGAACCCACCTTGTTCCTAACTAATAACTAATCTCCAAGCTTGTTTTAATTTTTATGTATCACTATATGTATGTTCCCATATCATTTTGCTAACTAAATATTAAATACGTACTTATTAATATATATAGAGATATATTTACTCTTTAAGAAATTGAACCCACCTTGTTCCTAGCTACATTCCAACTAATCTCCAACTGAATTGCAGGAATCACAACCGGCTGTCGCCCAGTTACTCGGCGGTGTCGCAGTTCTCGGGGACGACGACGACCTCCCGCTTCAAGACGAAGGCCGCGATGAAGGGCTACGAGAACGTGAACCTGCAGCTGGACATGCTGGAGCTGGCCAAGGCCGGCGGACGCGGCGTCTGCAAGCTGACGGAGCTGGCGGACATTGCGCTCGGCAGCGAGAAGCCCGGCGGCGACTTCCTGCCCCACCTGCCCGCCACTGCTCCGCCGTCCACGGCTCCATCCGCGGTTCCAGCGATGCAGCCGGCCATCCAGCAGACGCCCACGGCCACGCCCACTCCGACGCCGACGGGAACGCCCACGGTGACGCCGACGGGAGCGCTGGAGCAGCAGCAGAGCTCCACATCCTCGAAGACGATCATGCACGCGTCGCTGATCAAGGCGGCGGCCGGAGTGGCCAGCTCGGCCACCCTGCCGCCCTCCTCCGGACGGATCATCATCCCCGACCGGCCGTTCAAGAACATCGGGCTGGAGGAGAAGGCGCCCATCACCTTCCAGAAGCCGAAGACGTGCGTCAACCTCCTCCAGGAGCAGGACAACAACAGCGTCTCCACGGCCAGCTACTCGGACCGCGATGACTACGACTTCGGAACGCTGAGCTGCGACGGCGACGTGGAGCAGGAGGCGGAACCGGAGGCCCGGGTCGCGGCTCCAGTTGCCGGACGAGAGCCGCCGGCGCAGGCAGTCGGACGAGCGGTGTCCACCTCCAGCTCGTCGTCGTCCTCCTCCTCGTCGGCGGAGAACAGCAGGAGCCGTCGGAGCAGCCGGAGCAGCAGCAGCAGCTCCAGCCGCGCCACCGCCAAGACCTTCGAGAACAAGTCCCTGATCATGGGCAGGATCTTCAAGCACGCGAGCAGCGCCAAGGCCACCCCGGTGGTGGCCACCTCGGCGGCCCTCCTCCCGGGTCCCAGTGCCGTGCCCGGTCTGGCCAAGATCAAGGCGCTGCCCAAGAACCAGGCCAATCTCGACCAGATCTTCGACGAGCTGCGTGGTGGTGGCGGCGGACAGGCCAAGGCGTCGGACATGGAGGCTCCTCCGTCGGATAACTGGTTGCACCAGCAGCACCACCAGCAGCAGCAGCACCAACACCACCACCACCACCACCATCATCACCACCAGCACCACCAGGCGGAGCCCATGGCGGCGCCAGCTGCTCCGGCAGCTCCAGCGGCCATGCCGGCACCCAGTGCTCTTCCCCCGGGAAGGAAGACCAAGAACTCCACGGCGAATCCCGCCAAGAAATCAACCAAGGCGGCGCAACCGCAACCCCAGGCGAAACCGAAACCGAAGACCAAGTCGAAGGCGGCCACCGTTCCAGTGGCCAAGCAAACCCAAGTCCAATCCCAAGTCCAAGCCACCTCCTCCGCCTCCGCCTCCTCATCCGGCCGGAAGCCCCGCAAGGATCTGAGCAAGCTGCAGTCGGAGCTGGGCATGAGCCACGAGGAGATCGAGCAGCTGATCGACGAGGGGCAGCGCAAGTCGAAGCGCCGCTGCGCCACCAACCGGCCCAAGAAGCTGGTGGAGACGTGGAGCTCCGACGAGTACGAGGAGTTCCTCTCCACCAAGGACATCATCGCCCTGATTGCGCAGAAGGAGCAGCAGGAGCAGCGGCGCAAGCGCAAGACCAGCGAGGCGGCCAGCGCCGCCCAGCCAGTGGAGCCAGTTGCTCCGCCGGTGGTGGCCACTCGGAAGGCGGCCGCGCTGCAGGCCACTCCTGCCAAGCGGAGGAGTCGCGCCAACGAGAAGAACAAGCAGCAGCCGCCGCCGGCGGAAGTGGAGCCACCGAAGCCGCGGGCCAGGCAAAGGAATCAGCCGGCTGCTGCAGCTCCACCTCCACCTCCTGCTGCTCCTGTGGCCAGTGCTGCGCCGCCAGAAGTGGTGGACCCACCACCACCTGCCAGGGGAAAGTCCAAGGCGACACCGAAGGGCGGAGCTTCCGCCACAAAAGCGAACAACAATCGCAAGAAGCGCGCGAGCGAAAAGCAGAAGATGCAGCAAAAGCAGCAGGAGGAGGAGCAGGAGGAGCGGGCGGAGGAGCTGGCCGAGGTGGAGCCACCGGCCAGGACGCGCAGCTCCAGGCAGCAGCCGAGGAGCCGGGCCCTGGAGCCGGTGCAACAGTCCGAGCAACCAGCGGTGGCCACCAATCTGCAGGAGATTCCGAGGGAGCGGAGCAAGGCGCGCCACAGCAACTCGCAGCAGCTGCACCCCAGGAGCAGCTCCGTGGCCACCACCAGCAGCACCACCAACACCACCACCACCACCACCACCAACACCCACAACACCCACACCACCCACAACACGAACAACAACAACAACAGCAGCAGCAGCAACAAGAATCTGAAGGCCAAGCGGAGATCGCAGGCGAATCGACAGTCGCCGGCGAGGAGGAAGCGACCGGCCAGCGAGAAGCAGCTGTACTACTGGAGCAGCTCCAGCGACGACGAGTTCGGGCGGCTGGACGACGACGAGGGCGAGGAGGAGGCGGCCGACGCGGCATCATCCCGTCCCGGAGGTGGAGGTGGAGGAGGAGGAGGAGGTGGAGGAGCTGGGGGCGGCGGGGAGCAGCGGGACGGCGGCGGGGAGCGGCTGACGGAGGCGGTGCGGGACGAGGAGGCGGAGACCACCCCGTCGCCCGGGAAGCACTTCGAGGAGAACGAGCCGTACCAGAAGCACGGCTGGATCGTGGGCGACTCGCACAAGAAGCTGGTCAAGCTGCTGGCCATCGCCAAGGGCAGCAAGAAGGTGGACAACTGCGGCGTCAAGCGGCGCACGCCCAAGCGCAAGTGCTAGTGGTTGGACAAGGACAAGCAACAGGAGTAGGAATAGGAACAGGAGGAGCAGAAGGAGCAGGAGCAGGAGCAGAAGCAACCTGATCCCGACCAGTCATAGCCATAGGCCTCGATAGGCGGAGTCGGCGCGGGCAGCCGACGGACGACCCATCGCCGCCATCTCGGTCACACACGTACTGCCATTGTGTCATCATCGTTGATCGTTAACGCCGGCGCCAGGAGGATGGGATGGGATGGAGGAGGATTCACCCATCTGTGGGCTAGAATACATATAGATTTGGACAGGGGATCGATCCAGAGATGGAGATGGGCCTCCTGGCGCACTGGCCACATTAACCGTATGCGGAGTATATGCAAACATACTTTTCTTTTCTTTAAACATCTAAGCGTTACATTATTTAGGTTTTTTTTTATTAAATGTATTTATAATTAATAAACAAAACGAAACAAAAAAGCGAAAAAGCAACAAATATAAATTTGAGCACAACAATTAAATCAAATGTTGATTTTTCTGATAAAACTAGCAGGATGAACCCCTTAAATCCATTATGGAATCATTTAATTGATCAACAGCCATAATTTCCTCAATTTAACTTCTGTGTTTTTATTTTATATTTTACAACTAACGGTATCTTTACATATATAACATGTAAAAAAAAAATAGAGTTAAGGAATAGTTAAAAAAAACGTAGAACACGATGGAGGAAGCGGCGACTCTGGACGATGGAACGCAGCGAACGCAGGAGTCTCGGCGAGCTCACATCCAAGGGATCCATTTGTGATTGTGGTTGTGGTTGTGCTGATGATGCTGCTGCTTTTGCCAAAGGATAAATGCGAAGCAAAGCGAGTTTCCATCAAGGATTAGAATGTGTGTGAGTGGGAGCGCGTAGTCAGAAGGGAGGTGTGCATCTGGATCTGCTGGATGCACCGACGTGAGAGATATTGGTGGTCTCGCCTCGACTGGATGATACTGGTTCCTGCTGATCTGCGTTCGCTGTGGTTCCTTCTTTTCGTGTGCATCGTCGTCGCTCCGCATCATGGCTTAAACATTAGGCTGGTACTCTCTCTGCTCTGCGGTGGTGGCTTACATCATGCCACCCATGCCGCCCATGCCTCCCATGCCGCCCATTCCACCCATGCCGGGCATTCCGGGGGCGCCGTCTTCCTTGGGGATCTCGGTGACCACAGCCTCGGCGGTGGTCAGCAGGGAGGCCACTCCAGAGGCGTCCGTGATGGCGGTGCGCACCACCTTGGTGGGATCGATGATGCCCTTCTCGATCAGGTTGCCGTACTCGCCCTTCAGCGCATCGTAGCCGAAGTCCCCGGACTGGGTCTCCACCTTGGCCACCACCATGGCGCCATCCACTCCAGCGTTCTTGGCGATGGTCATGCAGGGCATGCGCAGGGCACGGCGCACGATCTCCACACCGAGGTTCTACCAAAGGAAGGGGGAAGAGCTTAGTAAAGACTCCTAGGAAACTGGGTATAGGTGACCTCACCTGATCCTCGTTGCTGGTCTTCACAGCCTCCAGCTTCTCGATGCAGCGCAGCAGAGCGGTGCCGCCACCGGGAACGATGCCCTCTTCGACGGCGGCGCGGGTGGCGTTCAGGGCGTCGTGGACGCGGTCCTTCTTCTCGTTGACCTCCACCTCGCTGGAGCCGCCGACGCGGAGCAGAGCCACGCCGGAGGCGAGACGAGCCAGACGCTCCTGCAGCTTCTCCTTCTCGTACTCGGAGGTGGTGTCCTCGATCTGGTCCTTGATCTGGTTGGCGCGACGGAGGACGTCCTCCTTCTTGCCTTTGCCCTTCAGCAGCAGGGTGTCGTCCTTGGTGATCACCACCTCGCCCACCTGGCCCAAGTCGCTGACCTTCACGTCCTCCAGCTTGACGAGATCGGCGTCGTCGCCGAAGACAATGCCGCCGGAGGCGATGGCCATGTCGGTGAGGGTGCTCTTGCGGTTGTCCCCGAAGCCGGGCGCCTTGACGGCGGCCACCTGGAGGCCGATCTTGAGGCGGTTCACCACCAGGGTGCTCAGGGCCTCGCCGTCGATGTCCTCGGCGATGATCACCAGCGGCTTGCGCTGCGCATTGGCCAGCTCGAGGGCGGGAATGATGCTCTGCACCGAGGAGATCTTCTTCTCGGAGAGCAGGAGCAGTGCGTCCTGGAACTCCACCTTGGCGCCCTTCGACGAGTTGATGAAGTACGGCGAGATGTAGCCGCGATCGAACTTCATGCCCTCGATCACCTCCAGCTCGTCGTTGAGGGTCTTGCCGTCCTTGACGGTGATGACGCCGTCGCGTCCAACCTTCTTCATGGCCTCGCTGATCAGGTTGCCGATGGCCTGGTCGCCGTTGGCCGAGATGGTGGCCACCTGGGCGATCTCCTCCGGTGTGCTAACCGGGCGCGACATGCTCTTCAGGTTGTCCTTGACGGTCTCAACGGCCAGCATGACGCCGCGTCGGATCTCGACGGGATTGGCGCCCTTCGAGATCTTCTCGAATCCCTCCTTGGCGATGGCGCGGGCCAGAACGGTGGCGGTGGTGGTGCCGTCGCCGGCCTCCTCGTTCGTGTTGTTGGCCACATCCTGGACCAGCTTGGCGCCGATGTTCTGGAACTTGTCCTTCAGCTCGATCGACTTGGCCACGGTCACGCCGTCCTTGGTGATCTTCGGCGAGCCCCACGACTGCTCGATGATCACGTTGCGGCCCTTGGGGCCCATGGTCACCGCCACGGCATCGGCCAGCACATCGACGCCCTGGAGCATCATGGCGCGCACCTCGGGACCGAACCGGACGTCCTTGGCGTAGCCGCGCATCGCCAGCTGGCGGCTGACGGAGGTGCGAGCAAGCGAAACTGGCAAGCGGAACATCTGCGGATGAGAGAAGGGAATCGGAGAATGTGTGAGTGCCGAGTCTGGTTGGGATCGGGGGATCAGGGGATTCGGATTCGGAGCACGTGCTCCCCCAAGAAGCGTTGTCTCCGCAATGTTTACCGCGTCTCCTCTCTTCTCAGCTGATAAGTTGATAAGCAAGCGGTTGGATCGGATCGACTCAAGCGGGTCTGTACTTTGACCCTACTGGATGTACAATTTTATTTTGGAATTTCAAGCCGGTTGGAGCCAACGAACGGAGTTCAGCACACAAACTGATCGGTTGTTCAGTGAAGTACTGACGACACAAAGTGACATTAAACTCAAGACTAAACATTTCTCTTGACTTACTATTCAGATTTCAGATTTGTTTGTTTAAATGATTTAAAATTAACAAATTAAGATACATATGTGTAGCAATTCTGAGGGAAACCGAATCTTATGAAACGAAGGTATTACGTTTTTCGGAGCATAAAACAAATTATGGATTATGGATTATGGATATTATCAACATGACCAACTAGCACGTGGAAAATGTAAAATTGAAGTTCTATTGAAAATACAATATTTAATGTATAAATTTTTATATTTATTTATATAGAATATGTTTTGAATTTTTAGTATTTTCACAAAGCAAAAGCTAATGACATCACTTTTGGAAATTACATAAGTCCAGTTGGAATCTCATCATTCTCATCTTAAAGGCAATATTTTACCATTTATAAAAGAAAATGAAAAGGTTGTGTTCATACTAAAACCCAAATTGTAAACACCTAAATAATTAGGTAATTAGATAAAACAATTATCAAATCCATTCTTATAAGCAAGGAATATTCCAAACGTTACAGAATTCAATACTTTTATAGAGATGAGGTTTGAACAGCTTTTCACAATATAAATTTAATTACAAAAACATGATGTATAATTACAAAAAACATGATGTATAATTACAAAAAACATGATGTTTTACACCCGGTGGATAATGCTCCTATTTTTTATTTCAAAAACCTAATCTTTTTATCAGCGATGTTTTACTGTGCCGGTCGGGCCCCCTTCCAGCCCCCCTGGACTGGAACGTTGGCAACAACAAAGACATCTCGGCACCGAGCGTTCCAGAAGAAATGATTTATGTAACCACTTGGGGGAAAATAGATACACCCAAATCTGAGGGCCTGTTACCCAATAAGAACAAGATTTCCCGGGAAGAGGAAGAGCAGCAGCACATGCAATGCCGCTGATAAATGTGAAATTACTCAAGATTGCCGGCAAGCAGTGAAAAACATGTGCGCTCTTCGTTGGAAACTTTTCCCTATTTTCCAGTGTGCGTTTGGCTACGTGTGCGTTTGTGTACGAGTTGCATTAACGGAAATTAGGAATTAATAAGTTAATCGCTTGCAGACATAACTTACTTTCCACTGATTAACGGGTGGAACTTTCTGGAAACACGATTTGCCGGCTATCTGCCAGATTGGACGTTCTTATATAATCGCCAAACGCACACACTCGCACAACTCGAATTGCAGGTGGAAAACCGCGAACTGGAAATTGGTTGTGAAGGAATTGTAGACTTACTGTGAATAAAACTGGTACTGCGAAGTATTGACAAGACAGTTAAACGAATGCTTCCGATTCTTTTTGACGTGAAACAACAAGGCTCACTTCACTTCACTTGCTTCGAAATGTGCGCACAGGGTCGAAATACCTAACCTTATAGTGTGGCTGCAATTAAACGATTTGTATCGATGTTTTCAAATTCGATGGTTTTCTATCGAAATCAAGTCTGGCGGCCGATGTTTTTCCGCAGACTCGGGTTGGTGCCCCGGGATACTGTGTGTTTCCACCACGGTAACCTACCGAGTGCACCATTCTAATATAGCGGATTAACTCACCTATCTGTTCTGATCAATATATCGACTTCTGACCATCTCCTTTTGGGGTTTCCCCCTATTCTTTGGTTTAATACGCTTTGTTTCTGCGTTTACAGTACGCCTCGTACGTACACAAACGTACATAATTTCTTCGTATAAAATGACCGACTACACTCTCTTTGAAAAAGCCTGGCAACAATAATAGTCTGTCTCTAAACTAGAAAATAAACTCACAAGTTGGGAAGAGCAAATTTATCAATTTTCAGTGTGTTTACAATATAATAGATATTATATACAAGATACTAGTTATTAACAAACTGTATCCTATGCTCGATACCCATGGTGATGGGTCCCACTGCACTCATGTAGTCCATCAAGGCGTCCAAGTCAAAAGGACCAATCCTGGAAGCAAATAAAATCCATCTTTATTTTGGATGCAAAATTGTATAACTTAATCCACAATAGTTACTCGGGATCCTCGGCTTTTTCGCTGATCACGCTGAAACCATTCTTTCCATTTGCCAGGTACTCCATGACCACCAGGCGGTACTTCCCCTCCGGATCGAGTGGCATGTACTTGGGCACTTGGCACTCGGAGCACCGAACTCTCACTTGGGAGACGCGATGGCCAGCACTGTTCTTCAGATCCAGGAGAAAGCGCAGTCCGGAGACCTGCAGGAAGCGCGAGGATCGCGGCGAAGGCGAGCTGCCATTCATGGGCGCCACGACGTTTTCCAGCAGCTCCACGATTTCCTTGCCCCGCAGAGTCAGGGATATCAGTCGATTCTGCCAGGGACACATGGCAAACAGCTGCTTGTAGGTAATGTCTGTGGGGAGATAAAAATTTAAAGATGAAAATAGATCACAATCAGGGAAAATTGGATACTCCATACTCAACACTCTACAAAAGGCGTTGCGTAAACGAATCCGATAAAATAATTGATGGCTTTGAATCTATGGATTATGAAAGGGTTTCTTTATCATTCAAATCAGACTCACTGCCAGGTGGAATGGGCACTCGGAATGTCCCCGTTGAAGTCAGTGCAATGGTCACGTTGCTCCATCTGTCCTCCTTGGTCGATGCATCCTTGACAAACTGTTGGTCTCACGGAATTAGTTAAGATTATTTCTGTTAAGCGAATTCAAACTGACCGCATGAAGCATGGCATCCGTGAAGAAGTTCCCCAGGTTGCACTCGCCTCGGCTGCACTCGCTCTGCTGGAGATAAACCCTACTGCTTCCCACGATCCGGTTGGCAATTGGTTCCATTTCATCCTGCCATGGTGCCATCGCCCGCAGAACATCTTCATCTTTTGGGGAAAAAGGACAAACGCAACGAGAGATCTAATAGTTTAATGATTATGTATATCCATTACTCTCAAGGCAAAGAAAAAAACAGTTTTTCATGAAAAGTATTCAGCAAAAGGAAGTCTTGTGACCTATTGTAGAATAAAGAAGAACGAGCAAATGAATTGGATGCATTAGCTTTGAACATATATGATATACCATATGTTATTTTTATATTGATAAGGATCATGTCTGCCTGTAAAAACGTCGATTTTAAAATTTGAATACTACAGGAGGTAGTATTAAACATGTAGATTTGATCGATGTGTACGCAGCGCATGTGTATACAAACAATTTGCCACGCCCACTTTTAGGCGCACAAAACGCGAAATGCTTTGACTTTCTTTGTGGTAAAGCGTTGGAATAATTCTTTATTGTTATAAGTAAACAACTTAGAAAACAATATTTTCGTAATCAATAACTTTTTGAAAGTTTTAAAAGTAAAGTATTTATCTAGTTACAATTAAACATTGATTATTGTAGGCTTATTAAAAAATAAAAGTCCACCTTTTGGTGATTTTTCCACTAGCAGTCCTTGAAATATTTTGCTTATTTCTTGACGTTTTACAATTTGTTCTCGGCTTGTGGAATATACTCGTTTCAAACTCTGCTTATTTTAACAATAACTCTGTCGGAATTTGTAATTATAATGGAGCGAGATTCGAGTGCAAAGTCGCAATCGGACAAGACGGGTTCCTATTGCGCTTTGGGTGGCTCTTCGGACACCGAAAACCAGGCAACAACCCACGATGGTCGGAAGCCAGGAGAAGCCTCAGTGGCAGGGGCAGTGGACGAGAAGGATGACCCGGATTCGGATGAGGAGCTGCGGCAGATGTTCCAGAACCTAAATGCCAGCAAGCCCACTCCCTCCTCCCAGTTGAACATCCAAGGAAAGGAGCTCAACCACTTCACCGAGCGATCCCTCTTCTCGTTGGGCTTCACTCCGGAGAGTGTTCTGGAGAAGCAGAAGGAGTCGGGGGAGGAGGAACCGGACTCCGGGAAGACCAATCTGTACGAGGAGCTGCTGCGCATCGTGAGGGAGCGCATCCAGCCGGACGCGGTGGTCAGGATCGGGGAGAGCCAGCACCCCGTGCACCTGATCGTCCTGCAGTGCTTCTCGCGCACCATCTGCGATCTCGGCCAGAAGGCGGTCGTGGAGCTGCCCGAGGAGCAGGTGACGCCGCGCGCCTTCAGCCTCATCTACGACTGGATGATCGAGGATCGTCCGCTCCTGCCGCGGCTCGGCATCCTGGAGGTCCTCCAGGCGGCGCGTTACCTCCAAGTCCCCCAGCTGATCGCTCAGTGCGACTACTGCCTCTCCGCCGGAATCGCAGAGGACTCCGCCATGATGCTCTATCTGGAGGCGCGCATCCTGAAGGTGGAGCAGGAGTACCGCCACCTCCTCTCGCGCGTCTCCAAGTTCTTCCTGCCACTGGTGGCCACCAGGGAGTTCCTGCGCCTGCCACTCGCCCCGCTGCTCGTGCTGCTCACCTCGAACCACGTGGGCGTCAACTCGGAGCTGGAGATCTTCATGGCGGCCGCCCGCTGGCTGGACTACAAGTGGCCCCAGCGCAAGGAGCACCTCGCCGCGGTGGTGAGTGGCGTTCGCTTCGGCTTGGTTCCTCCTTGGCTGCTCGCCCGCCTCCAGAAGCCGGATTTGTCGGCCGAGGAGGTGCGCAGGATCGTGGAGGAGCCGCCGGTGCGGGAGGCCATCCACGATGGGATCGCGTACACCACCACGCGGCTCTACTACGGAGCGGAGCGCGAGGCCTTCGCGGAGCACCTGGCGAGGACCAAGTCCACGGCGCCGGTGCAGCGCACCTGGATCTACGACCGAAGGTGCCGCCACCACCACCGCCTCCACTGCAAGGTCACCCAGGAGCTGACCTTCGAGGCCTTTGTCGACTATCTGGAGTTCCTGCAGAGCCAGCCGCGCGACTACTGGCACTCCTTCGAGCCAGTGGAGGCCAGCCACGTCTGCTTTGGATGCACCAACAAGGAAAAGGAAAAGGCGGAGGCAAAGGAGGAGGAAGCGGAGGCCAACAAACAAACCACCGAGAGACCATAGATAAAAACCTGATTCTGGTTAAAACCCTTTTTATTTTCTTATTAATAAAATTTGTGTTGCTATACAGTCGAGTCTGCGATACCCACACCGAGTGGGCGTGGCAAATTTTTGAAATCACCTTGCTCTGCGTGTGAATCACACGAATGACAACTCAAGAAGATCCCGATCCCAGAATTCTAGCTCTTACAGAAGCGCATACATATTCAGACATAGATCGACTTCTTTGATGATCCTGATCAAGAATATATATCCTACCTTTCTACTCATTGGGGTAACCAAACATTATTTTGTTGAACATAAAGCTCAGAACATTAGACATCAAATTTTAAATTAAGAGAATTCAGTTAGTTGTTTGTCACTTATTTGACAATCGTGTTCAATATTGTCCTTTATATTAGCACTTCTTAAATCCCAAATAATACAATAATAAAAATATAAACAACTGAAATTAGGAAATATATTATATTTAAACTTTATGAAATCCTAAACTCATGATATATTAAATTTTACAAAATATGTCCACCTTTGAAGTGTTTAGGTTGTATTTATAAAATAAAGCAGAAAGAATTATCCTTTTGTGAATAGTGCAAAATTTAAAAGTTAAGCGTATAATATATACATAAATTAAATAATATTTTGTCTGACCAGGAAATAAGAAAAAAGCCTTCAATTAATTCATAAAGTAAAATAAAATTGTTTATGTCTTTACATAGTTTTTGAGTTACGAATGCCAATGTTTAAAATACCCGAACCAGGAAAACAACGTTTTTACTTTCCCTGAAAAGTTTACTCAACAGTTTGACAGCACAATCTGCTATTTTGTTGAAACTTGTTCAATTAAGCACGGTGATGCGTCCCTCGATGCCGTTGTAGATGGGATTGAGGTGCTCGGCGTAAGAGAGCAGGGCATCCAAGTCGGTGACACCAACTCTGCAATTGAAAAACAGTGATCAGTGACCAGGAAATAAACCTATAAGTCCTGTATTAATTAAGAGAGTTACTCACTGGACATCTGTGGCGTCGGCGAGCATGGAGAACCCGTCGTTGCCCTCCTGCAGGAAGTTGGGCGAGGTGAGCCGGTACAGCTTCTCGGACACCAGCGGTTCGTACTTGGGCACCTCGCAGTCCGCACAGCGAACCGACACGGAGATCACTCGCGATCCGATGGGCTTCGTGTAGTCGTACTTCACCCGGATGCCGGAGACCTGCAGGTTGATGTACGACCCGGTCACTCCGTTCTCGAGGTCCACCTTGCTGACGGCCCACTCCAAGGCCTCCACCAACTTGCTGCCGGGAAGGTTGTAGGCGACCAGGGTGTTCTCAAACGGCGACATGCTGACCATGTGGGCGTACGTAAGGTCTAGGGGTTGGACAAAAAGATGCTGTACTCCATTTGGTTTACTTTAGAGAGCTAAGTTCTAACTCAACATTTTTTGGCTAAGCCTTATCATCATCAATCATTAATACCGAAAATTATTTGAGAAATCCTGGAATTTTTATGGTAATTGTAAGTATCAAAAGTATATTAGACATCACAAAGTATATCCATTGTCGATTTGTGGATAGTTATTCAGATATTATTCAAATTCTTTTCCCTAAAAAAAACCATTATAAGCCAAGTTCAACTACCCTTTCTGTACCCATAAGCAAATTACATTCCCAACAGTAATCAAACAAAACCCGAAAATAGCTAAAGAGCAATAATTTCCAATCCATTTGAATTATACTCACTTCCTTTGTTGAGCGGCACACGCAATCCTCCAACGTTCATGATTCCAGCGGACACATTTGTCCAGGCCTTCTCCTCATACGAAGCCAATCCCACAAACTAAAATCGGTATTAAAGTTGTTATGAGAGGAGGAATATTTCTTCCGGGGATTCGCACTCACGGAATGAACCATGGCGTCGCAGAAGAAGTTGCCCAGGTTGCACTCTCCAGCGTTGCAGTCGTCCTTGGTGAGGTCCACCTTGGTGGTGCCCACCACCACCTTGCCCTTCTCGTCCACCTCCACTTTCCACGGCTGCATGGCCAGGAGGACCTCCTCATCTGCGGGGAGCACAAGGCCCAAAACACTCGTTACACTTCTCTTTTATAAAGAGGAATCTTAACAGTAACACTGAACAACAAACACAAAACCAGTAATGGAACCATAGAACAGCGTATTAAGCATAATGCACCATAAATCACAACGTTACACAGAAAAAAAAACACTTGGATAGCACAGAAATATAAACAAGTGGTAGAAAAAGTAAAAAGTTAGGAAACATTTTTCATTATTATAAATAAATATAAATGAATATAAGTAAATATAATAATAATGTAAATAAATATAGGATGTTCTTATTTGTATTTTATTTCGAGTGCATTTTATTTTAACTTGTATTTTTTTTTTAAGTTTATAATTAAAGCCTTCGCACAACTAGGCCGACTTGACTGGTGGTATTGACTAACTAGATTAGCTACTTTGTTACTTTGGTATGTTTTAAGTCCCTTTGGAAACGACTCGCTTTCCCAAACATAATAGAATCGATTGGGAATTCTAAGCCTGTTGTGTTAAATCAGATCTCAAATGAAGAACTCTTTGTGGGATGATATGATGTGATCTTTGTTTATTGTATATTTCATATCTCTTCCACTAAAAAAAATGCACATATTAAATCGAAAGCATCTGAATATTTTCTTAACCTTGTCTGTTTCTACATGATACCAATAGGTTTTTCTTCTATTTCTATTTATTTGATTTTCCCCAGTGTACTCACCCTCTTCCACCGATTGGTCCATGTAGAGGGGATCCCCCTCGTAGTCGAGCACATCGCCGTTGTCGTCGAAGTAGACGACCAGGTTGCCCACGTAGCGGGCGTAGGCGGATGCCTGGACAATGAGGACGCGGTGGCCGGAGCTGTGGATCACCTCGGTGGGGTAGTCACCGGCTGGGTTGTGCGGACCCGGCGGAGTGCCCGTGTAGAGGAAGGTGTGCGAGTGGGAGCCCACGATGACGTCGATCCAGTCGCCGGCATTCGCCGCGATCTCCTTGTCCACGTCGTAGCCGCAATGCGAGATCACGATGATGATGTTGGCTCCCTGCTCCTTCAGCTGCTTCGCCTCCTCGCGGATGGTGTCGCTCTCGTTCCGGAAGATCACCTTGCCCGTGTTGGCCAGGTCCTGCGGTACATCGATGTATTAACTCATCTCAAAGGATTATTATCACGGGGTAGCTCACGTAGGTCGTCTCCAGGATGACGCCAATCACGCCGATCTTGCGACCCGACCGCTCGATGATCATCGACTTGTTGTACTTGCCCTCCATCGTTGGCTCGTGGGAGCAGTCCATGTTGGCCACCAGCATGGTGGTGTTAATCGTCTCCAGGAACGGCACCAAGCCCTCCACTCCGTGGTCGAACTCGTGGTTGCCCAGAGTCTGCAATGGTAATTCATCTTTATTACTATCTTGATCTATCTTTTCCTATCCTAAACGTTTTTATTTTTGTTTCAAAAGACATTGCATAAAAAAATTGTTAACTTTCGTACATATTGTATTAACCAAAGTTTTCATAAATCTTGAATTTATATCTTATTAAGTTAAATTTTTCAGTTCCTAATATATCAATCAAAAATGTGAAAATATAACAATTATTTCCCAATTAAATGAAAAATATACATTTTGAAGAAGTTCTTTGTTTTTCTTATTTAAATACTTAATGTATTTATTTTATGGTCACTGGTTACTCTTGATTGGTTAAAAAAAAGCAGAGATTGAATGCAACTGAATTCCACTTATTTTGTAAGAATAAAATACCTATATTAAGCATTTTAAATATTAAACTTTGATGACACTTAAACTAAACTAATTATTATTTTAGTTGGTACTTAGTGCAATTTCAGTTTTTTCTATTAAGCTATCTTAAAAAAGTATGGGTGTTACTAATGTTAGTCTTGATTTTTGAGTCATCTACAGTTAAAGTCGATCACGTGACTTCCAAAAGCGTGATTCCCAGTATGCATTGTTATCACAATAAAGTAGGGGAATGTCGTCAGGGTTGGACACATTTTCGACCCTTGCCCATAAATATCGTTTTAATAAGAATTAAGATCATTTGCGTAAATAGTTTGAAAGGTAAAGGCAATAGGTATGTCTGACAATGAACATTATGTTGTGAAATGAAAAACATAGAAATGGCGAGTATTTAAAAAAAAAAAAAAATGTAGTCAGGCTTGGACACTGTAGTCATGGTTGGACACTTGAATTGCTACTTCAGAAAAGTAGCAATAAAAGAGGACATTATCCATGGATCAGGTGTATTTTATGTCTTTCGACTCTTTCTCATTATGAACAACAAATTTTACAACCAAGTTTGAAAAAAAAATTAATCAGATTCGCAATTAGGACAAACAGGACAGCATTATGCAAGTCGACTTTACCTCTTTCCGTCGTTCGCTTGTAGCGTGAACCTCTTCAAAGAGAGAAAATAAATTATTACTCAAAGGATTTATTTTTTTTTACTTATTTACTAATTAATTCACTTTTTGTTGAATCAAGTAATTAATTACCAAATTTATTTATTCATCCAATTCATACTTTATTTTTAGAACTTTAATCTATTTCTTTAATTAATATGTAGGTATATTTGTTCACAATATAGAAAAAAAATTATTTCATTGATTGTATTTACATGTTTTGTAGTGAATAACTGTAAAAAACATTGGAAAAATTAAAATATCCTGACAAAAGTGGAAAAACCGAGGGTGTCCAACCTTGACAACAAAAAGTGTCCAACCCTGACAACATGAGTCATAACTCTACCGCACAACATAACTACCAAATCGCTTTATTTAGAACAAATTTTTTTTTAGGATTTCGTTCAAGGGGAACCACTTAACGTATTTTTAAACTTACCCTGCGGATGGCATATTTTCCGCTGAATTATGCCACTTTTTTAGCGCGTTCTCAAATACTTTTTTCTTCACTATCACGACACTATGTCAACAAAACAGGAAAATTAACAGTTATGGGATGCGGCTAGGGATGAAAAGTTTCCCACAGTGATAACAATTAATACCACATTCGCACACAGATGGCGATAGTTGGTTTATTAGAAAAATTGCAAGTGTCCGACCCTGACAACTGTCCAACCTTGACGACATTCCCCTATATATAATATAATATATTGTATATTCCAACCTACCATGAACTCGGCGGGCAGGATGTTGAGGAGCTCCTGGGTGACGTTCCAGCGGCCGATGTTGTACCACAGGGTTCCCTGGAAGCTGTCGCCCGCGTTGATGTAGATGGGATTCAGGTCGGCCTGCTCCCGGAGGAGGCGCCTCACCGTGTGGACGGTGCGCGGATATCCGCCGATGCAGGTCTCTCCCTCGTCGCAGGTTCCGCCGGAGGTGTCCGTGGGATCGAACCTGCGGATGATCGCAATCGCAATTGCAGGGGGGGATTAGCACGCCGTATTCCCTGTGTGCGTGACCGCATCGTTATCACGATCGAAATCGGAATCGAAATTGGAATTGGTATTGGAATCGGAATCAGTACGTGTCCCTGATAGGCCGTGTTTTACGGCCAAGTTGGCCGATTGTGTTGGCCATAAACCGAAACCAGAAACGAGAAACCAAAAACCAACAAAACCAACCAAAACCCACTCAACGTGATTAGCCAATTGATTCCGCCTTACCTGGCGTGCAGATCGTTGATGTGGATGAGGGCCACGGGAAAGCCTTCCTTATCAGCAGCTTCTGAAGGAGGAGTCCACATGGCCACCAGGATCACCACGGCCAGCGAGCAAACAATGTGAAGCGAAGTGGTTGCCATTTCCTCAACCGCACTTGCAACTATTATTCACCGAAAAAAAGAGAATATAGTATATATATTCAAGTACACCCAGCCCGATGGCCGTCGATAAGGCAACTGAATGGCCAAAATCGCCACCAATCCAACGACTGCGAAATCAGAATGGGTTTCGCTCAAATCGGATCTGGACTCCGGTTACTCTCTCTCTCTGATAAGCCGACTACGTGTACCTCAATCTTCACCAGCACCCTGAAAAAGAATAACAATTTCGCTTCCATATCATAACATTTAGATTCTAAACAATTACTTAACTGAAAGCTGGTTCCTATATGCATATCATGGTTAAATTAAGAATGTAGCATATAAAATATAAATATTCAAAACTCGTTTTATTATTTTAATAACTAATAAGTGCTGAAGTCGTTTGATAAAACTAAAATCAGTAAATGATCAAAGGCAGTAAGCAATATTTTAGAGGATTATTAATATCATAAAATTGCTATTTACTTGTTTGCTATATATAGCACAATATTAATATTATTATTTTTGGTCTCTTGAATTAAGAAGTTGTTATTTTATTTGTAATTTCATGTTTTTAATAATATAAATTTATTTGATGGAATCGCTCTCTTACTATGTTTTAATATTTATTTTTTTAATACAAATATTTCACTTTTTAGACTTTAGAAATAACTTTTTAGAAATATCACTCATACGCCATGTTACCATTGCTAACAAATTCATTAACACACAGTATACAATGCAAGTTGATCGCTTAAAAAGCATTCAGTTTTTACGACACTTTGTCAATTACTTTCGACCTATAAGTTTTGAAAAGAGATAAATTTGAATTATAGGTTATTAATGTAACACTTCCCGCATACTGAAATATTTGCTTTGTGTTGTTTAGAGTCATAAATCTTATTAATTAGTTGCTTAAAATAACTTATATGTATTTAACTTTTGAATTAGTTATTGCAGTTCGGTACTACTTTCAATTCCATTCAACCCGGTGAGTATCCTCTCAAAGATTCGCTTTTGTAGAAGGTATCAAGCACTTAATGATATGCACTCATTGATCCCCGATAAGCCGAATGGTCGAGATAGGGGGAAACGGATTCGGATTCGGAGGAGGACGGCACTCCGGCAACACTCACTCGGTGACACATGTTACACATGCTCCGCACTCCACGGCCGAGTGGATTGTGGCCCCCATCCCCTCCCGACCTTCTCCTCCATCCATCCGCTCGTTTATTACGTTCTGGCGCAAAATAAAGAATATATGAGCGTGGGACCTGGACAGGCATCCATAGCTCCGTAATATAACCGGCACCCGATTTGGTTTATTGCACCTTTGGCCAACAAAAACAAAAACGAATTAGCCACATTACAGACGGACGAAAAACCCACGATCTGAACGCCCTAATCCCCGCTATCTATATGAATGAGCAGTCGGTGATAATACTATATGCTATCGCACCTATGCTACTTCAATCTGCAATCTAGATACCCATCCTCCTGGGTTTCCAATCCAATTCAACGCACTCAACATTCAGGGTTAAATATAGATTATAAACATGCTAGTTTTTATATCATGCGAATCACTAAAATTTTTATAATATTTTACAGATCTGGGTTTCGACTTAACCCTTTAATACCTAAAAGAGGACCTTTATGCACTTATAATTCAGTTTGTATTCTCTAAAAAACGAGAAGTCTTCTGAATTTTAGTTGGAGTATTTACCTTTTATCGCTCTTTACAATTACTACAATTTTTACACACTTTTTAAGGTAGTTCTCGCACTTGGGAGCTACAATTTACTCTAAAATATTAACCAACTCTGTTTTTTATTATCTTCCAATTGTGTATTAGAGGGTTAACCAGTTGAAAGGCGCTAATCAAAAGTAACTTTGTTGATGGAAGTACGATATATGTACACTCATATCAGGATTATAAAGTGCTGATAAACCAGATTTTAATCAGTTCTTGGGGTTTGCTTTATGTAAGCCGAAGCACTTCGGTTATGAGATAATACATTTTACGTTTTTACTGTTTTGAAAGCAAGAAATCTGTAAGAATAATAACGTGAACAAAATGCTTTTTATTTGTGCAGAGAAAGGAATAGAGACAGTTGCTATTTCAAGTAAATATTTCGCGAGTGTTTACCCAATTTATTATAGTATAACTTATTGAGGTATCACAAAGCAATAGACCCAAACTATTGCCCCTCTATTTACTCTCTATCTTTATTTAAGAAAACTAATTGAGTCCCATACTAAAAACTAGAGCCGCGTATTTGTCCAATTGAATTGACAAACAAGTTTACTTACCTATAATATGTTATCTATATTCAAAAGAGTAAAAATAAATGCGAATCAATGTAGATTTTAAGGCAACTGATAAAGTTGTTAAAGTTCAACAGCTTCCCAGCATAAAACACAATCCAGTTGACAAATCGAAAGGGTTGAATTAAAAGCCTTGTTTCTGCGGTATTCCCCCGTATGGCCATCGATTTCCTCAAGGGTGGATCGAATCGGGCCATGGGATTGTACATATCTGTATAAAATAGTACAATGATTTATTTGATTCTCATTGACAATAGATTTGGAGCTCTTCGTGGATTACTCGTAGGTATAAAGCACACTATGCATTTAAGTATTATGTTTGTCTGTATATAGATGTCAGCGCAAGTATGTTGTATATATATATATATATAGATGTATATATATAATAAATTGTATATAAATATAATGTATATGTAATATGTCTGTGTATAAGTATCAAGTATTAAGTTAATTGCTTAGCGTAAAGCACAGAGAATTTTGATATGAGAACGGTTGAGAATGCGCTGCGCTCTGAGAGATCGGATACGGACTTTGTTTGGACCTGTCATCTATGTATCAACCGCCGTATGGCATCCTCCACTTCCACTTCCAGTTTCCACTCCACTCCAACGTCCCATTCCGCTGGGTGAACGACGCAAAGGCAACAATGAGAGAACTACAACGGAAAATCGGCAAACAAGTGACTAGAAATGATGGTTAACCCTCCCTGATGTCGTGAATGTCGTGTGTCGATTGAGCATGTTGGCGGGCTGGCTGGCTGGCTGCTCGCTGCAGGAGCGCCGCTCGGCGCCGCCCTAGTGAAAGACGTCCATGAACGGAAAGTATGCCTGCTCCGGTTCGAGGAGATCGACCAGGAAGCAGACCGTTCCGGCGACTCCCTCGTACAGGCTGTGCGGACGATCCGGGGTCCTGGCGCGCAGCTTGAACTCCGAGTTCGTCAGCAGCTCCATGAACTTGTGGGCGCGGTACAGATACCGCATCTCGTTGGTCAGCCGGAAGAGCAGCAGAAAGACGTATCCATTGCCAGCTACGCCGTGGCAAATCCCGGGTCCCTTGCGCAGGAAGCCCTTCTTCCAGACCATGTCCGCGCAGCGGCGCAGGGAGGCCAGGTACTTCTCCTCCTTGAAGATCAGATAGGCCTTGGCCAGCACATAGACGGCGCCAGGTGCGCCATGGCACCAGTGCACCAGGCGCTTATCGCGACCGGAGCGCAGGTCCTCCAGCGCCACCGGGAAGTTGCCCTCGTTGTCCTGCAGCTCCAGGAAGAAGTCAATCGAGCGCTTGATGTCGCGCAGCTCGGCGGCCGGCGCCGAAATGGGCACGGTGCGGAACCACGGGCTGTCCAGCAGCATGTGCAGAATGGCGCACAGACCGTGGGCCGCGCCCAGGTACTCCGTGCCGTGGTACTGGTACATCAGCGGGCACGGCGAGCTGTTCAGCTTGCTGTACTCGCGCCCGCTGGTCACGATCAACTGGCAGATGGAGATCAGGTCGTCGTCGGTGATCTTCTTCTCCGGAAGGACATCATTCAGCCAGTAGCAGCCCGAAAGGTAGCCGGCTCTGCCCACCAACACCTCGTCGCAGCCGTACTTGGTGTGCATGAACTCCTTGCTGGACGGGATGCCCGACTTGAAGTTGGCCAGGTCGTTGGACAGCTCCTCGGTGTCCTTCACCGCCTGCGAAATGGCCGCCGAGACGGCGTAGATCCCAGCATTGCCGCACAAGAAGGAGTAGCGTTCGGCCGAGCGCTTCTTGTAACGCTTCGCGTTGGCTTTGGCATTCCGGATGAAGGAGGCGGCGTGCTCCAGGGCCGGGTAAAGGTCGCGCGTCTGCTCGCAGCTGTTGAGCTTCCAGAACATGAAGGCGATGCCCGCGTTGCCCACATAAAGGTCGCCGCGGGCGTCCTCCTCGTCGTTGTTCGGGTTGCAGTGCTCCAGGATGGCGTCCACGTAGGTGCAGATCAGGTTCTTGATGTGCTCCTCGTCGCTGGCGAACGGGGTACTTTCGCCGCCGGCGAAATCGGCGAAGGGGTTCTTCAGGTAGCGGCGCTCCATTGCGTTTTGTTGGCCGGGATCGGCCTGATCGTCTTGCTGCTCGGTGGTCAGGTGACCTGATTGTTGGGTATCCTCTTTCACGGGAGTCGCAATGGCACCTGCTGAGATCAGGTGACCCTAAGTATGATGCGATATGACAGGCCGAGAAATCGATTTGCCGGCTTTAAGGGCGCGGCCGCGTGTCTGGCCACCACCTCCTCCTCCTTCTTTTTGGACTCAACTTACCTGTCTCAGGTGGAAACGGCAGTCGGCCCTTGGTAGAATAGCTCCTGGCGTTGCGGCAGATCTGTGGATTGGTGAGTTGTATACTCTATACTATTGTTTTGTAATATTACTACCGAAATCAAACGGAAAGCTATGTTTCAAGGAACGTGAATGTTTGACGAGTGTGATTCGAGTTGGGAAGTTGGTGGGACCCTTTTCTCACAGCAACCTCGATTCCGGAAAACTTGGCGCTTCTGCGGGAGAAATGTTTTTCAACTGACGAACTGCTCGACTCGAAAGATTTAAATAATTCCTGGCATCTTATGCTCAGGTCCTGTCAAAAAAAGCTAAAAGAAAAATCGATGTGTTATCGATACATCGCTGTCTTTTAAGTTAATGCAGGCAAAACCAAGAATCAAACGAGTTGCATTTATGAAAATAATGGTTTACTTATGAAATTAACCCTATTAAAAATGCCAAGAGCTTTAAAATTTATTTTGTTTTAAACGTACAAAAATAAATAACTATCGATAACGTCGAATTCAGCTTCCTTTGAAAATATATCGTGTTAAAATAAGGTTTATCGGCTAAAAGCTCTATTTTTACGCACCATTTAATTTAAGCTTAAACATAGTAAATAAATAGTAAAAAGGGAGAAGTTTTCCTTATTCGAATTTTAAATACCGTATTTAAGGCAACTGCTTTTTTTTACCATATTTAAAAAATTATGTAATCTTTACAATTTTGCCACTTTATTAGGCCTTAGTGGCAAGAATAAAGCCTTGTCTCGAATCAGGCTAAAATAAAACTCTTTCTGAATTTTGCTTATTAACTCGATCTTTTTATTTTAACAACAGTATAAATATACATCCAAAGGTATTATCCTTGCATCACATGACATTGTTCAGTGCTCACTTCCTGCGTTGACCGCCACTCAGAATGGTGACGATGCGGATGAAAATGTTCAGCACATCCATATAGATCGACATAGAGCTGCAAAAGTAGCGCCACATGAAAATTTGGTTACAGGACGGATAACAAATCCAATTAACTTACGCGTTGATGGGATCGAAGGGAGTGTAGCTGTACTGGGGATGGATCTCAGCACGACGCACCATTCGCTGGGTGTCGTAGAGCAGGAATCCACTGAACAGGACGAGACCGCCGTACAAGGACATGGAGGCCAGACCTGCGGAAAGAGGGTTCAAGGGGTTACCACCAATTGGATCAGAAGTATATACCATTCACACGGATTTCCCTTTACTTAAGTATAGGACTTAACATTTTACACTTAACATTGTCGTTTGAAATTGCAGCATCAACATAGTTTTGGATCAACCACAAAAGTCAATGTATTTTAAACCTTAAATTGGGTTTAGTGGGATTAAATTGCTGATAATAAAATTCCTGATAGGGAAAGAATCAAAAGCTTAGAAATAAAATTCTTGAAAAGAAAAGACTTCAAGTGGTGGTACCCCTAAAGGAAATCCTATTTCTTTATCAAGCCATATTTTAGTAAACTTACCCGCTCCGAGCGCCGTGGTCGGCGGCAGCCACATGGAGGCCAGCGAGGAGGCGAAGACCACGCCCAGGCCGATGGCCAGTGGGCCACCCATGTAGAGGAACTTGTCGCTGGGGGCACACGCGGCGATCGTGGACAGGCCACCGACAATGCCGCCCGTGTAGAGGGCAGCGCGCGTGAGGATTGGTCCGCCCGCGAAGCAGATGGGTGCGATCACGGCGCCCAGAATGGCGCAGTGCACCGCCCAGGCGAGGTGCTTGGCTCCCAGGCCCGGCTGGTACTCAATGGAGCGGGCCACGGCACCGCTGCCGATGACCAGCGCCAGCGAAGCAATGGTCGCCTATCCGGACGAGGGGATTGAGGGAAAACGGGCTCATGTTATGTTCTGTTCTGTTCAGTGTGCTGCGGGAGTTCCAGGATGTGTAGCAACTTACCAGGAGGCCACCGCGGGAGGCCAGCTCCAAGAGACGGTGCGAACGGAAGGTAGCTGCTGCGGCGGCGGCGGTCAGGACACAGGAGCCGCCGAAAAAGGCATAGGTGCTCTGGATACGGTCCCTCACATACTGGGGCCACATGCTGCAATGTAAACAAAGCATTGTCATTAGCAAATTTACTTTAACAATTATTCTGTCAATACTCCTTATACATACTATTAAATTACAGATTAGCGTCGTTAATAAAACTATTCACAAGCTATTTGTGGCGAATAATATGTTGTTATATTAATGTTAGTATGAATCATATACTATATTATATTTTGGAATATTCGAGATGTTATACAGAATCGATCCCAATTCGTGACAAGAGTCGTACAAAAGCAATGTGTGCTATTAGTGGACAAGAACAGGTATAAGTTGATGTGCATAGATCAGAAGATATAAAGATGTCTTGGCAAGAAACACAGATTCGGGGATCTTTTAGAAGAAAAATCAAGCATAAGTTGTCTAAAAGTTCTTCGATTGACAACAATAATACGAGTGATAAAATATTCAGTAAAGCCAATTCTTAGAGTTTTGTTTGTATGTTAAGCAATGAGCTTTGACGTATTTCATGATAGCACACATTGCTTGATCAGCCATGGGGATAATATATAAAATGCTAACTTAAACTGTTTTTAGTGCTAACTTCTTATACAAATTCGGGAATGATTCTGCATCAAGAGGAACATTATAAGAAAATTTAATTAATGTAAACGAAGTTCAAATATAAACGAAGTTCATTTAAAATGGTAAATAAACTTGACGGGGTAATAATAATCACAACCAAATATGTATAAACAATATACATATGCATAAAAAAAATAAAAAGGACGACGCAGTAAGACTACGAAATAAAATTTGAGTATTTTCGAGGTTTGAAGGACCTTCGCCCTTGCTTTTAAGTGACTATCTACTCACATAGCGTTGTCAGCAATGCTGGTGCTTTTGCCCAGACCCACGCCGTAGTAGGCCAATGCGCCCAGTCCCACGGCGGCTGCTCCAGCGGCGGCGCCCTTGCCCATGGAGTAGGCTGCAAACCGGGAAGAGGTTGCGGATTAGAGGGGATTACACAAGAACCAGCGACTGATAACCTTACCATTGGCGCTCGGCGGACCCATCAGCTTCTCCTTGAGCGAGGGAGCCCGCAGTGTCTGTTGCTCGACGGGAGCACGGGTGCGCACAGGCCCGCGGGCGTAGGTGCGGACCACGGAGATGTTCGGGTTGGCCCGCAGCAACTGCGCCGGAGATTGGCTCAGGATTTTGAGACTCCCGGCGGGGCGGGCGGCGGAAAGTGCCAGACGCAGCAACATTGTGTTGTTGTGGTGAAATTCGCGTGGAGTGCAATTGATTTCCTCTGGTAAGTGTTTTTAGTTTGGGATTGGAGTTCCCCTAATTTTCGTGTGAGTTTAGCTCTTATAAACTGCGTTTGTTCGCCTTTCGGAAGATTTTATAATTTGTTGTTTCGTAGCAATTTCTAGCAATTCGGTTTTTGTGATGACAGTTGGCGTGTGGAAGATGTTATCGATGGCACTTACAATGTATCGGAAGGCATCGACAATTACTAAAAGCCAGTTTCGATAGGGCGCTGAGTTTAATTCATTGAAGTATGGGCAAATCATACATATTTGTAGTGTAGTTAAATGCCATGTGCCAGTTTTCAATGTGTTTTCTTCTAAACAGTATTTTAATATCATTTTTAAGGAACACGAAATACACTTAACTATAGATTCCCTGTTGCTGTGAAACATATAATGAAGCATTCTTTTAGGCACAATTATAAATTGTTCTAAGTACTCTGCAAAGGAAGAAGAATTATATTGGGGTGACCAGAAATCTTCGTCAGGTTTTACCGACGGGCTTTTTAAGTTTTCGTGATCGTAAAATGAAAATTTTTTGTGCTATAATATTGATTTTTATTCTTCCGACGATTTCACACTACACATTACATATTACACGTTACAACTGCATTTAAGACTAGTTATCCTAAGAGTACAAGGTGGAATTTATAGAACACCCCTTTAAACTTGGTACTTCCGCGCCGGTGCTGAAGGAATATCCTCCTTAGGTTGAGATACCTGGCCGACCACGATCATCTCGGTGATGCGAGATCTCAGCAGGTTTCCGTAATGGTCGTAGGTATTGGTCATTTCCATGGTTCCACCCTCATTTTTCTGGTGGGTCTTGCACTCGTACAGTGGGCAGCATCGGGGATATTCCGGACTCGCTAAATCCGACTCGACTGGTTTGCAATCGCCAGTTGTTAAATTCGGCACATTGCAGCTGGAAAATCACAATTTAATAATATATAATTAATATATTTAATTTTAGTTATTCACATTTCTTTCTATTTAATTGACACAAGAAAAACGTTTTTGTTAAATCATATGCTGGGCTTTAACTCTTTTTTGCCAAAGAAATAAATAATATGTATGTATTATGGTTTTTTTTTACTTATTAAAAGATTTTTAAGAAATTTCCATGGTGTTTTTATCACTATAACAATACTAAGGTAAAATATTGCAATATAAGTGATATATTGTCTCCTTTGAAACATCCTATTCTGGGAAAGTAAACAATTTCAATTTAAATCACTTTTTCACAAAAAAAAAAAATGGTTTTTAAATATTCCAGAGATAAAGAAAAAAATGTTGAAAACAAAAATGGGCTTTTTTTAGTAAGTCTAGTCTAGTAGTAGACTTTTTTTTTAGAACTGCAGTTATTATGCTAACTTTTACTTTCACAAAAGTGGGGGCTTTATAAATAAAAGTGGTTCTTCTTTTTCTGGATTCCTTCTCACTAAAAGACGAGAAGGATGTCACTTACCTGTCTTCCCAGAGCTGCTGCGATTCGAGGCACTGAACCCGGACGCATTGGCCCTCTCTCGTAAAGAACTCTCCTAAGTACATTGGCCGTCCCGTGACCGTATCCATGCAGAACTGCCGATCGAAAATATATGATCCTGCAGATTGGATACAAGAGTAGCACACATTAATCCAACATCCACATTTCGATTACCACGTTGCACAAAATTGTTGCGTTAATTTGTATTCTGTTCAGTACTGATACTACTGATAATACTAAGATTATGCATTTGATTCGTTTCTTACGGCGATTGGGGATTGCCGCTGGGCTTTCCACTATGATCAAAGAAATTAGCAGAAAAACATATATAGCTCTGTTAACTGACTCCATTTTGGGGGATATATCGACGGATCGAAAAGCAGACTAGCCCGACGTTTGCAAAGTTTGGCGCACAACTGAGGTCCATACTGCTAATCTTCCTTGATTTATATATTTAAAAAAAAACACAAAGTAAAATGTTTATTTGTATGGAAGTATACACTTACGACATTTGCGCGCTTTCTCTACAATAATTTTAACAAATTTTACTCGGATCTGATGATTGTTTATGCGTACCGGCCCACTTACAGTGCGTTTCATAAGTATTTACGGAATCGAACAGAATATTGAAAAATCAATAAGCAAAGATACTGCTAGTTAAAATCATTATTGCTAGGCTTAAAGACTCAATTAATTGAAATTAATAATATAAATAAAATGTTGCTTAAGTAAATGCGATAGTCGTCATCTACAACCGGAAGGTAATTTCTTCCTATTTCATAGTAAACACAACAGTTTAAACTCTATGTTAGCTTTATTTAATGAATTCCTTAAATTAAAATCTTTAAAATAAATTTATTTTTCATTCATTACTCAAGCGCCCTTTTAACTGCACTTAGCAAACCGTATTTGCTTTCAAAAATCCTAGACTTACGGCCATGGAACGCACCTTACGATGCTGCGCTTATCGCCACTCAGTAATTGTAGCAGGAAAAAAGCGATTCTTCGCAATATGCAAAAAGAAACAAATATCGGTCCAAGTTGTATGTGTAAGTACCTATGTATGTATGTATGTACATATGTCCGTCTGACCTGTTGTCTATCATCCAATCATTTACATACATATGTATGTACATATGTATATTGGGAATATACCAAGTGTACAGCAATATTTTTTAAAACAGCACCGAATAATTACATTTTTTCCATTCGGCTTTGTTATTCAATATATGTATGTATTTAATATTTTATCGATTCAATTTGAACAAACTAAGCTTTACACTTAGAGAATGAATTATATTTGTACAAATATTTAAGCTGTTCTTTTTTCAAATATTACATAGTTTAATAGAATCGACAGTTCTGAAAAATCACATCTGATTAAAATTTCGTGTTTCAATAATTTGAAATATACATATATATTAAACTAAGATAGATATAAACTAAGATAGTTATGGTATTATATTGTTTTTACCGCTGCTGTATGTTTGTATGTATGTACACGAGGTACATAGCTCATTAAATTTAAATTCCAAAAATTTGTTTATGTTTTGATTTGGTTTGCTTTCCTGCTGGCTATGGATGATCATCCAATGCCATTAGGTCCATTATCCAGACAGTGGGGCACTGGAGCACGGATGATTCACCACCACAGATCGTAGAATTGGCACTTTGGCTGATGTAACACTAAACTATCAATGAACAAGTGCACTTGAAGCAAACAATACATTTTAAAGGTGAAGCTAAGGGCTATATATAGTATATATGAACATACATATGATTTTTTCGACAAAAATAAACTTACACGTTCACCTTAGAAGGTGAACTAAAAAAGTTCAGTAGATCAATTTAACTTAGTATCATTTGTATATCTATATTAAAAATGTTAATACATAAATAAAAAATTAGAATTTGAAATTCAAAACGCTTTAAATATATATACAAATATACATACAGAAATGTAAACTATAACCAATCATGAGAACTTTTTTAACAGGAGCTGCATAAATTGTGGTTTTTAGATGATAGTTTTACCTGCAATTTGCATCTAAAGTTTGCGAGGAGGTATCTCTGATCCCATAAAATGTGTCCGGTTCTATCTCTCTTTCTCTCTCTTAGCTTTAAATCTTTGTTTATTTTTGATTTATTTTAATACGCCGCAATGGGCCGAAATATTTTATCAAACACAAGTGCATTTGGCATTGATTGAAATCTATCTTGCATTTGCATTTCCGGGACTTTCCCGTTCTAAAAGCAGCAACAATCTGAATTGCACGTGTAATATGTAAGATGTAACATCCAATTTAGCTTGATTCATTCAGAATCGGCGGGGGAGATAAGCCATAATCTCATCCCATCCGAGTGTGTAATCAGTGCGTCGCCTAATCAAGTCTAGAATTTTTCAAACGATTGGAGCGGGATTCGATGACCCCAACCACCCAACAAATCCAACACGGAGACCGGACTCTGGGTTAAAAATTCTGTGGAGGAATTCGCGCACGAGTGCAGCTTGAATGCCTGTGGGACATCTTTTCCGGCAGAAACTCAACGAAGGAAGCGGAAACTGTCACGAAAGCCTTTCACTTTCTGCTCCACTTTTAAGTTTCCAATTTCAGCGGAGTGGCTAATGGTTTGCCAAACAGAGCGGTTGCCTACTCTTGTGTGATCCGAATGATTCGGGTAGTAATAAATGATTTGCCTATTTCTAGGCTGAATAGGCTAAGTATCTTTAAATTAATATACACATTTTGAATGGATTTTCTTTTCGGCTAACTTCTCTTTATGTTTCTAAAACTTTCCTTAGCAGAATTTTTTGTTACATGATACAAGTTGATCTGTGAAATTCCAATCTCTGATATAAAAGTTTATCATAACCCTGGAACATTAATCAACTACTCTCTTATAGTTATTAATTTAATTAAATTTTAAAAGGTTTTAGCATTGATATTGCACATATATATGTTCACCTATTTATCATTATTATTTATGCCAGCCGAAATTGGAAGATTATATTAGAAAGCAGTCAAGAAAAAATCTCCAAACCTTTAACAAATGTATTGATTAAATTATAATATACAGTTTAAATATGAGGTTAAACCCAAAAAAAGCTATTGGTTTGATACCACAAAGCTTTTATAAAAAATTGAAAGAAAAACAACGCTGCTATTCGGTTAAAATTCTGTATTAATCACCGTATATATCGAACCAATCTTAAAAAAAATATTGTTATATGTGGTCTAGTCGTTTAATGGATTTTTTATTTGACTAAAAGGGTATTCGAGCTTCGGCTTTTCAGTGTAAAACATTTCATATATTGTTTTTGATGACGTTTTTGTTCGTTTTTGTGGGGGCTTACTCCTGATTGAATTTAATTATTTTAGAGCGTCTACTGTTGCATGTAATCAATTAGGTTCAATAATCAATTAACAAGTAATGTTAAGGTTTAGTTAAGTGTGCTCGTGGTGAATCAGCTGAAAAATGCAAATAAATTTCTCCTCTTGTATATTTATTGGCGAAAATAAGGGAAAAAATGGACAAGCAAGTTGATTTCCTCTATCCATTGGGCGTAATTGATTTCAATAAATTTTGCTATTAAGACCGATAAAGCTTCTATGTCAGTTTAATAATTTCCGATAAAGATACTATGTCAGTTTATTAATTTGTTCACCATTATGTGTACTTCCTATAGACAGGCGTCATCTATGTTCTTTTAATATTAATAAAAAGAACACGTTAAAGAGAGTAAAAATTATTGTTATTATTTGTTTTTAAGCTTATGATTTAAAATGTGGATCTTATAAATTCATATAATATTGACCCGAAAATTAATTAAACAAAGTTTAAAGGTTACCCTAGATTGTTAGTTAAGACTTTAAATTGGGAAGTAAGATATGAGGAGATAAGTAATTTTTAAATCCACTTTAAATTATAGATTAAAACCTAATTAATTTCGAAAGGTAACTGATAATGGACCACAAATAAAATTGAAATGGAAACATACAAAATTTTATATTAATTTAGATCGTGTGTTAAAAATAATTCGAAAATTTTCTGGAAATTATTATTAAATGCAGGGGTAACATTTTAACCAGGCTTTGTTTTGGGGTTGACCTTGCTATTAGTTAAAGATTTGATCGATAATTAGAATTATTTAGTTTTTTTCCATACAGTAAAATAAGGGATTCATGAAGACTCAAGTTAGTAGATTTACGAAATACTTAGAAAGCCCTGAGCTTAATTTAAAATGGAATACAAAACACACTGGATAATTTTGATTTAGGGACAATGTGTTGATTAGCATAATTTGATGAGCTTTTGAGCGAAAGAAAATAAAAAAAGGCAATTAAAACCAGATTCAGCTAAGGGGTTACCTTGGTGTTTTAACGTTTAAAAGATACAAATAAAAGTTGTAACAGAATATGTTATAATACAATCTTTTGGATAACGTTGTTAAAAGAGCAATTGATCTATCATCTGCGTTGTTGAGCTTTGACCCGGGGAAAAAAGAGTGTAATCCCATGCGGATCCAGTATCCAAAAGTTAGGGGTTGCCCGTGACGTCATCGCGGCTCCGTCACCAATAAAAAAAAGAGCGCCGAAGATCATCAATGAATTCGGTTGGTTTTTTGAGCTCGTCTCGGTTTTGGTTTCGGTTTCGGTTTCAGTTTCTATTCTGTTTCGGGTTGGTATCGGTATCGGTCTCGGTATCGGACTCGGACTCGGACTCGGTTGTACTCGGTTTCCGATTCTCGGACTGGGGGTTGGACTTGGACTTGGGGCATGGGGCTTGGTTAAAAACCCAGAGCTCGCCGGCAAATCAGTTCTGCTCCGATCGCGCCACTGCGCAGTTCGAATTGCCCGTATCGCTCGTAATTCCAGATTTCTGCGACATTTCGCCGAGTGAGTTGCGCTCCGGTTCTCTCGGGTATTTCTGAAATACTTATATTCACTTATAGAAGATCCACTCGAGATCGAGATCAGTCTGCATCGCTTCAGCTCGATAAGATTGTATGAAATTTGGATACATTTTAATGTCACACTCGAGCTGGCTAATCGTATTTTATTTTATTTATTTTTTGTACCGTGTTCGCTGTGTGCGTGTGAAGTAGCTGTTGAATCAACTGCTGCAACAATAAAATGCAATTAAGCTGCTCAAATCAACAATAAATTGAATTAAACCGCGTCAACTGCGCTTAACAACTTTAACAACCGAGCCGAGCAAAATGTGGGTGAGAGTTTAGGGCCGGAGTTTCCAACTCCAACTCCACTTTTCTCCGCTGACTCTTTGACTTCCAGCGGTCGGTGGACATATTATCCATTAATACTACCCAATAACCCCATTGAAACCTTCCTCTTCCCCTTGGACTAATTAATGCAAAGCGCTGTTCGGCATTTGCATAAATTCTCTGAATAACTTTGATGCAATTAATCCGGTGTGATCTTTCATGTTTCCACTATTTCGCGCGGTTTATTCAATTTTAATTTCAATTTATTTGGTTTTTTTTTTTTCCTTTGGCCGGCTAGCGATTTAATTAACATTTTCATTTTCGTTTTCAGTGCGCTTTTTGTTGTTGTTCCTGGCAAATATGAAATTAAAGTGCAATTAATTATGTAGTTTTTGTATGCTTGTTGCTCTGAACTTGCTGCTAAAGGGATTTCCGTTTTTGAAAGAGACTCTCCTCGCTCGATTATTCTCCATCCAACCAACCAACCATCCATCCATCCATCCATCCATCCATCCATCCATCTATCCATCCATCCATCCATTTATCCATCCATCCATTCGCTCAGTGTGTTTGCATCTTAATGAGGATAAATTTGTTATGCCTTGTTATTCTTGTTATTGTTGTTTTTGGTTTATGATGCTGTACTTGTACTTGTTATTGTTGTTGTTGTTGTTAGGGTTATTGTTGATGTTGTGGGCGGCGTCGGTTGGGGGGGGCGTGACTTATTGGCCATGCATTACGCCACGTTAATTGAAACTTGTCGCTCGGCCAGCTGATAATGCAGACTCCATATTAATTGGACCACGGCCATGTCCTTTTCACATTAAAACTGGCAGTTGGGTGGATTTTGGATTTTGGATTTTGGATTTTGGGGGAGGGAATGATACTGCTGACACAGTTCGAGGTTACCGGGATTGCCACTTGGATTTTGGTTTTATTTTACAGATAATATATATGTATGTATATCTCGCTGATAATGTTCAATGAACCTTTGAGCTGTCGCATGTGTAATGAGTTGTTTGCAATTTATCTAACTTTTTTCAAGGGGGTATATTCACTTGGAAATGTATTTACTTTGAAGCTCCACTGTTTCAAATAGATTCAAGTTTGCTTGGCGCATTATCCAAACATAAAGCATTATGTTCATAAAGCTTATGGTTTCTTGTGTTGTAAATGTTTACGAAACTTAAAAATCTTCGTTGATCAACATTCAATTTATATCGCTGTCAAATTATACAAATCATTTAGAATATATGTATGACTTAAATAATAAATTAGTACAAATGTATTCATTAGACGTCATTTGTTATATTCAATGATGGTTAATAATTAGTTGTAATACTATGTAGTTACAATAATAATAATGTAATACTTTGTAGACCTAAAATTAGTTCGGTTCGGGCGTTTGACAAATTTCATAGTGCACTTTAAAAAGGCAGAACAAAATGCACATTGCGAATACTAATTATACAGCAGATTATTAGTGAGTTATAGGTTCATGCATCTGTGCAGCTGTGTTTGAAATTAACAAATTACCGCCTGATGACTTACAAGTCCATTTAAACAATGAAAATGGTAATCATTGATATATTTTTGCATTTTCAAATGGTTGTAAGACATTAAGGGACTTAAAATCAGGAAAAGCGGAACATATTAGAGTAAGCTGAAATTGAATTAACTATTTTGTTATTTTTGTTAGCTAATTTAATTACATTTTTCTAATACTTTTCTAAATTGTTGAATATGTAAAGAAATCAACAGCAATTTAAATATAAGCTACATTAAAATTCATTTATTAGAAAATACATACAGGTGTTTTAAAAAATGTTTTACTCCCAATATTTTTGCAAAAGCTAAGTTTTAAATATTTCACAATTTTTGAAGTACAAAAACTAAAGACTATTTCCCATTTATATCTAACATTGGAGTTATGCTACGAATTGAAAACATAATATGGTAGAGTATTAGAAAATAGGACTCGACTTTTCTCCAGTGACTTTCTTGTTCTGGATTTTGCGAATTTACATAACATGGAAATTAACTCGCACACTTCACATTGCCCATTGAATTGGTTTTTTGACTTTGAGGTTTGAATTTTATTTTGTGTGTGTTTTGCCTAATTCCTAATTTTTTCTGTTTTAATTTCTGATTTTGGTTCTGTTTGTTTCAGTTTCAGTTGCGATCAAATGCGGCGCAAAATGTAAATACGACCAAAGAACCAACAAAAACCGAGCGAACGATAGAAATTAGAAGCAAAAAAAACTCGGGTGAAGGTCGCGTTTGCTTCCCGCTCCGATGACCATGTTTTGGCACCAAAATGTGGATCAGCAGCCGGAGGAGCAGAGCAAACAGCAGAGGAGTTCCACTCCCACGAGGAGATTGAACATCAGCTTCAATGTGAAGATCGCTGTGAATGTGAACACCAAGATGTCCACGACGCACATAAATCAGCAGGCATCCAATAGCGCCACCTCCCCCTCCTCCTCCTCCTCTTTCCCCTCTTCCTCCTCCTCTTCGGGATCAGGGTCACCTGGAAAGATCGTGGTCCACCAGCAGAGCGGCTCCTTCGATCTCCGCCAGCAGTTGGCTCGCTTGGGTCGCCAGTTGACCAGCGGCCAGGATGGACACGGTGGCATCTCCACACTCCTGATCGTGAATCTCCTCCTGCTGATCCTGCTCTCCATCTGCTGCGATGTCTGCCGCTCGGCCAACTACTCGGTGCCCCAGAGTCCCGAGCCTGCGATCAAGGATCAGCTTGGCTTGCTGCGACCCAAGTTGGACAGCGATGTGGTTGAGAAGGTGGCCATTTGGCACAAGCACGCCGCCGCCTCCCCGCCCAGCGTCGTCGAGGGCGTGGCCATCAGCAGTGGACCTCGCATGGCGGAACTCCCTCCTCCCCCCGCTAATCCGCCGGAGGAGCATCGCGGCATCGACGAGCGGGTCGTCCTCGAACGGGTCACCAGGGATTGTGTCCAGCGGTGCATTGTGGAGGTGAGTGGGGGATTACTCTATTACTATATCCGAAGCTATCAAGTGGGATTGTATTCGTCAAAAAAGAAACAAAGTTTGATTAAAAGATGCCTCTCAAATCAATGATATTTGCTAAATTTTTTACTGAGCTCTAGCAACAGACATTTCATGCAGTTGTCTTAAAAATTAGAAAAAGATTTCACAATTTTTTTAATGCCTGATTTGTTTGTCTTTAATATTTATATTACAACATGTAAGCAACTAGAATATACAACAAACAGTTTAATCCCAATATTTTATTCAAGTTGGTCTTATTAACTATCGTTTAATATAGTTTAAATGACTAACTAAATAATAAAGGAGCAAACACCAGGCTGCCTTTATAACCGGATTTAGTGAATAAAATAAATTGGAATTCTCTTTTTTATACAGAAGCAAAACTCGTTGAAACACACACGAAACAAATATAAAACATTCAGTTAATAAATAGTCAAAAATGTATTTTTGTTTGGACTAATTCCTAATTCTATAAGTAATTAAATTAAATAGCAGCAAAAACCGGATTGGCTTAAAAAGTCATTGACATGTGGCGGCAGGTTTTAAGTTAAGTTCAATTAAAACATGTAACAAAATGAGAACAAACAAAAAAAGAAAAAGAGCTAAGATTATGGTTAATCGTCTCACCACTCAACGAAGATTGAGTCATTAATTCATTATTAATTTTTTTCAAAATAAGTTGCCCGATAAAGGTGAAATTTGCATAGAAAATACATCATCCGTCACCAAAGAAAGGAATGATTACTTCAAGTTTTGCATATGTCACCGATTTAATCAGGAAACAAATAAAATAAAGAGGGCATGTTACCCCATCACGAAGCTGCAACCTATAAATTAACAGAAATTTAGACATTTACCGGCTCGATTTTGTTTACTGAATGAATTTCCCGAGTTTTCAGTATTCAGGGGCCGTTAATCGCTCACTCGCACGCAGAAACGCCGAGTTGCAAAGGCTAATTAAATGATATGTGTAATTGAAGATCGTCAACTCGGTGATTACCAGTGTGGGTTGGTTGCTTGGTTGGTTGAAACGCCTCTCCGGAGCTGACATTTCAATTTGCCGGGCAAAGCCAGCCCAACTGGCTCATCCCAACCGGATCGGGATTAGAATCTTCGCCATTATTTGGGTTACCTCCGTTCGGTTCCTCGACTCCTCGGCTTGATTGCAATTTGCATACTGAGTGGGTGGGTTTCATCCGACTCTGGCTTTCGGCACCCCGACCCCCACCACTGTACCCCTGTGCCAATATTTAATTTAGTTCAATTCTATATTTCAGCGTTTCCCTCTTCACCCTCCATTAATGCGCTTTTAGTTAAGTCCTTAATTAAAAATGTTTTTAATTATGCAAGCGCCCGACGCGGTCTTTTCGTTTATTTGGCGCATTTTGTTCACATTTTAATTGCAGCTATTTGAGTGCAGAGGTTGAAATGTGAAACACGAGTTGTGCACTTTGTAACTTTGCCAGTTTTATGTTTCCCACAAAGCTGGTTCTTCAATTAAAAATGGGTATTAATGTTATTAGATTTGTCGTGGTGCTGATTTTTTTGATTTTAAAAATTCATTTGTGTGTGTTTACTTGATTTGTTTATAAACAAAAAGCCTTGTTTATGTTGAGGCGTTTTGATTGCAATTTTATTGACCAGAAGAATTATTATGTTTCAATTATAATAAATTAGTTGTGAATGGAATTGAAATAGTATAATCAATAATTCATATTTTTAATGAGTTAATTCCATTTAGCTTACCATTTCCTAGTTTTTGTTTATACAATAATTTCCTAGAGTTTATTCAATCTATTTAAAAGTTTTTTTTAACACCTTTGTAAAAATCCAAGCTCAGAAATATGCGATGAGCTGCTATAAAAATGTTGAGAGTTTCAGTTCACATTAAATGTTTTAATTTGTGATAGTAATTTACTGCTTTCCAAAGAAAAGTAAAGTGTTATTTAATGTAATTTATTATTAATTCATTAATTAATAATTCATTTTTGGCAAATGCTTATAACATATTTTCCTTATGCCTTTGTAAATATTAGAGCTCAGAAAAATGTGATGAGCTGTTACAAAATTGCGCAGGATTACTTCGCATATTAAAAGGCTGTGGTTGGGATAGTAATTACTTGAAGTTCGACGGTATTTTGCCCAGCAAAGCGTTTTATTTACTGATTTTGCATGGGCAAATGTAATTGTGTGTCTGCGTGGGAGTGCGTCAGCATTTCTGCACCGACCATGTATAGTATATACTCGAATTCCGATGTGCAAATGTGCGGACGGTAATTACTATATTATCGGAGAGGGTCTAACAGGAGTAAGCTGCATGTTAATCAGTGGCTTGACTTGCACTCCGTTCATTAGGGAAGTGCCACTGGAGTAATCCGCAATTCGACACTCCAGTAACACAAACCCCACGCCGCCGCCGTCAATTAAAATTAATGATAACTGAGCGATATTGCTCTTGAAATTGTGGGAAGGGATTGCCGGCGCATAGGCTAGAACTTAATGCTCAAACGCGTTCAAATATACAGATTTTATTGTTTATTTTTCAATATCAGCCAGCAATCGAATGTTGTTTAAGGTTATATAATACTCGCATCTAAACAAAACTCAGGAAAAATAGAAAAGTGTACTGCAATTTGGTTGTTTATTAATAGGTGTTTTTCTAGCTTAATGTTTTGTATAGTTTTTGTATATCTAGTTTCCATATACGTAGATAACCGAAACAAACTGTATTAAATACCATATTTTTGTTATTAAAACCCTTCCAACCATTTAATCAGGTCACTTATCCCTGGTAGAAACTAGACCAAACCTAAATGTTCAACCAGTAACTGGATTTCGCATAACCTAGAAAGGCGATGCCAACAAAAGAAATTTTATTAAGATGTTTTGCCTTGCTTGAATCGGGAGTGAGCAAAATGTTTAGTCAATTTATATGAACGAGTATATATGTATGTATGCATGTATGTATGTAGACAGTCCTACAATTGCGGCATATTAAATAAGATTTCTATATAAATTTGGAAGTATCAATTTTATTTTTTGCGGAAATATTGATAATTGCAAAACGTTCGCTGTAAACTACTAGACTTCTTTCACTACAACAACTACTATTACTCTTTTTAATAAAAACAAAAATTAATTAGAAAAAAAACATAACCAGCGTAATGATTATCTCAGATTGTAAAGTTCAATTTTTTTTGGGCAAATATTCTATTATATATTTTTAAAATTATTTGCTTTCATGTTTAAACATTTTGGATCATTTGGAGCTAATACAAATTTAAAACAAGAAAGGAAGCTAGGTCTGCAAGGGTATAAAAAATTGAGCCAATTCGAGATGGTAGCAAACGAAGTTTTAAAGCCTCTCTTAAGCTTATTTACAAATATTAAGCTCTGTTGTTTGCTTTATACTGAAAAGTTAAAAAATACCAAGTGAAACAAGATACAGCAGCCAGTAATTTGAAGAGGTTTTTCTTAATATATGTTTACTAAAGTGTAAATATTTAATTTCCTGTATATAGTTAAAACACCGTTCAAGTTTTTTATTTAATTTCCTTTATTTTGATGGTGCTATAATTTTGAGCGGTGCTGTGAGTGGCCGTCTGGACGGCAAGTGTACGGTATTTTCTTTGGCTCGCTTTCCCAGATTCTGAAGGCAGCAACAACAATGACACAATAATGGTGTCAATAACACACCAACCCAGTCTGGCGGCCTTCCCCCTTCACCCCCCTACCCCACCCCCATGCCTTTCAAGTGTGTGTGAGTTAGTGTGTGTGTGTGGGTCGGTTTCCAAGTTAATGTAATAGAAATTGTACAACAAAAGATGAGCAATGACGACATGAAAACCCCCAATGCCAATTAGTCTCGAGCTTCAGGCTCAAACCTTCGTCTTCTCCTCGGGCTTTATTTCGCCTCTCATTCTTTTTTTCTGAGTGTATGAGAAGGGGAGAGCTGTGCGCTCTTAAGAGCTATTTCTGTTTGTGAAAAAGCCAATCAAGCTAAATTAATAAAATATTACGTAGAATTCTAAATTAAATTGACGCGTGTGCGAAAAGGAAAGCACAAACACCAGAAAAATACTCTTTTTGTGAGTGTGTGTTTGTGTGTGTGTGGTGTTTGTGTGGATGTGGAAAATCCGTGTGCATGAGGGGAAATCCCTTCGTAATTACTAGTCCATTTAGAAAGCCAAGGCAACACAATTAACAAAGTTGGCCATTTTAAGGAGTTTGTAATTGGTGCAGAGGGCAGCTCCAAATGCGCTAAATTGTATTTTAAGTACTTTTTATACACTTTTTTTGGGAGTAACGCAAAGGATTGTGTATTTTACTGAAAAAGGTTGAAATAAGTACTTATTTTCTTTAACACGAACCATTAAAGCTCACTTTATGAGGGATGGAAAAAGCTGGCTTCAAATATGGTTAAATTAACCATTTCATACTCGTATAATGAATAAACTTTGTTGACATTCCAATGTATTATAATTTAAATTTAATTTAAATATAATTTAAATTTAATTTAAATGAATGATTCATTGGAATGTCAACAAAGATTACGGATTAAATTTCTAAATATATTTATAGAAGTATTATGACATTAAAAAATAATAAATAAATAATAATAAATAATAAATTAAATAATAAATGGTTTTGCATACATATGTTCAAGCTATTAATTATTTACAACTGACAAATTACTAACATCACTAAAGTTGTAGTATTTAATATTATAGTTGATTGTTACTAAAGAATATTGTAAGGTTGTTGGATTAATTAATGCCGCATTTTGCATACCCATGCTCAAAGTTCATTTTGCTTTACATATTTAAGTATTCGAGCTTTATTTTACACTAAATGCTTGAGCTTCTTGAAATGTTGCCTAATGTCTCGTGATAAGGCTAGTTTATTTCAAGTTTCGCATGGATGACCCCGTTTAGAGCCGGTAGTTTAACCCTTGGTTGGCCAAAGTCCAGGGTATGCAAATGGATTTCAGATCTTCGGCTGTTTGGCCAAAGAAGACTCACGTGGCAAACTTGTTTCTATCAAATTTATGCGGCACAAGCGGTTCTCGGAAATCTCATTTCGATGCGAAAACGATATTTATATTTATGTTAATATTTATGTGTGTGCAAACAAAGCACTTTTAATAGAGTGTATTTATGTTGTGCTCGAATGCCGAAGTCTTTCCCTGCTCCCCAATGATAATTGATCGCAATAATTGAGCCATTGGCATTGGCACAGAATTCGCGTCGATATTGGCCTCGTTTTTGTTGTTTTTGATGTGGTCACTTGGCTTTTTCCCACACAAACTTACCACAACTTCCGTTCCCAAGGGCCAAAAAAAAAAAGAGGGGACAATACACTAATTGCTTTCACATTTTTGTATTCTTTTCTTGTTGCAGGAGGATCTGTTTCTGGACGAGTTCGGGATTCAGTGCGAGAAGGCGGACAACAGTGAGAAGTGCTACAAAACACGAGTAAGTACGTAAGTCGAGGCAACTCGATACTGCTTTTCACGCTGCTGGCCAAGGAGTCTTGTTACCAAAGCCAAGATCAATTGGACACGAACTCAAAGTGCATTATGCGCTGCCAGTCGTTCTCCTTCTCCAGGCAACTGAGGAAGCCATCGAACAGGATCCTCAGGCGCTCCCTTTGGGTCGTCCTTTGCCTGCTTCTGGGATCCTTTTCCCCCCTGTTGCTCAGCAGGTTCATGGCCCAACCAGTGGGGGTAATTTACGGTGATTTACGGTCAATTTCATGAGCTGTGAAGCTATAGAATTGCTAGCAGACTGAACTGTTTCGGACTAAGATTTGTAGAGTTTGACTTTGAAATGACTACTGGCGTTCGGAACATACATGTATGAATTTAGTTCACGCAACATAGTCGAGAAATATAATCGCAATACAATATTCCATTGATTGGGTCATGTTTTTTTAACTTATTTTTATGTACGTTTATATACGTATAGTACAAGAACACACAATTGCAGGGGGATTTACGTAAGCCTTTAATTTTCTTTCTTTTACATTTTTCAGAATTATAATAAACACGAAATACTAAGTTATAGGTTTTATTTAACCGAAAATCTAAATTTAGTTTTAATTTCATTTTGGAATATATTAAAATTATAAAAATCATGAATCGATAAGTTACGGGCTTTAATGAATCACAAATTAAAATCTTATTCTTCTTATTGCTAATGTAATACAACAATTACATTAAAACTTTTCAAGTTGTTGCCCTTTTATATTGACCCATGCATTTTACATTAACTCGATTGACAACAGAAACCTGTTTGTTGAAATGCCGTTGAAGGGCCTGTTTTTACAGGTCGTATAAACAGCCATTCACATTTGCAAAAATCGAAAAGTCATCACCATTAAAAATTCATAGCAACAATAAAGTTCGAAGCCCTTTTCAATAATTAATTAACCTTTACATTGTGAATAAAAGCAATAAATAGGTTTTAATGTAAGAAATCTTTTATGAATTTATGAAATATTTTGTGAATCTTCTTGAAACTAATTTGCTTGGAAGTCCGGCTTATAGAATCTTTGTAAAATATAGTTGGATGTGTTCTGTTGAATCTTAATAGAATCCATTTCAAAAGAATAAAATAAATAAAATATATTTTATTTTGAATACATAGATTTTATTCTACCTTAGTCTTTCTTATTTAGGATTATCAAGGTTATTACAAAATCAATGAGATGTGAGTGGTGGAGTTCTCATCCTGCTTTCTTTATTCTGTCTTCGCAGTGCACCAAGGGCTGTGCCCAGTGGTATCGCGCCCTGAAGGAGCTGGAACCCTGCCAGGAGGCCTGCGTAAGTCCCAGTGTCCTCCCGAACTCCCGAACTCCACAAATCACCCAAACTGACCCACCTTACCCACCCACCAATGATCCTCCGATCCATATCCAATCTGACCTCGTTGTTGTTTTCCTTCTGGCCGCCCGCAGTTGTCGCTGCAGTTCTACCCATTCGACCTGCCCTGCATCGGCGCCTGCGAGATGGCCCAGCGGGACTACTGGCACCTGCAGCGGATGGCCATCAGCGGACTGGTGGAGCGGACCCAGCCGCAGCTGGAGCGAGCTCCCCGTGCCGATGGCCAGACCACGCCGCTCACCATCCGCTGGGCGATGCACTTCCCGGAGCACTACCTCGCCAGCCGGCCCTTCAACATCCAGTACCAGTTCGTGGACCACCACGGAGGGGATCAGGACCTGGAGCAGGAGCAGGAGCAGGAGCGGGAGCAGGAGTCGGATCCCGACCAGGAATCCTCTGGCAGCGCCTGGTTCAACCTCGCGGACTACGATTGCAACGAGTACTACGTGTGCGAGATACTGGAGACCCTCGTACCCTACACTCAGTACAGGGTAAGCCTAGCTCGGGATCATAATGAAGTCACATACCCTTTCTTATAAGCCACTAACAAACAATTACAAGTCGAATATGTACAAGTAATGATCTTATTGAATTTTAAGCCTAACAAGTCCAACTCCAAGTCTGAAATTTCATGTTTTAATGCTTCTGTTGCGCTATAATTCCCAACGAGTTCTAACTGCATAGCATGGTCAAGATCTTCGTGAGCTTTGTAATTTGTGTTTGTGCTAATTAGATTTCGAATCTAAAATTTGAACTGGCAGGACAACTCACAGACAGTATTTCTGCATACCATTATATCATAATATTAATTCCATTGCAGTTCCGCTTTGAGTTGCCCTTTGGCGAGAATAGTGACGAAGTACTCTACTCCCCGGCCACGCCCGCCTACCAAACTCCCCCTGAAGGGGCGCCCATTTCGGCTCCTGTGATCGAGCACTTACTGGGCTTGGACGACAGCCACCTGGCAGTCCATTGGCATCCGGGCCGATTCACCAACGGACCCGTCGAAGGATACCGCCTGCGACTGAGCTCCGCCAAGGGAAACCGCTCAACCGAGCAGGTGGGTGAAGCTTTTACAAATTCATAAAGTAAAGCAATGATTGATGATAATTTGAGCAAAGCACTAAGATTTCTATAAGTTGAAATGGTGTAAAAATCAAGGAGTTTGCCTTGTAAAATTATAAAAATGAAATAGTGATAGTGTTTTCTTTTAAAGAAACTTTAAACCATTGACTTTTCATCAAAATAATTAATTAACCAATCGTAAAATCTGTTAAATAACTCTTTTTTATATCAATGAAAACTATATACAAGATAATGTTATAAATTATTAAACTAAAAAATAATTTTGCGTTTCTTTTGACGTTAGCTGGTTCCAGCGGGGCGAGGAAGCTTCATATTTGCCCAGCTGGAACCGGGGACCAACTTCACCCTCGAGCTGACGATGATCAACAAGCAGGGCGAGGGTCCTGCGGCCAAGGGCTTTGTGGCCACACTCGCCTCCCGGAACGAGAAGCCGGTGAAGGATCTGACCGAGGGAGTCCTGCTGGCCGGTCGGAGGGCTGTGATGTGGCAGTCCCTGGAGCCAGCCGGCGAGAGCTCCATGATCTACCAGTCGCAGGAGGAGCTGGCTGACGTGGCCTGGTCGCAGCAGGAGCAGCGGTTGTGGCTGCTCAACGTCCACGGCGAGTTGCGCAGGTGAGCATTACTGGATTACACAGTTTCCTATAACAATAACTATCCATGGCGAATTTGTGAGTGATTAGGGATATACTTTATCTATTTTATGAAATTTCTTTTCTTACAAAAGCACTGAACTTTTTGCTTCCATAAATGTATCATTTAAACATGATACTTTAATACTTTAAATAATAATATGTTTTATTGTTTAAAAAATGAAGAGATAACAAAGTGTTTGATATTGGGTAACTAATTTAGTATGTTACTTTCTTGTTCTACTTTAATCCTTTGTGCCAGAGTATCACTTATTGGGTTGAAACATTATATCCTAATGAAGTAAAACAATATGCAGAAACGAGAAATTGTTTTTTTAAGTGCCATAAAAACTGGAACAAATTATAAATATTATTTCTTAAATATTCAAATTTATAAATTCTTTTTGTTCTAAAATCTAATCAGGATGTAGTATACATTTAGTAATCAAAGGGTTATCCTTTCCTTTTAGTTTGAAGTTCGAGTCGGGACAGATGGTAAGTCCCGCGGAGAAAGTGTCTCTGGAGCTGGGAAACCTGACCATCAGAGGGTGGACACCCAGAAGGCTGAGCTTCGACTGGCTGCGCCACCGACTGTACTTCGCCATGGAGTCGCTGGATGGAGCCCTGCAGAGGTTCCAGATCATCAGCACCGACTTGGAGGGAGGATCGGCCGAGGAGGCGGGGGAGCCGCTGGATCTGCCAGTGGAGCAGCTGGAGGTGGACGCTCTGAACGGCTGGCTCTTCTGGAGGAACGAGGAGTCCCTGTGGCGCCAGGATCTGCACGGTCGCCTGCGCTATCGCCTGGTGAAGATCAGGCAGCCTGGATGGTTTACAGTTCGTCCGCAGAACTTCCTCATCCGACTGATGCTTCCCCAGGAGGATCGCTTCCTGGAGCTGAGTTACGATGGGGGATTCAGGCAGCCCCTTCCTCTGCCACAGAATCCCAGTGGATCCTCCGCCTGGCGAACCTTCGCCCTGCTTGGCCGCCACCTGCTGCTCCCCTCCGCCAGCCAGCTGATCCTGGTGGAACCGAACTCCGGTGGCCAGGGAGCCAGCGCCTCGTGGCCACTGCGCCACCTGCCCGACTGCTGGGCGCTGATCCTCCTGGTGGCCGATGGCCAACCACTCACCAGTGCCGCTGGCAGGCCCCAGGAGCTGAGGGCACTGCTGGGATCCCAGGCGGCGGAGATCTCCTGGCGGGAACCGGAGCGCAATCCTTACCAATCCGCGGACGCCGCCCGCAACTGGAGCTACGAGCTGGAGGTGCTCGATGTGGCCAGCCAGAGCGCCTTCAGCATCCGCAACATCCGCGGACCCTTCTTCGGCCTGCAGCGCCTCCAGCCGGACAATCCCTACCAGCTGCGCGTGCGGGCCATCCACGCTGACGGATCTCCGGGGGATTGGACGAACCCGCTCGCCGCCCGCACCTGGCCACTCGGTCCGCACCGCCTTCGCTGGTCCAGCGGGCGGGGTGACCTCCTCCTCACCGACGAGCTGGGAGGCCTTCTCCTCCAGGAGAAGGAGGTAAAGCAGCTGGAAGCACTTCCCGGACCGCTGGCCATGGTTAATGGCAGTGTGGGTTACTACGTGGGCGGACGGGGAATGCTGCACTGCATCCAACTGGGCCACGGCGGGGGAAGCTGCCCCTGGACGGAGCCCATCAGCCATGTGGGCGCGGTGGCGTACGATTGGCGCGGGGCGAGGATCTACTGGACGGATCTGGCCAGGAGCTGCGTGGTGCGCATGGATCCCTGGTCGGGTCGCCGGGAACTGCTGCCCGTCTTCGAGGCCCGCTCCCTGGCGCTGGATCCCCGGCAGGGGCACCTCTACTACTCGACGGGGTCGCAGCTGAAGCGACATGGACCCTCGCCGGAGGAGCAGGTCACCCTCTACCGCGTCGATGGACTGGAGGGCAGCATCACCTCCTTCGCGCTGGACACCCAGCAGGAGCAGCTCTACTGGCTGGTGGTGGGGGCAGCCGAGCTGCGCCTCTACCGCTCCTCCTTCTCCGAGGGCGGGGAGGCACCACAGCTGCTCCACAAGGCGAACAAGGGTCTCCCGGTGGTGCCGCACAGCCTGCAGCTCCTCCGACCGCTGGGCGCACTGCTCTGGCTGGAAAGGAGTGGCAGTCGCGCGAGGTTGCTCCGCCTGGCAGCGCCGCAGGATGTGATGGAGTTACCCGCTCCCAAGGAAGTGGCTCCCGCTTCCGCCCTCCAGCTCCTCGATCCGCAACCAGTGCCGCCTCCAGATCCGGATGTGGCTCCATTAGCCGTTGCTCCCGACTCCGTGCGATTGGACGATGGCCACTGGGACGACTTCCACGTGCGCTGGCAGCCATCGACGGCCGGCGGCAACCAGAGCGTCTCGTACCGCCTGCTCCTCGAATTCGGCCAGCGGCTGCAAACCCTCGAGCTGAGCACCCCCTTCGCCCGACTCACCCAGCTCCCGCAGGCGCAGCTCCGGCTGAGGATCAGCATCACGCCGCGCACCGCCTGGCGCACTGGAGCCACCACCCGCGTCCAGCTGACCACTCCTGCGGCGGCACCTTCGCAGCCGCGCCGCCTGCGCGTCTTCGTGGAGCGGATGGCCAGCGCCCTCGGCGGCTTGAATGTGAGCGCCCTGCTCCGCTGGGATGCCCCCGAGCAGGAGCAGGCGCTGGAGTACCACATCAGCTGCTGGCTGGGCTCGGAACTCCAGTCGGAGCTGCGGCGCAACCAGAGCGCCTTGGAGGCACGCGTGGAGCGGCTGCAGCCGGACCGCACCTACCGCTTCCAGGTGGAGGCACGAGTGGCCGCCACGGGTGCGCCGGCCGGTGCCGCCAGCCACGCCCTCCACGTGGCGCCGGAAGTGCAGGCGGTGCCGCGACTGCTCTACGCCAACGCGGAGTTCATCGGCGAACTCGACCTGGACACGCGCAGTCGCCGCCGGCTGGTGCACACCGCCAGTCCCGTCGAGCATTTGGCGGCCATCGAGAGCGAGCGGCGGCTTCTCTGGGTCAACGAGCACGTCGAGCTGCTCACCCACGTCCCGGGCACGGCGCCCGCCAAGCTGGCCAGGATGCGGGCAGAGGTAAATACATACATACATACATATCTTTCTTTTTTTCTTTTCTTTTTTGTATTTGAATTATTTATATTTTATTTGATTATTTTGATTATTTTGTTTATGTTGTTTTTAATTTTCTTATAAACTTGACGGACAATTTTACATGCATTAGCTTGTTTACAGCTACAGTCGAGTCCCGATAATTCGAAATGGCAAGGGGATCACTTTTTTTTACGAATTAGACGGGAATTCGATTTATCGAGATTTTTTCAAGGGAACAGAATTTTTTACGAATTATCGCGATTTTCGATTTAGCGGGGTACGAATTATCGGGATTCGACTGTACTTTTTGTTTACTATTACTTTTGTTGCCGTCGATCTTGTTTACGAGTACGTATACGCACCATTTCACAGTTAGAAAATATTTCCGATTTCCGTTTTTCGTCTCTATTCGCATTCTGCACTTCCCAGAAACGCACGTGTCCACCTTAAAAATTCGGTTAGAGCTTTCACCAAATTATTCTCTGTTAGGCATTTTAGTAGCAAATGCAAAACTTGTTTTTAAAAAATTTTAAAGATGAATACCATTTTGTTGTTCGTTGTGAAGTAATACAGCTTATGGTAATAATGCAGAAAGGCTTCCCTTAATTAATATTCTTCGCGTTCATAAACGCAAAATGTAGTATTTACATACATACGTTCTCTATTTTTTTTCGGTGTACACAATGGAAGAGAAAAAACATGTGTTACCGTTATGTTTTCGTTGTTTGGTGTTTTGATCTTCTGCTCTTCTCCTATGGATTCGTAATCACACAAGGTTCTGTAGTGGCTCGTCCAGTAAACAACTTCTCCTCCGATCCTCCACAGGTGCTGGCCCTGGCCGTCGACTGGATCCAGCGGATGGTCTACTGGGCGGAGCTGGATGCTGCCGTGCCTCCGGCGGCCACCTCGGCGGTGATCCACCGGCTGGACCTGTGCCGCTTCGAGGGGAAGATCCTGCAAGGAGAGCGCGTGTGGAGCACGGCGAGGGGTCGCCTCCTCCGTGATCTGGTGGCCCTACCCCAAGCGGGAGCTCTCGTCTGGCTGGAATTCGAGCAGGGAGCACCGCGGAACGGATCCCTGCGGGGCAGGAACCTCACCGATGGCGCCGCCCTGGAGTTCACCACCCTCCAGCCTCTGGTTCGCCTGCACGCCGGGAGCCTGGAGCCCGGAGCGGAGACGCTCAACCTGGTGGACCAGCAGGGCAAACTGTGCGTCTACGACGTGGCCCGCCAGCTGTGCACGACCAGTGCCTTGAGGACCCAGCTGGGATCGCTGGGCGAGGATTCGCTGGCCCAGGATTCCGGCTACCTGTACACCCAGCACAACTGGAGCATCCGTGCCTTTGGCCGCCGGCGCCAGCAGCTGGAGTACACGGTGGAGCTGGAGCCGGAGGAGGTGCGTCTGCTGCTGGCGCACAACTACCAGGCCTATCCGCCCAGGAGCTGCCTGCTCCTTCCGCCGGCGGCGGATGAGTCCCAACTGCCCACCGTTGACTGCGAGGAGCGGAGCTGCCAGCTCCAGTTGCCTTTGGTCCAGGCCTCCGAGGATTGTGCGCTGCCTGTTCCGGGTGGGCGCTACCAGCTGAACCTCACCCTGGCCCAGGAGCAGGACGAACTGCCTCTGGCCCAGTGGGTGCTCTCTGCCGGGGAATCCCTCAACATGACCGACCTGCTGCCCTTCACCAAGTATCGCTTGAAGAGCAGCCTGAGCAGCTACTACCAAAGGAAGCTGGGGCTGCCCGTCCTGATCCCGCCTCCTCTGGAGTTCCGCACCGCCCCCGCCACGCCCTCCGCCCCGCGGAACTTCAGCGTCCGCGTGCTGAGTCCCCGCGAACTGGAGGTCAGCTGGCTGCCGCCGGAGCAGCTGCGCAGCGAGGGAGTCTACTACACGCTCCACTGGCAGCGGGAGTCGGACGGCGAGCAGGAGGAGGGCGTCCAGCGGGAGCAGCAGCCGCAGGAGCGGCGCATCGAGGCGGCCGGAAGCCACCGGCTCACCGGAGTGAAGCCCGGATCCGGCTACCTCCTGTGGGTGCGGGCCCATGCCACGCCCACCAAGAGCAACAGCAGCGGACGGGTGCACGTGCGCAGCTTCGCCGAGCTGCCGGAGCTGCAGCTTCTCGAGCTGGGACCCTACTCGCTGAGTCTCACCTGGGCGGGCACGCCGGATCCGCTCGGTTCGCTGCAGCTGGAGTGCCGCTCGCCGGGGGAGCAGCTGCGTCGCAATGTGGCCGGGAACCACACGCGGATGGTGCTGGAGCCGCTGCAGCCGCGCACCCGCTACCAGTGCCGGCTGCTCCTGGGATACGCGGCCACGCCGGGAGCTCCACTGTACCACGGCGCCGCCGAGGTGTACGAAACCCTGGGCGATGCTCCCGGCCAGCCGGGCAGGCCGCAGCTGGAGCACATCGCCGAGGAGGTGTTCCGGGTCACATGGACACCGGCCCGCGGGAACGGGGCACCCATTGCTCTCTACAACCTGGAGGCTCTGCAGGCGAGGAGCAACATCCGCCGGAGGAGGAGAAGGAGGCGGAGGGCTAGCGGATCCCTGATGGAGCTGCCGTGGGCCGAGGAGCCGGCGGTGGTGGAGGACCAGTGGCTGGACTTCTGCAACACCACCGAGCTGAGCTGCATTGTGCGGAGCCTCCATTCCAGTCGGCTGCTCCTCTTCCGGGTGCGGGCAAGGAGCCTGGAGCACGGATGGGGTCCCTACAGCGAGGAGAGCGAGCGCGTGGCGGAGCCCTTCGTTTCGCCGGAGAAGCGCGGCTCCCTCGTCCTGGCCATCATCGCCCCGGCGGCCATCGTCTCCAGCTGCGTCCTGGCGCTCGTCCTTGTGCGGAAAGGTAAGGAATCATCTGCTGGTCTGTCGAAATATAAGTTATATGGAAGTAAAACTGTTCTGAAGGAAGGAGGATCGTTTCGACTTTAGTTTAGATTTTCAAAATTTGTACTTGTGTTAGTTATACTTACTAGCATCTCAGTTCAAATCAATTGCACTTAACTTTAGTGTGGAATCTATTATTTCTATTTAGTAGAGCTTGCATTTTGCCTATTCTAAAATTCTAAAAACAGCAATTGGAATACAACGTGGCATTTTGAAAGTAGTTCAGGTTGAATAAAGTCAGTCGTATATTTTTTTTTAAATTTTCAATATTCCTCATAGTTTATTAAACGTCGGAAAAATTAAAAAAAAAAAATCGAAATAGGAAAAAGGAACATATAAGTATCGCATATAGATTACAGAGAAATTAGATAAAGTTATATTCTGAGGTTGAGGATCCAAAATGCTGCTTGACTTTTGTTTTATCAGAACAGAGTTTGTAAAGTTTTATTTGTACCATTAATATTTAAAATACAAGTTTGTACAGGTATTGTGTAATTTAAAAACAGCTCTTCAAAAATTAAAGAAAATTCATATTTTCCGGCTTTCGTTGGTTTTTTTTATAAAAAATTAATCGAAGTTTAAAAGTGTAATTTCTGTGCTTATCCACAAGAAGATTGTTTCAACCGACTGCTTTTCATTACATTTAGTTTCAACAGTTTAATTTTTCAGTTATTACTATAGTGAAGAGTTTTTGAGTATTCACCCAAGTTATAAGATATTCAAGCTTCGATTTTTTTATTTCGAGCAGTTCAGAAGCGACGGCTGCGGGCCAAGAAGCTGCTCCAGCAGAGCCGTCCCAGCATCTGGAGCAACCTGTCCACTCTGCAGACGCAACAGCAGCTGATGGCTGCCCGGAACCGGGCCTTCTCCACCACACTAAGTGACGCGGACATCGCCCTGCTGCCCCAGATAAACTGGAGCCAGCTGAAGCTGCTGAGGTTCCTGGGCAGCGGAGCCTTCGGCGAGGTGTACGAGGGTCAGTTGCAGACGGAGGACTCCGGGGAGCCCCAGCGAGTGGCCATCAAGGTGAGTCACTCCTGTGAAGTGGGGCATCCGCAATGGATTATTGGAACCCTTTCAATCCTCAGAGCTTGCGGAAAGGAGCCAGCGAATTCGCCGAGTTGCTGCAGGAAGCGCAGCTGATGAGCAACTTCAAGCACGAGAACATCGTCTGCCTGGTGGGAATCTGCTTCGACACGGAGTCCATCTCCCTGATCATGGAGCACATGGAGGCCGGCGACCTGCTCAGCTACCTCCGCAACGCTCGGAACACCAGCACTCAGGTATTTTCAATAACCTGTATTCTGGGATTTTTGCTGGCCCTAAATTGGTTTACCATGAAATAATCAGAACACAAATGCATTCTTCGATTTGACTTACTAAGCCTAAAATCTTGCTTTTGGCAAAACTGGCAAGGCACACATGTAGGTCAATATGTACAATCCCTGTGGATTAATTCGGTAGAGGGAAAACTTGTATATATATCATACATAGGTAGATAATTAAAAATGTTATATGACTGTCCATCGGAAGGACAGGCTCTAACCAAAAAAAATCAGGAATTGTGCAAATGTAAGCCTTTTTTTTATTGGATTATGGGTTCTATTGATGACACAAGTTTTGCTGGCCAGAAGCCATTGGCTTTGTATTTAACTTTTTGTTCTGAAAGAAGAAATTAATGAAATAGCGACCAAGCATTTGGGCATTTTATTTTGGAACCGTGTTAAAGCCGGATCCAATTGTGTAGTCTATGATTCCATTATCCCAGTAGTCATTGCTTATTCCGAATCATTGTCGAAATACTCCTTCAGGGTTTTGCTTATAAATCTTTCCTGGAAAGGAGGTATCACCGCTTCGGTGCACAACGCGTTCTTGGAGAAGGTGGCTCGCTTGCAAAAAGGTATCGGAATGCAACCGTTCCAAATCCAGTCCTTCAACTCGTTCAAGTCCTTTCGCTTGCCGTACATTTTGCCTAAGGCTCTTCCTTCGTTGTTGTACACAATAAATCCTCCTATATTGTTGATGCGACAGCGCTGCAGTAGTTGACCTCTGAAATTGTTGCCCGGCTTTATGCCGGAAAACCAAAATTCGGTCATCATGTGAACATCCAAGCCAGAGATCCTGTTGTTGTCATCTGTTTGCGATGGCAAAGGAATTTCACTGCTCATGGTGTTGTTGATATATTTTATACTTGATTTTATTTTTATGAATTATCCTGCTTTGATTCGCTCTGCTTTCCAGTTTTGAATGCTTTTATGACATTTCTGTGACACTTGTATAAAATAAAGGAAATCGCAAAGGCTACTGCGAATGTCTTTGACATGAAAATTAAAATTCTTTCTTTATTTCTTTATATAGACTCTGAATCAAATATCGGCCCTATCAAACTAAAGCGAATGCATATAGTTTTAGGAAAATCATTTTATTGAGTGAATATAGCGAAAGAAAGAAGAAAATCCAATTTGAAAATTTCGAAATATTTCGATTGGTTATTTGGAAATTTATATGTTGGAACCCGATAGTTAAAAATAATTCAAAGAAATTTTATTTTAGTGTTATTACATTCATCTCATCTGTGGCTTCCTTTAAAATATTAGTTTACAAACAAATCATTACAGATAAGAAGTTTAATTGGGTTGGGATTTCCTTACATTTTTATTTAATTAAGAATCATTTCGGAATGTTCGTAAAATGTATCTCGAAACCAATGGGGCTTTATCCGCCTTGCAGGAACAGCAGCCCGCGGCGGGACTCTCGCTCTCCGAACTCCTGGCCATGTGCATCGACGTGGCGAATGGGTGCAGCTACCTGGAGGACATGCACTTCGTGCACCGGGATCTGGCCTGCCGGAACTGCCTGGTCACGGAGTCATCGGGCGGAGCGGACAGGCGGCGAACGGTTAAGATCGGGGACTTCGGATTGGCGAGGGACATCTACAAGAGCGACTACTACCGCAAGGAGGGCGAGGGGCTGCTCCCGGTGAGGTGGATGTCTCCGGAGAGCCTCGTCGACGGACTCTTCACCACGCAGTCGGACGTGTGGGCCTTCGGGGTCCTCTGCTGGGAGATCCTCACCCTCGGCCAGCAGCCCTACGCGGCCAGGAACAACTTCGAGGTGCTCACCCACGTCAAGGAGGGCGGACGCCTCCAGCAGCCGCCCATGTGCCCCGAAAAGCTGTAAGTTGAATCCGTAAAACATTTGTTCCGGTGCGAAGCCCCAGTAAGATGAGGATTTAATTCAAGCTACAGTTAGTGTCAAGTTTAGTAACGATTCGATACTAATGGTTATCAAATAGATTTGAGAGTGAGAACTGATACCTAAATGCAATAAAACACCAAATGATATTAGATTAATTAATGCAATTAACATCAATTCGGCAATCATCATTTTGCACAGTTTTATGTATGTTACCAAATTAATTGTTTGCATTATTGCTAAAATGTTATTTCTTTTAAATCTTAATTCACTAATTTATAAATGTTTTCTAAAGTTTCCTTAAGTAACATCCAATATTTCATTTCAGTTGTGAATAGGTCGTAAGGCTAAAAATCGCATCCATCAAATCAAATGATTTCCCATACAAAATTTAACTCAAGAAATTGTTTGCTTTACAGAATGATTGATTAAGGCTTTCAAGGACTGCTAGGACCTTTAGATATTTAACTTTTCCGGCAATTTGTATTTCCATTATAAGCGCAAACCCAAATAACTAAGAAATGAGTTTAGCAATTACATATAAATTATATAACAATAACCCGATTAGTTATCCGACCAGCACATATTCGATATATTAGGGATTTCATTTAGTGTTTTCATAATGCCGAGCTTAATTTGTTTGCTGTATTTTCGAACCCCAGGTACTCACTTCTCCTGCTTTGTTGGCGAACGGACCCGTGGGAGCGGCCCAGTTTCCGGCGGTGCTACAACAATCTGCACGCCATCAGCACGGATCTCCGGCGGAGTCAGATGGCCTCCAGTCCGGTGGACTCCGGAGGAATCTCCAAGCCGGAGTTCAAGGTGCGGTTCGATGGGCAGCTGAAGGAGGAGAAGGAAAAGGAGAAGGAGAAGGATAAGGAGAAGGGACTCCTGGAGTCCGAGAATCTCTCGCTGCGGGAAGTGAGCGGCGGTGGCGAATCCCCTTCGCTGAAGGAAAAACAACTCTATGCCAACGAGGGCGTCTCCCGACTTTGAGGGACAGTCCCTCACCCTTCACAAATGACGTCTCAAACTAGCTTTCCATTAATCTAAGCCTAACATTAATTTCTACTTGTGTAATAAAATATAAAATAGTCCATGAGGAATCGCAATTTGTATTTTTTGATTTTTTTCCAAGGCTTTTAAGATCCTTTTTTATCTTTGCATGTGTATATAATTACGACAAATGATATTGTAGGTTTATGGATTTTAGATTTAATAGCGAGTGCACGTTTAAAAAAGTTATATATTTTGCAAATCCTCTTTTATTTATTAAAAAAATCAATATTTTCTTGTGTGAACAAATTAAGTTATTTATTGGTATGATTTGTCTAGAATATGATATGATACGTAATCAAATAGGTGGTAATTCAAATTCGTGAAGCTTGTTAAACTATTAATTTGTTGTAGAAAATTCTTAAACTACAAGTAAGCAACGACTGTTGTTTTTACGAGTATATTTGCACACCCAAAAAGCAACTTTTACGAAGTCACATATTCAGAGGGTCAGCCTTTTTTCAGAGCTCGTTCGCATTGTAATTCCGAATCTAATTCCACTCAAGACCATGCTTAATTTTATTGAATTTGCCGAGTTTTTAATGTGAGTTGCCCAGAAAAGTTTGCTTCGGCGGCTTTTATTTCCATCATTTTCCTTTGTGCTCCCTTTCCGCGCGGCTTTTTCTGGGGAAAAACACAATCAAATTAAATGTGAGCGTTGTTGGTTGGTGCAAAAGTTTGGCGATACTACGGAATAGGGATTCCGTGGGTGGGCTTCGGGGTTTCAGGGGTCTATGGGCTATGCCCTATGGCCCTTCGGCTATAAATAGAGCTGAGTTGAGGAACCGAATCCTGAAGGTCGACCTTTAACTAATCAGCGCAGGTGAAGGAGCCACCACCGCCAGTTCAGCAAAAAAAGAAAGCCCCCTCGAAAACTTTCTCCCTTGCACGCACGCACGCACACCACCGCCCCACAGTGACTCCCACATGCACACGCACACCCAACACACACACACCCACACCCACGAGCTTACAAACATGCAGATTTGTCAAATGTTTTGACAAACTTTTCTTCTTTTCTTTTCTCCCCGCATCGTATTACACAAAAGCCAAAGGAAAAGTGAAGGAGGCGGAAGGGGGCGGGGTGGATAAATCAAAAATTGTAAATAGCAGCACATAAATCGATTACCTTGCGGGGCTCTCGTTAACCCACGAAGAACGGAACATAAATAAACCATTTTTAATATGCGAATAAGCAGCTTTTCTTTATGCGATACTCTCAGTTGGGGTTGCATGGGTTCTTTAAGGGAAAGTAATTTGAAATATCTCTGCTTAGATTGCATTGCACGCTCTTTTCCAAGACCGCCTATAACTAATATTTGTTATTATAGCTTCTTTACTTAGGATCATACAAAATATTCATGCAACATAAAACCTTTAAAAATGCTTAAATATTTTTACCTTACAGAGACAGAACTTAAAACTTACAAAAAACACTAAGGAACAAAAAAGGATCAAAAATAGGATAATATTAAATAGTTTCTTTAAGTTCTTGGTTTTAATCAGTTTTTTTAGCAACATTAATTGCAATCTGTATTTTTTGTTGCAGAAAGTTTAACAATATGTTAACTGCAACATGAAAGTGCCATTCCTGCATATTCCATATTAAGGGAATTTAAAATGCGAGAAAAGTGGCTTGAAGCCCGCTTTATTTGCCAACAATACTCCTTGGTTTTTTTTATTCCCAGTTACTACCTTTTGCGTGCCTTTGCTGAAACCCACCGGCTGGCATTTTCTCCAGTGGGTGGTGGTTTGGTGGGTGGTTGGTGGTTGGTGGAGCCGAAACGGGAGCTGGCTTCAAGGTGACTTGCCATTGATTTCGCTTATTATTATGGCGGTTTTTTGCATGCCCCTTTCTCTTTTTCTGGGTGGCAAGGTGCTCCTCCCCCCTGCTCCCAGTTCCCTACACCATGTTCCCTGCTCCCTGCTCCTTGCTCTTTGAGCTTTAGAGCGCGGCAAGGATTTAATTTTATGGCCCCGGGACCGTCGCCCCGTTGACTTATTGTGCTGATATGATTAAGTGGTTCGCTGGTTCCGAGCCGCTGGCTCCGGCTTTATGACAAGTGCAGGATTCACAAGGGAAGGTGGAAGTGGGAAGTGGGAAGGGGGAGGATGGAACCCTAGATTGGCAAGGGACTTGTCCCGATTCAGCCCGGCTTTTGCCAGTTGATGGTGCATGAGACGCAGCAGCTCCTAACTTGTCAAAAAGAAGTCCCCGCCCCGTTGAGCCATCCGCCCTTTAATGGGGCCCTTTAATTTCGATTTGATTCGATTTCATTTGATTTGCGCCATACACCTCGAAAGTTTGGCCCGCCACTTAAAATTTCCCCCCTTTTCGACTGGCACAACTGATTGAAATTAGATGAGCTTTTCATAATACAAGACCTAAGCCGCAGTTCTCCCTCGACAGCCATCTATTTGGATGTGTGTGCGTGTGCGTTTTCCATTAGGTTGGATACCGCTTTTTCCGCTTTTCCCCTGTTTTCCCCTGTTTTCCCGATCCCCCGACATTTACCAGGTAAAAGTTTTTCCAAGCTACGTACTCTCCTTTCCGAACTCCCGACTCCGTTTTCCGGACTTCAGACTTCAGACTACGGACTACGGACTCCGGATGGCGAGGCAGCAACGCTAATATCCCTCAAGTTGCCACCGACTTTGTGCCAAATTGGTTATTAAAAGAGTCAACTAGTACGAGCCAGAAATAAATTGAGAGGCAACAGCGCCTCAGCGAATTCCCGCGCACAAGCAGTTGGCGAAATAATAATAAAAGAGGGCAACTTCGAGGGCCATCAGGATGTGTTGCAACTGCTTTTCGATTTTTCCTCAGCGCATTCGACGAGCGAAAGTATTTCCAAGTATGCTGACAATGTGTTTTCCACACATGCGGTGCAAGCTTTATATTTGTTCACAGTTTCTTGAGTTTCTGGCTTGCAATGAATTTTAAAACTATTTTGAAAGTTGCTGACTTGCCTGATGAATAGGGTTCCAAAAGAGAAATATTAGCAAGTACTTGAAAACAGAAACTTTTCAAAATATTGTATCATAAATAAATAAAATCATTTATCGAAGAAGTTCGATAAAGATGCAGAGTTGTTTAAATCTCGTAACTGTTCTTTTAATCATTCCTTCTGTGGCTATGAAAAATAATAATTTATAATTATTAAAAATATTGGTTCCTTAAAAGTATGCTATCATCTCTCATTAGTTGTTAAGTAGCAGGCTTTGGTTCCCTTCTTTTATTGGAAATGTGACCCTACAAAGTTGGCGACCTTTAGCCTTTAAGATCAGCATATTAAATGCCCATCAATGAACAATGGAAATATCTTCTTCTCAATTGACAGTTATCGAGGAATGTAAGGCGTGAACAGTTCAATTAGACCGTCATAGAACACAGGACTTAAAGCGAGATGGCATGCACTCGCCATCTCGCTCTAATCAATTGTCTTGCCAGAAGGTCATTAGATGCTTTCGAACTAATTGAGTAATTTGCTCACCTTGATTGCTTTCGAGGGGAGTTGTGTGCAAGAGTGCAAAAGTGTGTGCAAGTGTGTGAAAGTGTGTGTAGTTGTCAGGTAACTTGGCACACGGACACGTGCTGCAGCTTCCCACTTGCACTCCCTCTGTCTCTCTTTCACTCCTTCCTTCCCTTTCGCTCACAGCTCCTCTCACAGCAAAGGCACACACACACACACATATGCAGTGTCGCCATTTGCTCGTTCATTATTTCGCACTAATTAACGTTTTGCGACAAAAGGTGGCGCTTTATTTTTACAACTGCAACTGCGTTTTACTGCGGCTCCTCTGCTGCAACAGTTGCTGCACTGCTAATGCTTAGGATAAAATTGTGCTTCGTAGCATTAGCTTCAATTTTGAGATTTATTTATATCATAAATGTACATAAGTACAGATTCTTTAATAATTTCGTAAATTTGTATTACCCATACATTTTATTAAAATAACATTGGATAACATCAATGGTTAATCTTTTGCTTTAAAAATTTATTTTAAATAATATTTTTAAAAATTGCATAAAAGTAGTTCTGTGAGAGTTTTAACAAGAACGGTACAGAAATATTATAGCTACTGATGGTAGTAAAACAAACAATAAAAAACAATTTATTGCAAATAATACTAATAAAAGAATTAAAAAAAAGAATAAAGGTTTAGGAACAGCTAACCTAACATACATATTTTAATAACAAATCATTTAATAGAAATTAATATTAACAAAATTCAAAAATATATTCTACTCCATTCAAGTGATTCTTCGTGGTATTTTTTTGCAGTGTAGTGGTACTGCTGCTGCTACGGGTATCGCTGCCACTTGAGGGCCACTCTAGGGGGCGGGTTGCGCCTTAATTGCTGTTTATGAGCGGGTTGGCCCAGTAATTAAACAATTTCTTTTGGCCCGGCACAAACCGTTTCACTAACGGCAGCGAGTTGGCTAAAATGCACAAGCAAAAAGCCACCCCACAAAAAGAATGCAGTTAAAAAAAAACAAATCTTGGTGCTTATTGAGAAATACAAGTTGACAAATAAATTAGCATGTTGTGGAATATGTGTGTGTTGCGTCTAAGAAACATTGATTGCGTCCTTGGCTTTGGTGGGCAGATCCTCTACATTTAATAGGTAAATCCGCCTAGACCTTCTCCGCCGTATTCCTTTCGATATAGTACGGCGCCGCACCGATTTTCTTGCACTTGTACTTCAGTTTGCAGCACTCCGGAAAAGGTTCTCCCGGAAGGATTCGCTCCCCGCGGTTGCAGTTCTCGATGCGCAACTTGCCACATCTGTAAATGGGAAACAGTATATCGGGAATTAGTAAGCTGATTACCTAAATAAACTTTGTAAAACTGTTTGGATACTTTAACTTATTTGGGAAATCTAAAATGTTCATATAAATTTATTCAAGCTAACAGACTCATATAGAGTATAATTTTCTATAAATAGCATACGAAGAATGACTCGGATTATATTAAAATTTCGCTGAACTCCGCTCATTCATGTATTATATTTAATGTCCCCCCCACAAAACTGAAGAAGAACAACTTCAGAAATGTCTTGCTTATGAGTGTTCTTAACCTGATGACTTCATTTTTAATTTTAGCCGCAAAACCTTGAGGTTGCCATAGAGCTGATTTTGGGAAAAGTGCTACATTGTTGGGAATAAAACCTTTGAGTTTCAAAGATTGTGAAACGTTTCGTTCAAAGAATTTACTCTTCTCACAAACTTTGTCAAAGCGTAAAAACATTACAAAAAAAAAAAAAAAAAAAAAATAGGAAAAAAAAAAAGGAAAAACACTTAAAACCTGAAGAGCAAATCTCATTTCAGATCTAGGGCAAAACTTTTAGTTTCCCTCAATTTAGTTTCGTCTCCCCCACGAAAAACCGCAACCTAAAGGATGCCGGAGACTACACCACCCCCTCCACCACCCCCTCCCCATCTTAACCCCTTCGACATTCATTTAGCTGTCAGCTCTTTAGCTTGACCTAGAAATTACAGTCTCATCTCTTGCGCCACTTGGCGAACTCGAAACTTGGGCTACAAACTCGGCGAGAAGTCGCAGTAGCAAGTGCTTGACGCAGCGTCATCGTTGCGAGTGTGTCTTATGTGTGTGTCTTATCAGCGACGAGCATGTGCCATAAACTACACTCAGCGAAAAAGCGTACAGCCTTAACAGAAACTTAAAAAAAACTTAGTTAGGCCAAATCGGAATTTTATGTTTGCCCAACGAGGCTTAGTTTACCCAATATAGCTTATCGACTTTTTGTTTAAAATAATTAAAAAAACATATTCCTGCAGTAAGTGGTTTAGTTTTGTAAGCAACTTAATTCAATATTAAGGCTTTCTTAAAAAATATATTTTTTGAAAGCTTTAAAAATACGTAATCAACGTTTTTTGTTTATATGCACTCACTTCTATTTTGTTGATAGCAATTATTTGCTATTATTTTTGTTTTGATAAGTTTGTTTGTGTTCTACAATAATAAGAAAGTTTTTTTTGGTTTTGCATACGTGCTTAGTAATTATACGTAAGCGTTATCGAATTCTGAGATCCAAATAGTTCAAAACGTGTTTCAAACGCATTTAAGGTGCAGGAATCTTTAGCCATTTGTAAGCTTACTGAATATATTGCATTCTCATCAAAATAATGTTCTTAAACTCTTTTTTTGTTAAATATAGTGGTTACTTTTTTAAGAATCTCTAGTAAGCAGTAGTATGTAAAAAACTTGAAAGGTCTGATAAAATTCAAAAAAAGAAATTTATAAAATTAGTTCGAACTACCAAAAAAAAATATATTTTGTTTTTATTATATTTGCACGTTTCATTATTTTTATAGAAAAACCACAAAAATAAATAAATTAAATTGAAAAACAAAAAGCTTTTGAGTTTTCTGATCCCTATTTACTTGTATAATCCCTATAGCTGCTATTCCCTATCTTTGTTTGGGAAAATCCTCTGAGTGCATATTCGTGTTGTCAATATTTTCGCTGTTTATATAGGAGATGCTCCCAAGACGGGGTCAAGGTGTGCCGAACTCACCCCTCGATAAGTATGGAGCCATCGCTGTTGCACGTTAACCGCTGGCAGGGCGAGATGCCATTATTGACCCCCAACTCCAGCACATCGCCGCGGTAGATGCACTTCCCTGGGTTATCTGTCAACGGAAATCGACTATAGAAAAGGTATACTCGCATATATCAACTGGGGTCCGCTCACCTGCATCCGGGGGTATCGTTCCCGAGTAGCCGCTCACCTGGGAAAGCAGCGAGAGAAGGGCACCTGCGATCACCAGCGGGATCAGCGGATTTGCGGAGCGGATTTGCGGGGACATTGCGACCGCGTTCGTGTTCAAAACTGGACTGAATTCGAACCGGACTCCGATCGGCGTTGTCTACTCCGTAGAGATTGCCGAGATGAGTCGCCGTCGTTGCCGTTGTTGTTCCGATTCCGCTGAAACGTCGGAGAGATTCATCAATTGGCTTTGGCTTCTCTATACCCAATATTTCGGGGGTATATTCGAGTGTTTTAAAGTACTGAGAACCATTTGAAGTAAGTATAGTACTTTACAGAACTCTTCTGAGCTACAATTTTTGTATGAATTTTAATTAATTTTACTACATGAACTCAATTTTGATTGATTTTATGCCAATACATATTTACGACAAATTTATATACATAGGTTAATGGAACTATTCTAGCATCATAACAAGATACATTAAAATTAATAATTAGAGGTATCGATTTGTGGTTCAAACCAACACAATATCAGAAACGAAGTAATCTGTAGTATTTTTGAAAGGGTATCCCATAGTCGAACTCCCAAGCATCTAAGTTTGATGGCGTTTTTGTTTTCGGGTCCGTTGATTATTGTGTATTACAATTTAATTGAAGACGCCACTCCATGCTCCAGCTCGTCTCTCGTCTCTCTACTCACGATTCTCCATTCTCGATTCTCAATTCTCAATCCTCAATTCTCGATTCTCGATTCTGGTGGCGGGGTCAGGCGGTTTATCGGCTTTTGGGCGGTGGCGGCTTTTCATTACAGCACTTTACTGCCTCAAATTGTTCTAGAATGTTTGCACAATTAATGGCAAAAGCGGTGTGGGTAGGTGGAAAAGAGACGGGAAAACGGGAGCCGAGATAAAGATTGGAAGCCTACGCGATGACACAGGGAAATTGTTCAAATCACTAGGCTAGGGCTGGGAAAACCAAGTTCTGTCTACTATATAAAGTATAAAGTATTAATCAATTTTGGCTAAACACAAATGTACGGGATTGAGTTGATATATTATATTAATAATCTACTTTTACCAGTTGATTAACCATTTTTATTATATTTGAAAAACCTAACTAAACAATCATTAATTAAATCACCGTATTTAAAGCTGTTTGTGTGACATTATAGGAAGAAGAATGAAGATTACAAAATAAGTAATCGCACGGAATTTCAAAGCTTGCAATTTAATATATATTATATTATATATAAATAAATAATATATGCTTAACAGTTTATTAGTCGTTTCCAGTATATTCGAACAACATCACTTAACTATTTTGATTAAGTTAAATGTGCTTATTAAAGCTACCTTATTTAAAAATCTTCTTAGGACAGTCATTATAGAAAGAAGAATGAAGTTTACAAAATAAGAAATCACACGGAATTTCAAAGTTTTCAAGCTGCTTTTAGCTAAGAGAAAAAGTTGTGAAATCAGGGCCGTAATGTAAATTATATAATTTATTAGCCGAGTTTTGAGGCTGTTTTAAAAATGGATGAGAGGCAAACGAAAAACGGGTTGACGAAAGGCACAGAATTTCAAATGAACAAAAGCAAACTTTAAAATTTCCAAAGTGTCCTTAATTTGCTAACCGCCTATCAAAGCTCTTTAAAATCGCTCCCGAAGGCAGCTTTTCCGAGGAACAGATTTTACGTGGCCTCATTGTCAACATTTCGAGTGGGAAACTCGCTGGTGGGAAAGTTTCCTAATCTGTGCCCCAAAAAAAGATACGTGTGTATCTTCTAGCACGTCGTGGCACTTTGAAGTATTAAATTTAATTTTAATTAAGACGTTTTTCCGCTCTATTCAGCTGAGCCAAGGCCAAATTCGACTGCATTCGAATGTATTGGCCAGACTCAATTTGCGCAATTGAGGAACTAAGATAGTTCGGTGGGGAAATCTTAATGAAATGCATTCGTTGGCGGTGGCGTTGGCGTTGGCTTAACCCGCACAGAGAAGGGCAGACAAATGTTGTGGCAACGGCAACAACTTGTGCAATCCAATTGAGACGAGTCCTTCAACCCAAAACCAACCTCCCACCGCCCCCCTCACAATGTTTGCCCTGCTGGCTATTAAATTTTTAATCAAGTTAAAGTGTTGTCAAACACTTCATTCAGCCAGTTCCATTCAACCATCTGGATTCCCCGTTCCCCTTTTCCCCTGGAGTTCCCATTTCGGCGGCAGTTGGAAACAGGAGGCAGACAACCTAGGGATATCAGATGTATGTGGTGTTATGGGAACATGTAACTTGCAGCACCACCCACTAACCCACTCACCCACTCACCCACACTCCCTTTCCCACTTCTTTTCCCCACTTCCCCGCGACCTTCTTTTTCCGTTCATTTGGTGTCGTGTTAGTTATGCATGCATTCATTCGTTCATTCAGCGACATTCATTTCGTTTCATTGCATTTTCTTACAACTTTCCATGGCATATGGCTCTGCACCACCCACTAAGCCACCAACCCAGCAACCTACCAAACCCACCGCACACCACAGTGGCATAACCGCATTGTAGGAGCCACCGTCGCTTCCTTTGGCTGCCGCCAATCCCTGTGGACACTTGTTCGTGTGCTTCCCTTTATGATGTAAGGCTTTCTTTGCCGCTTTCTTTTTCCTCCTGCTACCCATTGAGTAATCGAGGATATAGGGCTTTTCCACATAAATGGGAGAGTATAGAAAATAGGACTTGAGATCTGTCTTAGATTGTTGAATTCGTCCTAAAATTGCTAAACAAGCAATTCGTTTTGGTTACGATTTAATTTAGATTTCTGAAATTTTTTTTTTTTAGATTTATAGATTTATAGAATTTCTTATAAATAATATGGTTATCTCTGTTTTACTTTTGAGAACGGTTTTTAAAATCATCTGCATTGTTTTGATTAAACTGAAACAATTTTTATCTCATAAAATGTAACTAATTTTTTAATGTTCGGAACTTTCCGATTATTAAACTCATTTGGCATGGCTGTTTAATTTACTTCATGGAACAAAACTTTTACCCAAAACTTTCTTCAAAATTTTTCTTCAGCCACAGGCCCTCAAATATTCGAATCTCATAAGTTACAAAACGTTCCGTGCCTTTCCAGTTCTCCTTTGTGGTAAATGAAATGCAAATAAATTGTCAACTGCAGCTAAATAAAATTTTAATTTATAACGGGTTCGACTAGCTTTCATTGTGCAAAAGTTGAAAGGAGAAAGGGGAGGAGTGAAAAAGGGGGTAATGCCCCAAGAAAGGTAAGTGCAGATGAAACCCATTTCGGTAATTGAAATTGCGGAACGATTTCCTTTGCCATTTGAACGCTGTAAATATTTATTGAGCCCTGTGATTTGAAACAGCAGAAAGGATGTTTATTGTAACGAAAAAGACAATGCCAATGCATAAGATATTACATGAATATTTAACCGGTAACTTGCATTCGAAAAGGGGCGCAATTTAAAATTGTATACCGATGGACATGTGACCCATATTTTGAATTCAGCTCGACATCACTGAGTAAATTTGTAGAGCAAATAACAATGCACCTTAATATTTAGTTGAACAAATATTACAATTTTGTCCTTAGATATGTACATTTCCTTTATCGTAGTTGTGCTTACAAAATTATTTGACTACACTAAACAAAAACTTTATATCCTTTTTGGCTATCCCCCAACAAATACTTTTAATAACGTTTAAAGACTTTAGGTTAATTATTATTGCGCAATATAATTTAAGTGTAACTTGGCAACATTTTCTATGCTTCTTTTACTCATTAGCGTCATGTCTTTTATCAAAAATTTAAAGAATTAAATCAAATTTGTTATGTTTTTAACATTTATTTTGATTAGTGAACAAACTATAATAAAAAATTATCATTTATTTTTAGCTCTCGTGGTTGAAATACCATAGCTTACAACATTCCGATGATTTTTGTATTGTTATTAAAACTACGCATTGTACAATGAGTGTGATTTAAGGGAAATGGGATATTGTGTTATTTTTGTCCATCAAATTATTTGGAATTTGAACCCCACATGATGTTAACAACATTCCAAAGCGGTGCACGTGGGTTAATTATAAAACTGCAATTTGTACATAACTCAATTGGAAGTGTTTTTTTCCTTTTTATTTTTTTTATTTGTTGGTATTGAATAGAGGTAAGGATGATGCTGGTTGATTAAAAAATGCGTATCTCTAATTCTGTTGAATGTTGAATTTTCTTTTCCCGATTCATTCATCATATTTATTTATTTATTTTATTAGCTTGCTGTGTAATTCAAATTCAGTATAATGAAACTAAAATGTAAAAGTGTAGAAAGTGTTTTTTCCCTCACTAGTCTAAGATCTATTTCCTCTGCGTGTTACGAAAACCTTGAACAGATCTTAAGTCTTCACTGGCAAATCAGGGTTACTAACCCACCTTAGATGCGTTCGATGATGCGATGAATACCGCAGGCTCAAGGCCTCCGAAAGTCGGAGAGTCACCCACCTTTTCCACTTTTTCGGTCTGGTCTCGCTGGGCAGCAAAGTCGCAACTGCAATGCGATGAGCAGATGAGTGAAAGGCGGGTTCGCAGCCCCCCAAAAGATTCAGTTTGTTTTTTCGGGGATGTTTGGTCACTGTTTGGCACCCCGTCATCCAATGGAGGATGGACGGCAAACATGCACGGAGCCGTAGCTAATTCGCATTTGATTATTTCATTTAGCGACGTGAGTGACACACGGAATGTGGGGGGAATTTACGCGGAATGGGGGAGCACAAATTGAATAGTTTGCGCTGATGTGCCGATGTCCGAAAAGATCCAAAAATAAACAAAGAATAAACGGTGTGGTTTAGAGCGGACCATCGAGCGAATCGGCAGTGCTTTGTTAGACCGCCGAACTGCGAGACCAGCGAGTTCCAGCGAATTCCAGCGAAATCACAGTTGGCATTTTCAGAAAATGTATTCAGTGCAGGGGCGACATTCGCAGCGGCAACGAAAGCGACAGCCATAGCACACACACACAAACCCACACACACACGCACACTCTTTCACCTGGCGCACACACACATTCTCAGAATCGCAGATCAGCAGATACACGGATACACGGATAAACGGATACCCACACAATCGCAAATCCCGAGAAGTTCGAAGGAAAGTGGCAGGAACGAAGAAAAGAAAAGAAAAGGAAAGGAATAGCAAATCCTGTACATCTGTGCATCTGTGTGTGTCTGTGTGCACGCCGGAAATGGCCAAATTAGTGACTTACATCTTCATCGTCAGCTCGCTGGTCCTCTGGTACCTCCTGCTCTTCGGAGGCAGGGGCGTGCGGGGCGTGGAGGCCACCAACGGACACGGGGGGCAGCTGGAGGGGCGGGACTTTCACCACCACGGCGGCAGTCATCACATTCGCCGTAAGTAAAGTGCTGATCGTGGCAACCCTGGTCGAATGGAGTTGCTTCATTAAGGGTGATGGCAACTCCCTGGATCCACTCTTCAGATCGATCATTCTGTAATGGTGAAGGTCCTTTAATCTCACTTTATTGTGTGTGCTTCTGTTTTTTTTGCTGAGTGTACATCATAAACAGGCTTTGTGGCGCAGGAGATTTTTATAAAAAATAAATCCGTGTGGATAATAGCATATCGATACTAATAGTTCTTAGGCTGAAAAGTGTTAAAGAGTTATTTATAAGCTGAGATACATAGTTCCACTTTGTTTTAAATAATGAATATAAACACAAACTCCTTTTTTGGGAATCCTTAAACATGTTTAAAAATAAAATGTTATTAATAAACGGTTAAAAAGTTAAAATCGAAGGGAAAGGGACATTTACAGACAATCAATATATTTAAGAAAATCCCATAAATATTACGGACTAAAATTCTGTAATATATTTGTTTCTCAGTGGAATTTACCAGCACACTGAATATAATTATAATACCCTTTTTCCTTAGATCCATTTGGCTTTTCCTTGTTTTATTATCTTTGTTAAGATTTCACAACAAAAAAAAAAGAATAATTTTAAGCGCTTTTTAAGAGAATAATATTGTTTTATGCCATGGCCCTCCCATCTCCCATCTCCCATCTGCCACCTTCCACAGGTAACATCAACCACTGCTGGCGCCGCTACGATGGCTACAACCTGCAGAACACCGTGGTCAACAAAAAGGAGCAGCTGAAGAAGCCCTACGGCATATTGTGCAACTTCAAGTGCACCTGGTTCTTTACCGTCAGGTGAGTCCTGCCACCCATCCCCATCCATCCGCTCCTTCCGCTACCGCCTTTCATCTCTGTTTCGTTGCAGCTTCCCCACTTGCGAGTTCATCTACGACTATAAGTTATCCTGCGTGCTGTTTACGTCACTGCCCGACTGCACCAGCGTCAAGTGTACGCTTTTGAACTACTTCGAGTAGCATAAATAGTGTACCTACCTAACTAAGCCTTTTTTTTTGATAGCATAAGTCTGATTAATACTAGATTTTATATGGACCTGTAGACGAGAAAGTATTATTAAATCAACGACTAATTTATGAAGACAGATTGTTTTTATTTGCAAGGAATAGCATTCATCTCAATAAACAAATATAAATATATATAAATAAACAAAATATCCACTAAAATCGTATAAATAATAGAGTGCCGCATGTGTGTTCTTTTTTGATATTCAAAATTGATTCATCTATGCCAATTCCATATCGGATTAAGACCAAGTTATGCTGATAGCTGGTAGTCACAAGGTTCACACGGCTCGCGTCTCACTTAAAGTTGGCCAAAAGCCATTTCCAGAGCCAAAGAGTCAACAGGGCTGTTCGCAGTCCATTTGGTGGCAAAGTTGAAAAGCCACAAAAGCTATCAATGGACCCATCCGCACCAGCTTCTTCCAGCCCTTCCATCTTTTCCACCCGAAGCTATTCGGCACTCGGAGGAGTCGCCTCTTTGTCTGGGTAGGGGGCGGGCCACGCCCAATTACCTGGCCACATACCTGTAAGCTGGCCAAAAAGCAATCCACTTTTTGTAGTAAACAAATTTGAAACACTTTGTTACCGCCGTCATTTTTTCCACCGCCTCACCGTTTCGCATCCCCGCGTTTTTTGCCGGGTTAAAAGCGATATATCCGCTCAACTTGATGGCCAAAAACGATGACGGCGGGGGTTTCGTTAGGTTTGTTAGGTGGGAGGACTAACCAAACTTGGTTAGTCCATGGCAATGGCTGTGCTGTACCTGAACTCAAGCCCCAACCTCAAACCCCAACCCGAAACTAAACTGAACTGAACTGAACTGCTGAACTCCCGCCAACAGCCGCAAATAAATCGTTCGACATTTATAAGCCAGTCAAAGTTATGCCAAAGCGTTTCCTGAAAATTTGTGTACCCAGTTTGCAGTTGGCAGTTGCCAGTTGTTGTTGTTTTTGTTTTTGTTGGCATGAGGTTGTCAGGTGCTGGCTAAAAATAAGATAAATTATGTGGCCGTAGTCAATGGAGCTGTTAACTCGCGCACCTGAGTTCCGAAAGGGTTTCTCCTCTTCCCGCCAAAATCGCCAAACCCTTTAACCAAGTGGATTCGAGGGGGAAAATTTCGAGGAGGAGCACCAACTCAGCTCTCTTTGTTTTTTTTTTTGTTTGGCCCGTCCAGATGGGGCCGCACTTTAATGGAATCAAACGAAATGGCATTGATCGCTGAAGGCCAACGGACCCGCACCAAATACAAAAATACAAAAGTACAGAAATACAAAAAGAAGATCTGCGCTCGTTCGTTTTGGCTCGGATCTGTCAGTCAGTCAGTTGTGCTCGTAACTGGGATTTGGGTCGTGGTCGTTGTGCGTTTATATCACTCTATCTATATATATATATATGAGTACATTCGCATTTGGAGGGTGACTGGATCGGGGAAGGGGTGGGAAAATCCGGATCGTTTCGGGGAAACTACGCGTAGTGCGTAGTTCGCTTGCTTTATTGCATTTTGTGCGTTGGCGGTGGCTTCTATTTCAATGTTGATTGGCAAATTACGGCAATTTCTGGGCGCTGGGAATTAGATTATTTTGAAATAGTTATAAACAAATTAATTGCGCATTACGACTGAATTGTGCAACCATCTGTTGGGGCTTCAGATTGACGCAGGCACTGCGGAGTGCCCATGTGAACAATATTATCATTACAATTATGTTACATAATTACCAGGAAGTGACAATAAAATTGTCTGCTTACTTCATCATAATTTTGATAATACAAACGAGTATATTACATACAGAATTATGCATTGAAATACTTAATAATGCACAACATTCAGTAGAAAATATTCAAATATACCAGAGTAATTCTGTGTATGCATCACCATGTTTTTGGGCATTGAAAATATGATTCATAGCGCAGTTTTTATTTGAATACCTGAATATGTTGCTTTTCGTTTAGGTGATTGATTGACTGATTGTCTGATTGACTGATTATGACGAGTTTAACTACCCCAGGCAATGTAAACCAAACATTGCATTCCCTGATGTTATGCATTCAGGCGCACCTCCTGTTTTCCCTCCACCGGAATTTGGGGATGGCTGAGTGATTTGCCACACAAAAGGTGCCAAGAGTCGTCACAACTACAATCCCATGAGATCCGAAACCGAAATAGAAACCGAAATGGAAACCGAAAACGAAACCGAAACAGAAACAGAAACGCAAAACGAGGATGGCAAAGTGTGAGTGACTCTCCCTATTGCCTTGCTTACACTGAAAAGAAATCATATCGTTTCATTATAATTTAGTAGAAATTTAGTAATAATTAGTTTGTAAGCTGTTAGCTTGGTTGATTGGTTATAGCAATGATGAAAAACCAATAATTGGCGCCCACTGTTGGACACTTATGGTATTTATAGCTATTTAACTGTTAAAATTTACAGTTAGTGTAGTAGAAAGAAAACTGCAATAAATTAAGAAATAAAATATAGATGTAAATTATTTTTTGTTTGCTTGCTAGGTATAATTTTAATAAATTATGTAATTGAAAATACATGGAAATATTACTACTTCGAATTTGCTTTTCTCTCCGTGTGGTAATCATATTAGCGAGCAGGAGGTGTAGGAAAGTGAACAAGAAGCTGGGGTGGCACACCCACACAGTCGCATGCGATAATTTATCAATTGGCATCAATTTAGGCGCACACAAGCCCGCGCTCGTGGCATTTCTTTGCCGTTTTGTTTATTTGTATCACATTTTTTTCGCCCCATTTTGATTCGTTCGCTTGGCTGGCGATTTTCGGCACACTCGCGACATCCATCGCTGGCGGCGGTTAAAGCCGCGCCGAGACATCCACGCATCGCATCCAAAGTCGCTAGATGGCAGGCTCAACCTACAATTCAGATACAGATACAGACTCAGGTTCAGATTCAGATTCGAATTCGCAATCAGTTTTGGCTTCTGATACGTATTGCGACGACCTCTGCGATTTTGGCGACGGCGACGGCGGTGGTGCTTACGATTGCTGTGCAATGGCCAAATCGATGATAACAGAACCACAAAATCAACCGATAACCACAAAATCGACGACAGCGAGCATAACTGTAATACACACACGCAGAAGCACCACAACAATCGCATTTGTTCTGCTTTTAATCCTCTGCTGTTTATGTGATTACAACTATGGAAGTATGTAGTCCCAATCACCAAATCACCCAATCACCCGATCACCCTCCTCCTCCGTTTTTTTTTTGTTATGATCACGTTTTTTTTCGAGTGGTTGTTTGTGGTGAAAATTCGTGTGGCGTCAATAATTCTACAAGAAATTACGTTGCGTATACGCCGTGTGGCCAACGGATTGTTTCAACAGCTCGTAAAAAAATAAGCTCAATTTTTTTCGACTGTATTAACAATAAGCGAGGAATGAACCAAAAATACAAAGCATTTACAGTGTAAAGTTTTTTTTTTTAGTTTCCAATGAAAGTGTTTAATCAAAGCTTGCACCAAAAAAAAAAATTTTTAATGAATTACAAAAATATTGAAAGAAGACAAAGAAGAGTATCGGTATGAAGAAAATATGCCCAACTTAAAACATTATAAAACAGAAAATGTATATGTGCAGCTTATCAGTTACAGTGGTGATTCGTTTTGTTATACAGTAATTAATGTTGAAAAGTAAGCCAGAATGTTTTTTTTTTTGTTAAATAAAAACCTGTTTCAGATTTTGGTTCCACTGTGGCCAATCGAAAATAATACGATAAAAGCAATGTGCAGGCGGATCGAAATGTTCCCTTTGCTAACGAAACCTTTATTTTATTTCGAGCCGAAAATGAAACGAGTAGTAAGCCAATGAGTTTTTAGTCCGGTCAAAACGAATGGGGAATGTTTTAGGCTTAATTGGCAGTTGCAGTCCTTATGCAACAAAGGACTTGGCCACACGGATTAGTCGCTCACACATACATATGCATAAACATAAGCGAACAAGTTATAACTGTTGTAAACCATATTCACAGGCTGGGCATCGCAATGCTGGAAGAAGCACAATTCCGGTTCGATTTCAACGCCAGATGGAGAATTTAAGCGACCCTTCGGCATACTCTGCACATATCGCTGCTTTCTCTGGTTTCCGCCAATGTAAGTTATGCAATGCAACCACCCAATGCAACCACCAAACCACCCAATCAACCAACCACCCACTCAACAGCCACCCATTGCCATTGAAATAGTCAGTCAGGCAGTAGAGCAATTTGCAATTTATGCATGCCTCTGTTATTCCGTCGTGTGAATTGCATTTTAAAATAAACTTGTTTGGCTTTGGATCGCCGTTTGCCTTTGCCAAGTGGACTCGACTTGGAGCTTCGAGCTTGGTGCTTGGTGCTTGGAGCTTTGGGGCATCACTCACATCGCACTCACGTACTTGCGGCATTTGAATTGCATAACAATTAAAATGGCTGGCAGCATTGTTCCCGGACTCCTTTGGCTTTGGCTTTGGCTTCCTTTTGTCGCTTTTGCCATCGGAATAAATATTTCATCGGCGATTTCTTGCGTTCGCAGTTCGCAGTTCGCAGCTCGCATCACATCACATTGCATCAAACCATTTCACCCATTTGACCATTTCACCCATTTGACCATTTCACCCATTTGACCATTTCTCCATTTGACCATTTTGGCATCCAAAATGGCTCGTTTGCTGGCTCTCAGCTTTTCAGTTTTGGCCCTTCTTTTGTTTTTGCTTTTGTTTTTTAGCTACCCGTACTGCGAATTCATATTCGATCTGCGCTTATCGAGGCACTTCACATCCTTTCCGGACTGCTACGACATCCGGTGCAACGAGACCTTCTCCTTTTTCGGCAAGGAGCCCAACTTCAGCTGAACATTCACCTGAAATCGAGGGAAAAGCTTTTCCCCTTCACCTCCCCTGAACTCCAATGGTTTTTTTTTGAGTACTATCTGTGACTAAGAATTGTATGCTTCAATAAATATGGGTTACTGCACAAAACAATCCATTCGCTTGTCAATGTCGAATGTGTGAACATTAAGAGCACTCAACTTTTGGGGGCAGGAGGATCTTTGGGTTCCAGTCCGTTTTGAATAATTAACTGGTTTGCAGTTTAAGTTGGCCTGGCTTACGAATTGCAGGTTGAAATTGCAGCAAACGTTGATATAGTTATTGAGCATTTTGTTAAGCTTTATTGTAGGTATGCAAATGTGCTTAAGGGGCCAACGGGATTAGATAATTAACAGCTTAGTGAACAAGTTCTTGATAATACAAATAAAATCAGTTAATTGAAAACAATGCCAAATTAAAATTAAATTGAATTGCATCAATATTCAATATTGAATTTAGTTAGTTAGAAAAAACAATTTACTTCTGCAATAAGCTTGGTTAAAAATAACTTTCTAGTTTTAATACAAAGTAATGAAAGGCATCGACATTAAAAATGAACTCTGACCTACTTTATAATAAAACACACTATTCTTGAGATATTATCCATTCAGGTTGAAATGTTAGAATATTCTATTCCTTAAATATAGAAAAGAATATGTTTCAACAAATGGGTTGTGTATTTTTAACTGTTAACAATTAATTAAAGAGAGTAGTTGCAAAACAAGAACCCACAGGTAAAAATTAAATTTGTGTTGTTGTCCATGCCTTGAATTGTTTATAATTTATCAACCAATTAATTTGACTTGTTGTTTCTTATTGCAAACATTTCCCACCAGTTAAACAAGCCGCGCTCTGTATTTGAGCAACTTGGCCAAGTTATTTCGGCCTTCTACCCACATCGACTATGTAAATAGTGCCCTCCAGTGGCATGGAATCATTAGGGCTGATTGCTTTAGAATCTCACATCTCCTGGAGTTCATGATGAATGGTCCTTCCACTCGAAGTGGAAGTCCTCGAGATCCTGTAAGAGGTGTTCATGGCTCTCGTCGCCAAGCTGCAGGCAATTTCCTCCACTTTCCTTTTCGACTGGCTTTTAGTTTATTTCCGGTTTCGTAATAAGGGACAACAAACAAATAAACAAAGGGCATGGGACAGAGGCCCAGATACAGATACTGGTTACTGGATACTGGGATACTGAGCACGGAATACTGAATACTGAATACTGGATGCTGGATGCTGGATGCCGAATGCCGAATGCTGAACACTGGAGTCCTTCGCCCACACACAAGGTGCCTTCCCCTCATTCAATTCACAAATATTTGCATACAAATTAGCATTCTAATTGACTCGGGCCCAAAAATAAAGTAACCAACTTGCCCTTGGGGGGGGGGTGGGCGTGCTGTAGAAAGGGGCGTGGCTGAGGAGGGGGGATCGGAATCGGAGGCGGAGGCGGAGGCGGAACCAGCGATATCTGTTGTCCATTGTTCATTGTTTTGGCGGAAGGCTCAAGCCGTTCGCAGCTCTTTCATTCTCCACGCTTGCATAACTACCTTTACACTGTGCGAAATAAATTTATGATTAAATTGGAAAATTAGTTTAGTGTACTAATAAACTCATGGATTCATTCGTTTAATTGCAGCTTTAGTTAAAAATGTTTATCTAGGTTAAGAAAGCGTATCCTATTATGCAAATGCTTTAAATAATGGTTAATATAAAATATTTAACAGTTTTAATATATCCCTAAAAATATTTTAATATTTAAGTTGCTTGTATAATTTCTAATGTGTAATGTAATATTATTATTTATAAGGCAAAAAGGAAATGGGTATAGAGTTCCAAGCCAAAATGACGGTTTGGATAAATAAATTATTTAAATTGTATTAAAAATAAAACTACAATTTCGACCTAACAGCTCGTACAAATTTAAAAATTATTTCCATTAAATAAAGAATTAAAGATTTGATATTGCCTTGAAAATATAAAGTAAAACTTTTAATATGAATTGGATGCACAAAGCCTTATTCAAACAACGTGAACAAATAAAGCAGCTTGAAATAAAAAAAAAACTTAACTTACTTATATATAAAAAGGACTGGTATATAATTTTTGTAGTTGCTTTAAAATCAATGTTATTTGTTCTCAATATGAATAAAACTCTTTCTCAGTGTATCGTGGCTTCCCCATCCTAAAGCTTAGCCGCTCGAGTTAATTGTTTGCTTAGTGTCATAAAAATACAGTTTACGCCTTCCACAACAACACGTACAGACGAGCAGGTGACCTCCACGCCCCAAGGAGCCACCACTCCCCACTCCCCACTCCCCACTCCCCAAACCCCACTCCCCAAACTCCTCCTCCCAGGATGGTTCGAACTGGAAGGGATGGGATCTCGAGTTGGCCTAGCTGCGATGTGGCTTAGTGGAATTGGCCAAGCGGAATGGGAGTGGAGTGGGGAAAGGAAGGGGAGGAGGAGGAGGAGGAGAAGGGAAAGGAGGAGGAGGAGGAGGTGAAGCGAGTGGATAACAGCCACGTGCAAACAAAAGGTCGCAGCAGACAATGTTGTCGCTGGAAAACTTTTAACTTTTACAAACTTAATTGTTGCCTGCTCTAAATATATAACACAGCAGGATCCTCAAGCTTTAGTGGGTGGTGGGTGGTGCTGGGTGATAGGTGGGTGGGTGGGTGGTGATGGGAGGTTGTGGGAGATTGTGTGGGAAGGCACTTGCGGGATTTGCCTTTGTGTACTGGCGTTTCCTAATTTATGGCACTTTTCCTGCTTAAAGTCATATTTAATACTTTCACAATGAGGCCCTAATAAGAACATAACGGCAACTTTAACTTTTCCTAATGAAAATTAGAGTGAGAATTTTATTTTCATAAAGAAAATTAAAGTGGCAATTTTATTTTTTGAGCCCTGAAAAATTGTATTATCTTTAAATATGCTTTTGTTACTTGAGCTCGTAATATAATTTTGATTAACTAAGTTTACACTTTTAATTTTTTATGTAGTTCAAAAAAATATTTACAGATATTTTTGATTTATAATAAATAATAACAAGTTCAAAAAAAATAACAACTGGCTAGCTGGGTAATGATAATATTCTTGAAATTTTTCAAAATAATATTTTAGCAATAATAATATTGTATTGAAATTCGAATTGAAATAATAAATTGGGTAACCTCTTTCACTGCCTTATAGACTTCAAAATAAAATAGGTTAAGTCTTAACCTCTTTATGGATGGATGGATAGATTGATAAATATGTAAAGAGGTTGACAATAGCCTTAAGCTCCCTCCTCTTTAAATAAATAAAAAAAACATGAATAACTCAAATGTTTTTCTTTTTCAAGTCATTGTGTTGGCGGGTGAGCTTTGGATTTTATTAAAACAAATAGGATATAATAAATTGTCTCCCTGTTGGTTTTGGTTTTGCGAGAGGACGAGAACGCAACTCAATTTTCGCCATGCATGTTCACCGCTGCGTATACGCGATATTAAAAAACAAAACTTTGCTAACAAACGTGAAATAAGATTAATTCGCACAGAGAGACAGAGAGAAGTCCTAATAAATTAAATTAAAGCGTCGCCCTGGTGATTTCTGAATGGGCGGGCTCACCTGCGCATTTGAGCGCTGCGGCTAATTCTAGAACATTGCCGTACAACGCGGCGTATACGTGATGCGAGCCGCGATTTCCGCTAAAAGTTTAGGAAAGAAAAAGAACGAACGGCTGGGAAAACCCCTGGAAAAAAGCGTAAACTCGCATACGCCGGCGGGAATATTCAAAACTGTTGCAACTCCAACAAATAAATATTCAGAATGCAATTACGCATGGAATTTGCTAGCACTTAGCGTGTCGCTTTGCCCACTTGCTGTTTCCGTTTCCGTTTTCTGTCTCCTTTACTCCCGTGTGCCCCGTCCCTTTCACTCCACTGTGCTGCTAAAAACTTATTTAACTTTTTACGATGTCATTTGGGAAAGTTTGTAATCATTTTCGTTAGTGCATGCTTCAAAAATGGCAAAAGAAAAGAAGCCAAGAAATTATTTATACGATTTTGCAGACAGTTGAAAGTGTACGACCGAGTATAAATAAAGCGCTGCTCCTTGGCCCTTTCGATCCAACAGGAGAGTTTTAAGGAGCGAAAGCGATTTCCAGGGGGGAGGGGAAAAGTGAAAAGCAGGGGAAATGCCAGTTTTCCCAGTTTTCCCAGCGAGTCTCTCTCCAACTGCCAGTCGAAGTTTTCGAAAATGTTGTTTTCCACTTCTCCCGCGTTTACTCGCAATGTGTTTTCTTCTTCTATTTTTTTTCAGCTCTCCTTGCGGATCTGAGCCAAAGTTTTCGAGTATTAGTGCGTGCAGCGACTCAACTTTTACTTTCCGCCCAGCTGCAGCTTGTGGCTGCCCCTTCGCTGGGTTGCAGCTCTCCGTTCCCCTCTAAACACTCCCCATTCCCATTTCATCCACTCACCGGTTGGCAGCCGCAAGCCAACTGCTGAAAGCAGCTGCCGCCGTAAACTTTGGGCTAATCCGCAGCTTCCAGTCCCCAAAACCCAAAACCCAAGCCCAAACCCCCAGCTCCACTGATAATTTCCGGGTGGAATTGAGAGCACGTGTGCCACAGCCAAATCCAAATGCAAGGCGGCTGGGAAAGCAGGAGAGGGTTGAGTGCAACAGATGGTCCATTGACAGTCCAACGAAAATATCCCTGCCTTCTCATCCGGTCAACAGGTGAGAGGCTTCGGCTTCGCCAGGGGATCATTTAATTAGCTCACAGTTCGTCTGGCAAGCCACCAATAGTGAGTGGAAAGTTAGTTAGCAGAAAACTAGCTTTTATAACAAACAATGTGTTCTGTGGAAATGTTTTGAAGCCACGGTATCAAATAAAGCTATTTAAGTATGGTAGTTTCTTACTTTTGCGAAAGTACATGAAATAGTTTACAATTGTTCAGGCACATTGGGTGGGAATAACTCGCATCGAATGAAATTTGCAGAATTAAGGAATTTAAAAAATATGAAACCATTAATATGCTAAAACTTACTGCTAAAATTTTAAACAAATAAACTAACAAGTGGACTAAGTGCATGTGTGCACGCTCTACAATTGGAAGTTGTTTGTTTGATTATTGAGTTATTGAGTAGAAAAATCTGCTTAAGAGTAACCTACTTTAGTAATCAACTAAGGTTTCACTGGACAGATAAATGGTGTTTATAAATGTTGCAGAAATTCCGCGATAAGTACCTAGAGAAGCATCATAGAATTTATGTAAATTTGTGTGCGTCATTAGCACAAGTAACTACTCAATTACTTAACGGCAACATTCTGTACAAGCTGTTCCCAGTTTTTATGGTACTTTCCGTCATTTCACTCGACCAGTGACAAACTAGCGAAGAGGAAACTAAGACATTACTTTCTAATGCGTCGTGGAAGTCTTCGCTTTCGCTTGCAGAGTTTTGCTTGCATGGGACAGGTCGCAAAAAAAGCTTTTAAGCTACTTAAGGATGTTGGCAGGACACTCTTTTTTTTTTAGCGGGGAGCGGGAAGCGGAGGGAGGGAGGAGGGAGGATAAGGACGCAGCTAATGAGTTGACAGGACACGCCCCGCAACAGTGTCGCAAAAATGGGAAACAGGAAATAGGAAACGGGAAACGGAGAGGACAAAGGGCAAAGGGCAAAGGGCAAGAAGCAGATGGGTTGCAAGTACTCGCATTTTGTGGATGCAACGGGGAATTCACTCCCGGAAAATCACCCAATGAACTCTCTGTTCACACGGGTCAAAGGGCAGCCAACTCCGAAATAAATCAACAATGGACATCCTAATAAAGAATTCAACAAACGGCAATGCGAATTTACATTCACCGGGCAATTCGGGGTTAATTCACGAATCACATTTCACCGACTTTAACATTTTCATTTATTCGTTGTTTAAGATGCACAAATTATAAAAGAGAGGAACTTAACGTTGGTTCAATGTAATATTAAAATATCAACCCCGTTGTGAATGCGATTGTAGAACTTGTTCTTAGTACTTTCTTATAATTTAGAACTTTTTCTTAGTACTTTCTTATAATTTAAAACTTTTTCAGAATTGATAAATTTTTAAATTATCAGTATATCTGCTTACCCAGCATTTATTTTTAAAGTGTATAAGTTTTTTTATAGCGCTTGAAAATTTATCATTTAATTTAAGATATCTTTAAGAAAAGTTTTTTTTTTATTGAAACGAACTAAGCTCGGTTACTTATATGATATTCTTGTAAAAATGTAATTAGAGAAATTGAAAATATAATTTTATTGTTCTTTATTTTTGATGGAATTTCATCACTTGCGCTTTCGAAATTCTCCTGATTCATCGGCTCAATGTCTTCAAAGCATAAATAGATCGCAGTTTCCATGTGATGTTTGCCATTCCAGTGGCCCACAAAACTTGCACTTGACATTATTGCGACTGCTGGAAAAACAAACGATTATTATGACAAACTGTTTCGGTCCAATCAGGGTTCGTTTCGCCCCGCTTGGAAGCATTTCGCATTTGGACTTGATGGGATGGGAGTGGAGTGGACTGGATTTGGATTTGAATTTGGATTTGGGGGGCATTAATAAGGGGCGAGCTTGGGGCATGGACATCACATAAGCGTGGGTCCAAGTGAAACGCAAAATTTGCATTGCAATTTTATTCTTGATTTAATCAAGTGCCGTGGCACAAACGCCAATTTAACTACCCACACACACACACATATATACACACTTAGTCGCAGTTCAGCGAGAGTCCGTCGTCCGACGTTGCGTATACGTAATGCCATAGCCGTAATGCCGAACCAAGCGAATAACATGTGAACATCTGAACATCTGAACATCTGTGGTGTGGAATGGTGTGAGCTTAGCGCGTAGTTTGCACTTGCCAGCCGAGTAGCCGAGTCGCCAAATCACCGAATCGCCGAATCACCGAGATTGAGTCGCCAATTGAGATGTTTCAGCTGGAGAAGATCTGCATCCTGCTGTGCCTGACCCTCGTCGGCGTCCTTGGCTTCGGCCAGTTCCACATGAAGCACTACCAGCTGCAGCGCAACTACAACACGCAGGAGGACTCCTCAGAAAACGACAACAGTGTGCTAAGTGAGTATCCCTACCCCCTCTTCTTTTTTTTTTGTGTATTCTCCTTCGCCCACTGCGAGAAAAGAGGCTTTCTTAGGGGAAAGTAAGGGGTCAAGGGTTATGGGCTTATGGGCTTATAATTAATATTCAGCTGTGTGTACATTTTTCAGAAAGGCAGTTTTCTTGTTGTGAGACAATCTCAGTTATTAAATGTTTCTGTGGGAATTTGGATTTTTTCATCTTTTTGCTAAAATTACTCAAATTTTCAGATGTAAAGGGCCTTATATGTAAATTATAATATTTCATTTGCTTTAGTTTTATAACTGATGGTGGTGCTTCATATTAAATAATTTAAATAAAAAATCAATGTACTATACATTTATAATTAAACTTTTGTAAAATCAATAAGCAATTTATTTTACATTTTAAAACATCAAGTTAGTTTCAGGTCACTTTTTAAGTTCAAAAATAAATATTTTATTCAGTTTAGAAGGACAATGACGTAGCTCCTTTTAATTCTACAGAACAAACACTGCCAAATCCATTTATTTGATACACGATTTCAACTATTCAATAAGCCAATCTATGCCGTCCATTAATCAATGTATTTTTACTAGCTTTGTGTATAAATCAGAGAATTATTTATGATATATATTGTTTATTTTAATTTACATTTTATACTTTTTATGTTACTTTAATAAGCATTAAAATTTATTGTATATTAACTTGTATTTTGTCCGGTTTGTCATTAAAAAGAAAAACAAGCAGAAACGTTAATGTGTACAATGCTAACAATTAAACTTGCTATTAGTACAGCTTATACATTTTTTAATACATACCCTCCCCTTTTTCTCTCCGTGCAGGATCCTTCCGCCGGTGCATGTGGGAGCAGTCGAAGTTCCTGCCGCGCCGCCTCGTCCTTTTGAGCTTGTGCTCGAACCTCTTCTGCGAGAACAACCACATAATGCCTCGCTCCAGGTCTATTTTCGTAGTGGAAAAAATGTCTAGGCCGAATGAGTAGTTGACCAATGCAATTCAATATTAGCTAAGCACGTGCATGCCCTTTTCCATCCGAATCCTCCGTCCCAATCCATGCATCCCATGCATGCATCCTGCGTAGAGCATCCACCCTTCCTCCCCCTAAAACTCAAACCCATTCTGTGGTGGAACCTGAACTAATGCCGCTTCTTCCGCTCCCGCCCCTTCTCCTCCAGCTGCCTGGACATCCTGCCGGAGCAGTGCGAGCAGGGCGACGAGGAGGAGCTGATGTACAAGCCCTTCCCCGACTGCTGTCCCGTCTACTGCAACTTGAAGCGGCGCATGCAGCGCCTGCGCACCATGCACTTCCGCCACCGCCTGTTGCGCAACAAGCAGGACGGCTCCTCGGGATCCAGTGGCTCCGGATCCACTGGTGGCGACGGCCCCAACAACTCGCTCCTCAGCGAGTTCGTCTACAACAACTACTAGGCGATGGAAGAGTGAATTCGAAGCAGAACATCGCTCCAAATCGAATTAATCTGCGATTTGAAAGCGAGTACCTCTGCTACAGAGACACACTGGGAGAAAAGTGCACCCAAAAGCTTTCCCTTCGGAGTTTATTAATCTCAAAATATAGGCTTACAAGTAGGATTACATATGTGTAACCTGGGCGGTGGAATGATTATGTTGTACTCCTTAAATATATAAGAACGAACATGTTAACTTTTCTCGTTTTTGCTGGCTTGAGATTGCATTAATCTGGAAATATAGATCTTTATAATCGGAAATTAGTTTCTCTGATTTAGTTTGGATTGGGTTGGTAAAACCCACAAAAACATATTAGGCATTGCATTATAAATGTATCCGTAATGGATTTTGTTAATTAGACAACATACATTTCTATGAGTTTTATGATTAATAAAATAAACTTACTCTTTAAGTATTATTTACCGGTAAAAACAATAATAAAAAAATATATATAAAGATATATATATAAATATATACTTATACAAATTAGAAATACACCTTTATCCATTTTGTAATAATTTATAAAAAAATAAATTACATATAGATATTAAACTTGATTACATTTCCCTTGCTGTTTCGAGCGTGGTTAGTATAAACTATTGTAAACTAGACTCTTAAATAGCATTGTTCTTTACAAAGTATATCTGCAACCATAGATATGTTACTTCAATCGCTTTAAGAACCAAATGTCAGCTCATTCTTAAAAAAATAGTGAAATAAGTAATAGAGTTAAGTGCTTGGGAAATGACATAAGTAGAATCTTGAATTTGGGGTTACATTATTTTTTGATCTTAGTTCCTCAAGAGGCACTTGGCTTTTTAGTTGGAGGGAAACCCCTTCGTCCTTCAAGATTCGACTTTTTCACATTGGAATTTGTGCAATCGAAGCTGTCACCCTTTTTTGGTCTCTCCGTCTAGACAGCCTCTCGAAAAGAGGTCTGTCCAAGTTGATGGACTTTCATGGGTTTCCCAACCGCTGTTCGAAGGCCGTGACCAAGTAGCTGCAGACTTTTCCCTCCCCTTACCCTTTTCCCCTCCCCTTTCCGCCCTTTTCCCCTCCATTTTCCCCCCTCCACTCATTAGTGCTTTTGGGAATCTGAAGAGCTGTCCTGCGATTTCGTGGGAAGTGGAAAGTGGGCAATGTGCGATGGGTTATACGTATATATATATATAGCGATATATCCTGCAGAAAACTGCTTCCTGTTTCCGCTTATCGTTTTAACACTTTTGCGGCGAGATGCAGCTGCAACAGCGAAGCTTGTGCTTCTGTCTTCATTTTTATCTGCAAACAAGCAATAAATTTTATTTTAATAAGCAACACTTTTGATAGCCGTGTCGAGCTGAGCACTCCTTCTCCCCCTCCCAAACTTTCTCCCCTCTCCCTTCCCCGCCTTTCCATTCCGTGTTCCTTGTTCCTTGTTGTGGCGATGGCTTGTCCTTGTCCTGCCGTGCAGTATCCTTGCAGCAGCATCCATGCAGCAGCTTCCTTGCTGCGGCGCTGCAGTAAATACAAAAGATACTCGGCATCATCGGCTCACCGTTAGCTGCCATAATGTTTGTGGTCCGAATCAGAGGCGCCGAGTAAAAGGGGTCGAAAAATACTCACTTTGAACTCGCGTTGTACTCACTTTGTACTCAGCCACTTTCGGCGAAGAAATTGATTTCCTGCACAAAGGATTCGGTCAACACTTTTGTGCGAAATCCTTCTGTATTTGTATTCAATTCGAAAGCCACTTTGCTCTTTTCGTGTTTGCAAAGAAATCCGTTGAAGTTTAAAATTTCATTTAATTCGCTGCGTTTGTAAAACCTTTTATCACAGCTGTACTTAATGTAAGCCTCTTAAAGAGTATTTCATGGGGTTTTAAATAATCATTTAATGCCATATTCTAATGGATATTGTCATCAATAATAAATACTTTCAGCAACTATGGAAAATGGAGTCACGCAGGAGAGTTACTTTAAATGCGACATTAAAGTGCGGAAGTGAATGGTTTTGGTCACTTTTTTATTGTCCACTTACCGATGGCCAGCACGACTGTACCTGGTGGGCCTTTTGTTTACCCGGAAAAACTGGAGAACCGACAATGGGAATCCAAGAAAAATGGCAAACAATGCGAGTCATTTGAGCGGTGCTTTTTGCTTGAGACTTACGACCCCCGCTCCTTTTTTTTTGCTGCTACGTCAGTGTCCTTGGCTTTGTGGCGAAACATTAGCCCAGATCCAGACCCAGATCCGGATCCAGATAGTCCCCCTGGACCACCGCCGCCTCGTTTTTACTTTGTGTGGCCATATCCTTCCACCTTCTTGCCCCAACATCGTCTTATTTTTTATGTGGCCTTATGCGGCAACATCTCATTGTGCCCCTCATACTCGTACATGTGGGTGTATATGTATATATATATATGTATATATATCTGTGTGTGTGTTTAAGGTAGTGTGTGTGTGCGTGGCGCCCTGTCGTCCGTTCTTGCCGCCATTGTTGCTGCAACTGCTGATGTTGTTGTTTTTTACTTTGTTGCACTTTGAAGATTATTGCACAATGCAATTTATATTTATCGTACGCTTTTAGTTCTAGCCGCTTTTTCCCAGATCCTTTCGCTGCCAAGGAGCCTTTGCACTGGAGCACTGCGTTGGAGTCCTGCCTCCGAGTCCCCCGGGATTGGAGAGCAAAACAAAAGTTTTTGCCAACCACATCGAACACCCTGATTGCAAACCTAAGAAGCTGAATAATTAAGCGGTTATTGACTCAGTCGTTGGGCATTTATTCAAAGTGCTTGGAAAAACAGCAACAATGATACGGAAAATCACTTAGTGATTGTAAGTTAGCCTTTTAAATATTATTTAGCATTGCATAACACTTGTTAAACTTAAGGCTTATACAAAATAATAACTTAAAGAAATACTTTTTCAATAAAAGACTTTAGGTTCTTGGGCATAACAGAATTGATCATCATATACAAGGCATCTATATTATTTCACTGCATACTTTTAGTGAAAAGCAATTCCGATGGAAATGCATCTGACTATTATAATTTGCAATAATGTTCACCTAATTAGAATTATTATACATATTTATTTAATAACATTGCAGTGCAATACGCAATAACAATCCGCAAGTGAAATACTGCTGCCCAGAACAACTTGAAATCGAAAACAATTTAGGCCTTTGCCAAATTATGATAGGTGCAAATATAGCAATTAAATCATGAATCAATCACGCTTTTAAATATGACAACATAACAAGGATAATGTATTGCTTCAAATTGCACAACATGGCAGTGAACTACAACAAAAATACGAAATCCCATATTGCCAAACCACAAAAAGTGCTCTCCCAATATTGACTTTAAATTATGTTCATCCCACGATGAAGTTGATTAGCGCCTGAAGGGCATCTACACTTCGGGTTTAAAGGGACATCTCCGGTGTTTTTGTTTCATTTATGTCCTTGGTGATGCCATACACATGGCTGTGGGCTCCCATCTGGGTTTATATGTACATGCGACCGGTGATTTGTGGGCCGTGTCGTCATACCTGCAGTCGGCAGCGAAAAGTGCAGATGAAGATGGGGGAAAGGTGGGGAAAATGGGCAGAGGGGAAAATGGGCGGAGGGGAACGCCTACTTTATCTGCATGTGGCCACATTGTGGATGATTATAAAAATCCAATGCATTCATAATAGTGTTTTGCTTTGGCAGAGGCGTCTTAGGGCAGCCTTTGTCTCCAAGACAAAGGATTCGTCGCCCCGTTGCCGGATATATATAAAGATATATAAAGTATATACTATATAAGAGTATAGTGGCATCTTAAAGTCACTTCTTTGACTTGCGAAAACGGCGACAATTTAAATTGCTGATTTTGCTGTCATGGCGACCTTTTGGTGAATCGAGTGAAATGCCATGCCAAAATGTCCATTAATTAACATCGGGATAAGAACTTCTGGTTCGGCTTCAGATCCAGTCAATTGCTACTCATCCCATTGCCGGATTTCAGTTCTCTTTGTTTCGCTGCTGACTTTTCCCTGTTTTTCCTCCGCTTTTCCCGCCCTTTCCCACACTTTTCCGAGGCAAACAATTAGGCGGCTGGGCTCAACTCAAAACTGTCGAGTTGTCGGAGCACTTTGGGTCCCAGCTTATTGACATTCTTCAACAAAAAACTGCCAGGCGGAAGAAAAGACGGGGAAAAGTGAGAGAGCACTAAATAACTTTCGAATGAAGTTGAAGTCTGGAATCAATAATGACGAGACGGATTGGCTGCAACTCGAATAACTACTTCACAACAGCTAAGATTGCGTCAAGATTACGTTATTCGCGAAAGTTTTTAAATTTATGCAATCGTAAACAAAAATTATTAACTAGTTGAATAAAGCGAATCCATCGTTTTATCAACCGATAGATTTTGTTATAAAATGAACTCATCGCAATTACACCTACAGCGAAGTTATACAGTTTTTTTGACAGTCACTTTTATTTAATTTAAGCTTTAATTGATTTTATAAAGTGTATTGATTTAGAGCCAGCAGAAAAAATCCTTTTAATATTCTTTTTTTCTGCTTACACTTAAATTGAAGCCAATGCCATTGCCTGTTACATAAAAATCAAAATTAATAAAGACTGTTTGCCTTATTTAAGTAACATTTAACTCTGGGATATTTTACGGGACTACTTTTTGCTAATAGAACAAAAAATTGCAATATGCTTTTCACTCAATATTTTTTTATTATATGGTACCTGTTACTCGTAAAGTAAAATGGTACACAGTAGCTGATGAAAAGTAAGTCACAGGTCGAAGGAAGCATTCAGTATATATATTCTTGATAAGGATTATCAGACAAACATCGAGAACAATGGGATCTCGGATATATTGGGATTATAAATCGCTGAGAAAGCTTGTTACATTTTTGTGCCACGCCCACTATTACGCTCACAAACCACGCTGTCATTGTTTATCTGAGTAACGGGTAGCTGATAGTCGCGTCACTCAAGAATCTGTCTTGTTTTATTTACCAACATACGTAACACGTACGCACATTTACCAATCTTTCGAATAAAACACAAGATGAACAATGAAAATACATAGACTATCTGCTATTTTTACTTTGAGATACATTTTACTGTGGGGTGGGGGAAACGCAGTTCATTTACAATAGTTTAATGGCTAGCAGCCCATTTTGCTGAGGGCATCGGCTGCCGCGAGTCCCATTTCGTGCTCCGTGGATCCTTGGGGCTCCAGGCAGAGGATGTCCCGGCTGACCTGGAGCAGCTTGACCACCTCCTTGAGCCTCCGCTGGAACTCCTGCCGTGAGATCTGTCCACTCTGGATGGCCGACTGCGCCAAAACCATCACAGGGGCATGCAGTTCGTACATGATGAGTCCTGTGGCGGAATATTAGTTTGTTAGTTATGAAAATACATAAAGAAAATAAGGAGGAATGTACCTCTTAAGCGCGTGAGTCCCGGATCGAGGACATCGACGATCTCCAGGAACTCCCGGCAGTAGCTCTCCTTGCGGGCAATATCCTCTGGCGACATTTGGGGCAGGAGATATCCCTCGATCCGTCCGTAAATCTGGCATAACGAATATTTGGCAGAGAGCAGGAGATAGTGGTTCGGTCGCAGGACATCCCGATATCTGCAGGAGGACGATGAATTGGTAATCAGGAAGCAAAAGAGAAGAACTATTAGCTTTAGGTTCATATTTTGTCCATATCCGAAACGATATGAAGAGCGAGAGAGCATTAAAATGGAAGAATATTAAAGAATATTAAGAAAGTCAGCGTTTGTTTTCAAGAATTTCTTCTTTTTTTCGAAATGGCTTAGCTGTCGCACTCGAATTAAGTGGCACCTTTTCCCATTTAGGAACTGATCGGCCGAATGGGGCTAAAATGATTCTTGAAATTAGTCAAAGCATGTAGATATGTAAGTGCACTTTCAGAGATTTTCATTGCTTTTCCACAATCGATTGTAGGTCTACGCACCGTAGGAGAAAGTTCTCCAGTCCGGGAATGTCGTGCACGTCGATGGCTTCCAGGTCGTCGTTTATTCGATCCAGTTGGCGCTCCAAGTCCTTGGCTCCGATTCGGTGCGAGCAGCGATCACAGCTAATTAAAGAGAGAGTGGGGGAGAGGTCACCATTTGGCAGATTGTTGTAGGGAATAGGCCCATGGAACCAGTGATGGGAGGTAATTAAATGAGATCCATTTAATATGTATTATTATTTGGTATTTAAGGGATAACTCCTGAGGATCCAATTGATTACTATCTGGGGTAGTTCTCTTCGCTTCAAGTTACGCATCAAGTTAAGTGGATAATTGTAAGTGTGTGATGATTCCCTCTGTTAGATGCGATACTCACGCCCAGTCGCCAGTTTGCTCCAGCGGGTCCTTCGCCCGCACCGATCCCGTCCTGCATTTCGCACACACGAAGGCACTGCAATCGGTGCCCAGTTCGAATGGATCGGAGCAGCGGTGGCAGCGGCACCAGAAGAGCTTGCCCTCGTGCATGAAGGCGCGCCGCTTGAGCGTGCCCTGCAGCGTGTACGCATAGCTGAGCGTCAGCGCTTCCCGCTCGCGCACGCGCCGCGAGGTGCGCAGCAGGATCTCAAAGGTCACGGGGTCATCGGTGTGCGCCGTGTTCGGTGTGCAGTCGTGCGCGAGCAGGAAGGCGCTCGGATATAGCGTCCGCGCCTTGGCCCCGTTCTGTCCGATCTCAAAACAGTTAACGTCCAATATTCCGCACACTTCGTGCACCTGCTCCTCCGCCAAATCCTCCAGCTGCCACGTGACGCGCAGCCTTTGCACCACCTTCTTTTCGTAGTGTTGCCAGAGTGCCTCGTTTTGGCGCCGCTCCTCCGTGTGCGATTCCATGCGGGCGATCAGAGCGAACTGCTCCGGATCGTGCTGGCGCAGCAGCAGGATGCGCACGATCATCACCAGTTCGTACAAGTCGCGCACTTCCGCCGGACCGGCGCGCTCCGTCAGCAGTTCGCCGGCGACCGCCCGTCGATCCGCGTACAGTTGACACTCGGCTTCGGTGTGACCGTGTCTGTGTTTGATGCCCGCGCAGCTGGCGTCGCAGAGTGGCCAGGCACATCGCGGACAGCGGTACTGTACTTTGTCCAGGCTCACCGGGCGATAGCAGCCCAAGCAGACCGGATCCCCGCTCACACAGGGTCCAATGGCCAGCGGTTCCTCGCGGATGAGCATCTCACCAGCTTCCAACGGGCGACTGGCCTCCAAATAGCGACCAAATACCTCCGAGTGGGCGATGCGAAAGGGTGCATTCTGTTCCTCCGGCGGAGTATCCTTCTCCAGCTCCTGTTCTTTTTCCTGCTTGTCCTGCTTATCCTTAGTCTGCTGACCTCCCTTCGGATGCCTCGTCCGGTTGCTGTTCTTGTGGTGGTTCTGCGGGAAGGGAAAAGGGGGAAAAGAGGAGAGAGAGGAGAGGAGAGCACTCATTAGTGACGGCGTCCGCTGCTAATTGTATTCTAATTGCTGTCCCCTGCTCTCGCTCGTTAATCACTGGTTCGGCCCACTGTCGTTCCACAATGTCCTCCCATCACTAGCCTAACCATCCCCCCCATAACCCCCCTTACGCCCCTTACCCCCAGTGCCACGCCCTCTTTGAACGCTGTCAACAGCTGGCAATTAAATGCCACTCAACCGCAACAGGTGCTCGTTTGTCCGCCGCCCACACATCGAGGTGTCCCCATCGATCTGGCCCAAATGGACATGCATCGCACCAATGGAACAACAACGGACCAGTGGGCCAACATACTTAGCATGATTCGCCGGTTCCCTTCGGCCTGTCAACTGGGAATTTAATGTTCGCTATCTTAATACTCCCCAATGGAAAACAATTATTGGAAAACAACTTTGGATACTCTGATTTTCTCAAAACTTTTTTGATTTTCGTGAAACTTGTACTTTTTTCTGGAGTTGAGTTGTTATTAATATTTCTTTAATATTTAACATTCAAGTCACTGACTATAAGTTAAATCTCCTTTTAATCAATGAATGATTTTAAATATCTTTTCTTAAGTTTTCGCAAAAATATACAGTTTACTTATTTATATGAAAGAACAAACAATGGTGCCAAAGAATTCTGTTGGGATTTGCGATTTGTTTCGAACTCAAAAATCAGCTCAAAAATTAAATCATATTGCTAGACACCTGTTCAAGTGGCCTCAACGTTTCCGTGGCATCCACAATTGTACGTATTTCATTGTGTTTTTAAACAGTTTTTAAAGGATGCCTCGGATTTTGTATACAATGGACTTACTCAAAACATTCTTTTGTGCCAAAAAAATGCATCAAGACCAAACGAATTCTTGCTCTCTTTAAAAATCCTTCACAATAAGCTTTGACATATTCATTGATTTTTATTTATTATACATTTCAGTTTATTATTTTCGTGTACTTTGTATTCAATGTTGTATACTATGTCAAATAAATAAAGACATTGTACCGAAATACTTGCAAATTGTTTATCAATTAATAAAGCTTTGTCTATTTGAATTATAAGCAATTAAACTGATAATCCTTCAGTCGCGTTGTTAATAAAGCCAATACTTGCACAAATAAATGTGCATATTTATTGAAAAACGAAAAGAATTTATTAATCTACTTTTAATTGAGAAAGTTCTTTTCATACCCTCGAATTAAATTTAATAAATTCGATCTGAATTTAACGAGTTTATTCTGCAAGTCAAAACATATTTGAATGAGGCGACTGTTAAACAGTTTAAATAATTTGGGAAAGTTTTGCTGATTGTCAGAAGAAGTAGATTCACCTATAGATTTATAATTTGTTGTTGTAACTGCAGAATATAAACTTTATCTTTATTAGGTCTTCCTCTCCTACTTGGTAATCACTTAAAAGGCGATTTTCAACCTGCGATGTTGACAATGTTTCCGTGTGGAACAGTATCTGATTACTCGAAAACAGTATTTGATTTAGTGCCATTTCAGCGGGAATTTGTGGAGTATTTCCTTGGCCAAAAAGGCGGCGGATGCAAAGTGGCCAAGTGGGCAACCGGCAAGCCGGCGATATATCACCGGCCATTGTCTGTGTTCCTAACCGATCGGGGATAATGATTCATGGGCGGCTCGTGTGCGGGGTAAAATCAATTTCCATACTTCTGGCTTCTCTCATCGAATGCATATCGGATTCATTCATATCCGACTTATTTATAGGCGGCGACTCTTTTGAATATCGCCGCGCACACACTGCGTTCTGTTATAAATAAAACAAAACACAACAATGTGGCATCGCACCACCTCCCACCACCCACCACCTCCCCCGGAAAACCACCGAACCACCCGGCACAGTGGTTCCCTCTCCGATTTCCTTTTCATCGCCACAGAAAAAAAAAGAAAATAGAGGAATGGGAAAAGCGGCGGGAAATAGCGAATAACGAATACCGAACACATAATATCCAAAATAGATTTGTGTTGTTTTCTCGGGTGGTTGCGGCCTTTCAGGAATTTTTATACGTCTCCGATTATAGTGCACCGACCGATTTGCATATATACATATATAGTGGGTCTATAGAAAGCAGTCATTGTTTTAGACTCGATACAATTATAGCTCACAAATAATTAATCGAAAATAATCATATTCTTTTTTTTTCTTGTGAATTGAATTCACATTTGCAGTCAAAACAAAAACATTCAATTAAATTTTCTTCGCGTGCATGTAAATGTGCTTTTTATTTTTATTTTACTTTTACTGTTTGCTCTTGTCTGTGAGGTAAATTAATTTTTAATTATGCATCTGCCACGCCTCCCCCCTCCCACTTTCCAATGCCCCAATGCCACGCCCCCCCCTTTTGCGCGCTACCTGCGGTGTTTACTTTTTTCTTGCCGGCATCGCTTTTATTTGTATTTAAATTTGATTTTATTTTATTTCCCCTGGGGGCCGCTTGTTAATTGATTTTAATTGATAATTTTTACGCGTTGCACACGAGTTATTTAAAGGCCGCGCTCGCGTTTTAATAGATGTGTTTAACAGGCCGTCAATTAATTGTGCCTGTAAATCGCGTCGGATAAAAAGGTGTCAGCAGATTGCAGAGTAGGTTCTGAAAACAGAACGAAACAACAACTGAAAATTGAAAATCGAAAAACCGAAAAAAAAATCAAATGAGGCACGAGGCAAGAGGCAACTTCTGGGCACGCGTTGTTCGAACCGCGACGCACAAATTGCAACTGTCGAGTTGTCGTCGAATGTCGGATGTCGAAAATCGGGAGACGGCGCTACGCCCAAGTTGTTGGCACACATTCAAATTCAACAGACCCATCCAAGCACACACACACACAACACTGTTCTGACGGACACACACACACACACTCTCGGATGGTTGATATATTTTTAAAAATTTATGATATTGAAAACATTTTGGCCACAAGTCCACAGAGTCCGCGCATCCGATTAAAAGTTCGCCGCGACTCAATGCCACTGTCAAGATGATTTTGATGGCTCACGCCATCGCGATCGAGATTCTCGCCCCTTTTTTTCGAATATCTTGAAGATCCTCAGTCTTCTGGTGGGCCAGAAATAAATCAATTTTATTCCGACTGGCGGCCCGCAATTAGGCAGCTCTATAAAATCGGTGGAATGATGCAATTTGCAGTGGCGGAGAAACAAACACATTTTCCATCCACACGCATCTCTTGGCAGACTCTGATTTCTGAATTTTGACATACACGAACGTGTATATTTGATCGTAGGCAATTTTCATACAAATCTCGCAATATTTTAGTCAGTATACCCATTAAATGAATTCGTTTCATTCGAGGTTTCACTAAACGAAAGCGTAGCTGCATTTTGTTCATATCACTAAATTATAGTTTTATATATTTCAGTTATCGACACAAAATATTCTTTTTTATTTAAATCCATCTATAAGTTGTCACAAACAATATATGCATTAAAACGCATCAAATTGTAAATTCAAACAAACCTTATGACTGCTTGATTAATTTAATTTTAATTTTAATTGCAATCATGTATGCAACTTTGTATGTAATTTACTTTCTATAATATTTTATTGTTAGGATTTACTTATATTATGCATACGCATCTTCACTTCTGGGATATTCTTGTATATCTGGTCGTCAAATACGATCTCTCGCAATATTCTAAACGGCTAGTTTCTTTAGTATAGACATTGAATGCAGTTGTTTCATTCGAGGTTTTGCTAAATCAAAAGACAGCTGCATTTTGTTCAAATATATAAATTATAGTTTTATATATTTCAGTGATAGACAGAAAACATTATAATAAAATAAAGGCCATCCATATAATATAAGAATACATCATTTTTAGAGCTTACAATATGTGTAACTATGTATTTAATCAATTTAATTTTAGTTTGTGTGTGTTAATATCTTTCTAAATAATTTAGATTTACTTGGGTGTCTTTATTGTTTTGTCTTTTATTTACAATGAAATCGTACAGATATATACGGGAAACTGCAGAATACCCTGAATGAATCGAAAATGTATACATATATATAGCATACATAATACCATATATGCGATTTTACATATATTCTCCTAGATAATAATACCCGTAAAACGTAAGTCCCTTGAATTTAAATGAAATGGTTTAAACATATTGAAAGGCAGCTTGTATTCAGTTTCAGGTGTTATGGTATAAAATCTGGAAAATTAATTTGCTCTAATTCAACGTATGTAGCTACATGCTTTTGATACACAAGATTGAAACTGGCAGCCTTGGCCGAAATAAATCAAAGATTTCTCGTGCAATCAATAAATGCACAGGTTTCAGCAACAATCCCCAGAGTGTTTGTCCACTCAACTCAGAAATAATTAGCAACCGAAGTCCACTGTAAATGCAAGTAACAGTTTTGGGTCTTAAGGTCATCAAAGTCTGTCCCCGAAAATTGCCCTCACATGCTGCTTTAAGTGTCAACCTGGGCAGATAATTGTTGCAACAGAAAACCCTTGGCTAAGACATCCAAACAAGGCTTAAATCTGCAGCAGTTCAAAAGAGCGCACATGTCTTGCCGTTTAATAATTTATTTTAACCTGAAAGCTGTCAGATGCGGGCAAAAACATATTTGCAGTGTGGATTTTGGGCTCCATCACCTGACCCTATTGAAGGTCTCCCCATCTTCTAATCTGAACCACCCACTAACCACCATTCACCACTACACTTCCCCCGAAAACCCAACAATCTGTCGTATCTGCGGGGCCAAGTTTCGATGGTCTTTTGGCCAAAAGAGTGTGCGGAGCGGAGTCCGGCGATAAATAGAATTGCTTTTCAACCAGCTCGCCACTAGTTGGCCGAAAATTCTGGCTGTCAGTGGCAACTTAAGCCGACTTAACAAAGTCCCCGGCCTGGTTCCTGGTGATATTTCCAAATTTATATATATATATATATGCTATATATATACGTACTGTATGCCATCCAAATGCGGGCGATTTATGCAATTTTGTTTTTATTGTGTGTCAAAAGTGTTCATAGAGTCGTCATCGCTCCCCATCCCCTTTCCCCACCCCTTTCCCCTCCCCTTTCCCCTCTCCCTCTTCACGTTTCTTACCAATTTCGATGTGCGAGGGCATTTCAATTAGTTTTGAAACGTTGCCGCCGGGCGGCTTTGTAGTTGCAGTTGATGTTGCCTCTTTTAGCTGCTGCAGATTTTAATTGTTTTTATTGCATTCGCCTGCGGGCAGTGGGGAAAACAACGAGACCAGCATCGGAAATGATCTAGATTCGATTTGACTTTGGAGTTCGAATTGAGTTTACCCCTTTGAAAAATTTAAGAAAATTCTATGCAATGACTTTATTTTGACAAGCGAAAAAGTCACAACAAAAACAACAGAGTTCTAGATTCTTATGGCTTAAATGTGTGTGGCAAAGAATTATAATAAACCAAATCAATTTTACCCAATAATTTTATGAATTTTATTTTCCGTGAAAATATATGTATGCTTTTGCATTTAAAAGAAACATTTTAAACTGAACGAAAGTTTGAACATTCTTCGAACAGAAACCAGATTTTGTTTAGATAATTTCGCAAATATTTACTGATTTAAATTAATGTTTTTTTTATTAAGTGTTACTCCGTGTAATTAAAAAACTATTTACGTCAAACAAACTTGATAGAAAAATTGAAAAGTCAACGGTGATAATTACTGCATTTATTTTCCGATATTAGTTTGCACAAGCTGCCCAGAAGCCAAATTATGTAAATAAATAATGTCAATTATTTTCCGTTTGTATACCGAACTTGTTTCCCCGTAAAAAACGTATTTGCATAAATTAACGATGTTTGTCATGGCTAACTATTAGTTTTTAATCAGGTGAAGTTAACCAACCAGCAGTTAAGCATTTTGTAAAGGATAACGCTTACTTTTCAGGACTTCTTGAATGGAAAACTTATCCTTCCGAAGAATACCCTTCGATGTTTTTCAGGTGGAAAAGGCAGCCGAAAAGTATGCAATGCTAAATGGCCGCAGGTCCTTGTGGAGGCGTCGAATTTGCAATGGTGTATGTTCATGTGTGTGTGTGTGTAGGTGAATTCCCTACTAGTGTGTGTAGTGTGTGTGAGGTTCCACTGCACGGAATGACATCAAATTTACATGTATTTATGTACATAACCTCGCACGCGTCCGCTTTGTTTATGATCTGGAGCGGAAGCGAGACGCATGCAACATCCACGCGAGGACTAGCATCGACATCCTCCCACTGCCACGCCCCATTCCCCCTCCCCTCCCCCTTCTCCATGATCCCCAGGACACACTTGCCATCGCCCGGGGGCGCGCCAAATGCGCGACACCCAAACAAAGCGGAACCTTCGCCGAAATCGCCCGATTCGGAGGCCCAGGACGAACTGGATGCCATGTCCTGGGGCAGTGGCACAAGTTTGCCTATGCGGCAAATATTTGCCAGTCAGCTGGGCAAGGGGATTCAAGCCACTGTTACACTCAGAGAAAGCGGGGGGAACTTATCAAAAGAAAATAATTTTAGCCTCTACGCAATATATCCGCAAAAACCTTAAAATGTCTTGAACATTTCTGTATAAAAATGTTCTCCAAATAATTTTATCATAAAAAACACTGACAGAGATGTATATTAAATATATACAAAAAGAAATTCAAATAAGTCATATAAAATTTTATGGAGAATTTATCTTTTGTTTAATTGGTTATGTCGATTAATTTTAAATTTCTTTTTGCCAAACTGTCACTGTGAAATTGAATTAAATCAAATAGAAAACATAATTTAAACTAGTACAATATTTCTTATGAAATATTCCTTAACTTCTTACTTTGATTTTTTCCTGTGTACTGCGACTTAAACAGTATATTGTTGTTGATGACTTCCAGTGTCAGCATAAACGTCACTCCGCCGGAGCCATTTCCCCCATATTCCTCTTGCCAATCTCCACTTCCCGAGTCAGTCCTTCAATCCCGAGCAAGTATGTCAACCTGAACCCATTGTCTGGTCGGAACCAGTTAACTGCATTTCCCCACATCGCACACATTTGGCCAAAAGGACTCTCGTCCTGCCAAGTCCTGACTAAGTTGGCTGTAATTGACGCAGGTAAATGAGTTCGGTTCAGTCCCGAGTTTCTGTTGGCTTCTCTCGGTCTTTATTTGGACTTCTTTGGCACATTATGGAGAGAAATGGCTTTCAGGCAGGCAATCGGATGATTTCAAGCTCGGAAACTCCAATAATTTCGTATAATGATGAAGCCTAGAAAATTTGTAGTCCATGGATAATTGGAAATTGCTAACATAAATAAAACTGATCAGGTTAAAAAGGCGGTGCAATGTTTCTAAAATGTTTGAGCCAATAATAAAAAAAATAAAATTCAACAATTTTACTAAAATTGGCTTTGCGTTTTAAACAAACCAGAAAGCATAAAAACTTGCAGTTAAATCTTGAATCTCCACAACGACATATTGATTATTTACAGTTTATAAAAAGAAGGATAATACGGAAGTCGAGTGGCTCGACTATCAAATACCCATTACTCGTAAATAGTTTGTAACTACTATTTAAAACATTCGTAATTATTATCTTAGCTCTTTTCGATATTTAAAATTTAAATCGTAGTCACCCGGAACATTGAAATTATGCAAAATCTTTTGAAAAGTAGGCGTAGGAATCTTATTTCACAGCCAGTTCACCAGGTCACCAGCACCACACAGCTCTAGAGTCAGTACAAAATCAGTATTTCTACAGTTAACATCAAATTTTATTTATATCGAGACGCGTAGATTTTGTAAATTTTCCAAAATATTTAGTAATTTTTTTTTAAGATGTGGTCGTGTCGTATTGTGAACAAGCCCTTCAGCGAGGCCTATCCTCTTACTAATTCCGAAAGGCGGACTGCTAAAAAGATCCTAAAATGGGTGAACGAGTTGCTCGGGGAGAACCTCAAGTTCATTATTCAGCTCTCCTTGGGAGATTTCTACTGCAGGCTCGTGGAATTGTTTTACGATGGGGTCGTGCCACTCGAAGCATTCAAGCCTCACCTCGATTTCCGAGAACACTTTTACCATTTGCAGGCCGTTTTAGGAGTACTGCAGATCCCTCTCAATGTTCCAGTAAAAGATATTTGTAGCCTAAACTTTCGGGCCGGCTTCGACTTCGCCTGCGAGTTCTACAAAACCTTCGAGGACATCAGCGACAATTGGAGAAGGCGGCAGGCTAACACCAATCATTCCGTCGAACCATTCGCATCCGAACTTGGCTATGAGACCCTCGATGATCCACAAACTTCCAATGGGCATAAGATCGTGAAGAAGGGCGAGGCGGTTGAGGACGTCGCCTCATCATCTAAGCAAGAGCTTTCGGCAGACGCTGGTGTGGACACCCCAACTGGGAGTGATGACACAGCAGAAGACGCCACCTCTTCGAAGACAAAGCCTTCAGCAAACGATGATCCACAAACTCCCAATGGGCATAATATCGTGATGAAGGGCGAAGCGGTTGAGGACGTCGCTTCATCATCTAAGCAAGAGCTTTCAGCAGACGTTGGTGTGGACACCCCGACTGGGAGTGATGACGCAGCAGAAGACGCCACCTCTTCGAAGAAAAAGCCTTCAGCAAACGATGCTGACGAGACCCCAAAAGGAAGTGATCCGCCAGGACTCGACAAGGACGATGAGGACAAAGATGAGGACGAAGATGAGGATTCCGATAAGGACTTCAATGAGGACTCCGATGAGGACGAAGATAAAGATACTGACGAGGAAAGGATCGTGGTGATTCAGCGACCAGATGAGTGCGGCACTCAATAGGCACAAAGCATCAAGCATTCTTCTTGAAAAAGCTAATTTAGGCCCTTTTGACCGATGATTATTGGACTTTCAATCTCTTCAATAAAAATCCAATAATCCTTACTAAATGTGTTTGAAAAGATGGGATAATTGATTTGGGACATCTCTGTCCGCTATAAGCTGCCATGCATTTTATTAAGCCTGATCAATCAGCTGGGTTTTATTAATTCAAAATTGGTTCCAACGGGAATTTATATTTAAAATACATATATATTTGAAAAAACCACTTTAAGAGAACAGATCTTTGCTGACCCGTTTAAGTATCTGCAACGAAAATTGAATAAATTGCTTTACTAATAAATGAATTAATTGGCCCCCACGCCAGGATCTCCTCACTGTGGTTGGAGCCCCATTACTTCTCGACTTAGAGGTCCTTGGCCCACGCCTTTTCGGCCGTTTTGGTTGGCGGGCATTATCGCTGTCGTCATCGCCATTTGTTGTCGGTTATCACGGCAGGTTGTCGCCTGATATTACGGCCATATGGCGATGGCCTGCAGCTCCGCAAGGAACTCACCTCCACCGCCGAACTCCGAGCGGAGCGGAGTGGGTCCTTGCAAGCGATTTCGGAATTTGTATTTAGGAGGAAGGATATTCTTTTTCAGGGGGAGAAAGTGAAAGGAAAGGGGGGAAGGGGAATGGTTGAAGGTAAAGGGGAAGGGGAAGAGGGAGAGGGAGCCACAACAAACGGCGCAGCGGCAGCGGCGTCGACAGCGGCGCAGCTGCAAGCAAAGCAGCCGAACGGGAGCCGAAGGTAAGTGACGAGCAGAGCCGAAGGAGCAGCGTCACTGCCGCCGATTACTTATAACTCACCACGCGACTGGCGGAGGACACAGTCGTCGACCGGCTTTCGCAGCGAGCGCTTCGTTTCGAGAACTTCGAACCGGGTTTCCGCTATTTACCGTTAGTTAGCCGAGTTAGCCAAAACAAGGCAAGAGCGAGCAACGGTAACGTAAGCCAAGTGTTGTCAACACGTGTGGGGAGGACTCGCCTTCCGTTTTTTACGGCTTACGTGACAAGGATCGCTTGTTGTTTCGTGGGCGGCTTATTGGATTTTGATACGGAACAGGATGGGATATTCCTTCTCGTCTTTTTTTTTGTTGAGTGAAACTTGAAACGCTTGTGCGCGCGAAAAGGAGTGAAAGTTATTAATCATTAAAGGACATTTATGTCGCGTGCTGTCACACACACACTACCGCACACACACACACACTCTAAAATGTTTGCCGCAAATTTAGTTTGCCTTGTGGTTGCCTTTGTTGTTGTTGTTGCTGTTTGTTGTTGTTTCTTTTGCCTTTGTTTTGCGGTAACGGGTCGGCGAGGCTTACGAAATAATTTATTTGCCCTCATGCAGACAAGCAGCGTCGCATAATATTTATTTTGAGCCCGTCCGAAGGTCCTGGGGAAGCCATCAAAGTCCTGTGCCAAATTTAAAACAACGACGCGGCAAAAGCAAGCGAGTGCTCTCGAGTGGATGTGGATGTTTTGTGAATGAATGAAGGAGTGGAGTGAATGAGTCGAAGGAGTGAGTATGAATGAACGGGCGAGTGCAGCGAGGAGTGCCTTCCTTTGTCCACCGATTGACAGATCTCCGAGTGAATCCTACTGGAAGGAGCTGCCAGTGGACTGAAGTCCATTTAAAACCGTTCAGTCGGAAGATTTCAGAACTGCCATTCCACAAACAAATGCCGATTTTAACAGTATTTCGGAAAGGTTCTCAGGGAATTATTCCATTTGTTCGAACAGCTAATTTCTACTTAGACGGAAAAAGATTTGCCTGCCAGGATCAGTAATTTTTATTTATCTCCCTTTATATAAATTTGATACGGCAAATGGGATAATAATCATCCATGTTTCTGGATGTTCAAGTTCTATTTGTCAATTGAGTGCATAAATTCAATAATTCGAGTTATTAGGAAAGGCTTAATAAAACATTTTCAACTAATGCACTTTTGGTAGCTTATGGTAAAGTGCAGCATTCGAGTAAGGGAATTATAAGGAAATAAGTGCGAACGTTTGAACTTATGTTATCTAGATTTTCCTTGACGTGCAATTAATCAATCATTTTCATGGTTATTGAAATGTCACTGTTGGCAAGTAGTACTGCGTTTTTAAAGTACGCATTTTAATACAATAAAGATTGTATGATAAACGGAAAATATATTGCTCTATAAGTGTCGTTTCCTGCAGCTCTAGTTTTGTACAATATATGGTATGAAGCTTACAGGAAAAATCCCAAGGCTTATGATCCCTACCAGAAGAGTTAATATTTCTCGAATTGATTTCGAATAGTTCTCGCCATATTTCCTCTGCCAAATACCCGCTCCACACGGCTCCAATTCACTTTGCTCCCGGGACGTACACTGTGCTATTATCCCCACTCCTCCATCCTCCATCCATAAACAGAGTGGAAATCACTCCGATCGAATCCTGGCCAGATTGAGTGCGACGGCTTAAATCACCCGGCACACACTGCCAGTGGAGCGCCACTTTACGAGTGGATTGAATCATCCGGGTCACATGGAGACGTGAAGGACTTACGGCCGGTATCCTTACACGGAACCAGGACATCACGGAGAGAAATCAACTCTTTGGAGTTGGGTACCAAAAAGATCTGCTAAAAATCTCTTTCTGCCAATTATTTGGAATTTATTGTTAAGGCCATACATTTGAAACTAGAATTTCGTTCTTGAAAGTTCTTCAAGTAATATAAATTAGCAATGGCGAAACATGTGGGATCATATGAATAAAATCTGGCTTAGCCGATAACAATGAACTGTTCCAATAATTCATACTTATCAAACAGTTAGCTAAAATCCATTCAAATCCATTTGGAGTTCAAAACCGCGTTCAAAAGTATAATCCCCCACCACTTTTGACTTGACTGATGGAGATTTTTTCCTGTGTGGGATTTGGGGACTCGGAAGGGGGAATTGGGGAGCTGATGGACTGGGAAACTGGTAAACTGGGGTATTGGATCGGATTTGAACGCCCCACTTGGGCGCTGACACAGCTGTTAATATAAATTCTCGCTGTCTGCTGCGATTCGCTTTGGCAACGATTTATGAAAATTGAAGTCTTTGTTTTATTATCCCGACACGGCAGCCAGTTGGAGTTGGAGGTGGATTTCGAGGTGGAGTCCTTTGATGCCGTTTGCTTGGTGTTTTATGCAGAGCAGACCAGCAACTACTCAATCCCTCCCTGAATTCGCCCTTTGGCGGCACTGATTTAGAGGCAAAAAGGCAGGTTAGCAGGTTAGGTTGGCAACCCAAAACCAAAAGCGACCTACTTTGATTTCGTTGGCCGTGTTTAGAGTTCATATTTGTGCGTTGTCGATTTTCGTGTAGTGTCCTTCGTCGTGTTCAGTTTGCTTTTTGCCTTTTGTTGACTTCGATTTGGCCAAAACCCCCCTCCCCCTCCCCCTCACCCTTCCCTCTTGCCACCGAAAATTCCCATTCGAATGGCTGGCCATAATTCAATTTTAGTTTTAATTTCCGCTCTTGGGCGTAAATTGCATTTGCATACTAATGCAAAAGTGGGTGATTGGTGTTGGTTTTAGCTTTGGGTGGAGTGTGGAGTGTGTGTTGTGTGTGTGAGTGTGCTTAACACGTTGTTAAATTCGACAAATCAAACACGCAGGCCCGATCCGCATATAGACCGCATATATAGTAGACTCGATCCGATTCGGTGAGAAGATGTCGGACGTGCCACGAATGCTGCTGCTCCTCCTGGCCGTCGTCCTGCCCCAAAGGCTTCCTTTCGTCGCCGGAGGATCCTGCCGGGAGGCGCAGCTCTGCTGCAACGGCAGAGACTCGTCCTGCGTCGTCCAGAAGGCTCCCATCAACGCCATCATCGAGGACCTCAGCGACAAGCCCTGCTACTGCGACCACGCCTGCCTCAAGCTCGGCGATTGCTGCGTCGACTTCAAGGACCACTGCGGAGGTAGGTGATCTATAAAAAATATCAAATATAAAATACACAGTATTAGGCCTAGTTTGGCAACTACTAAGCAGAGAAAGTGTGCCTCTGTAATGCGAATTTCAGATTCAAAAAGTAAACCTCACAACATATTGAAAAACCGTGAAAAAAAAATAATTATGCGAAGCGTTTTAATTTTTAAAATATAATAGGCATCCAGTTTTCTTTAAATGCCTTTTATTCCTTAATTTGAATGCCTTTTTTTTGTTACTACTTAACAAAAAGAAGGTGACTTTTTAAATCGACTTTTAGGTTCAAAAAATTAACGTTTTGTGAATGGTTCGGCAATGTTTGCTTCTTTTCTCTGTAAATATTGGGTTGGCAAGAAAGTCATGTCGTTTTTTTTCAATATTTTCAAAGATGATTTTTTTATATCAGGACTTATAATTAATCAATTATGTTCGACCACTAATGACCATCTTTCGGGCAGCTGCATAATTCCGCGCTCGAAGAACTTTTGGTCTTTTCCTACAGAGAATCGAGACAAGTGGTTTTCGACAGCCTCATCTGAATCAAAGTTTTTACCATTCAAAGAGTTTTGAAGAGAGCGAAACAAATGGTAATCTGAAGGTGCTAAGTCCGGACTATAAGGTGGGTGCGGAAGCACTTCCCAAATCAGCTCCGTTAATTTTTGCCGAGTGACCAAAGATGTGTGGGGCCTAGCGTTGTCATGGTGAAAGACTATACCCTTGCGATTAGCTAGTGTTGGCTCCTTTTCTTTAATTTTTTTCCGCCAAATTGAATAGCTGGCCACAGTACACATCTGAATTGATGGTTTCATTCCGTCCCAGCAGCTCACAGTGCACTACACCCTTCCAATTCCACCAAACAGACAGCATAACTTTCCTCTGATGGATATCGGCCTTTGATGTGGCTTGGGCTGGCTCATCTTTCTTGCTCCATGATCTTTTTCGTTGGACATTATTGTAAACAACCCACTTTTCGTCGCCAGTAATGATCCGCTTCAGAAAATGCTCGTTTTTAATCCGTTGCAGCAGAGAATAGCAGATGTTGATACGCTTAGTAAGGTGAATTTTCTTAAAGTATGCGGAACCCAAACATCGAGCTTGCTTACGTAGCCAAGTTTCTTCAAATGGTTTTCAACCGTTGAATGCGACAAACTGAGCTTCTCTGACATCTCCCGCGTTGAATAATGTCGGTTTTCATCTAGCAAAGCCTGAATTTGTTCGTCAAAAACGGCCGATGGTCGATCAGAACGTGGGGCGTCTTTAACTCCAAAATCTCCAAGCCTGAATTTGGCAAACCAGCGCTGACATTGGCGATCACTCATGGCATCCCAACCATACACTTCGCACAATTTTTCGCGAGCTTCGACCGCTTTTTTTCCTTTTCGGAAGTAAAAAAGCAAAATATGCCGAAAATGCTCACTTTGGCCCTCCATGTTTAATTTGCTATAGCTTCCACAAATGTTATCGAATAATTACCAAATTTTCGTCGATAGTACCTAAGACAATAAGCTTTAAAACGATACTAAAAAGTGTGACCCTGGTGCTCGATTAGTCGTAAATAAATTAGATTAAAAACGATTACTAAAAAAAACGACATGACTTTCTTGCCAACCCAAAAGATAAATAAAAAGAGCATAATTAAAGCTTGCCATAGTTTCTTATAAACTATCTACAATTGGTAATTAAGTTATTTCTATTCCTTGGTGGTATATCTTTTTCTCTTTAAAAAATAAGACCATAAATAATTATTAATTAATAATCTTGACTTATTTTGATTTCTTGAAAGGAGCCTGTTATCATGATAAAAATGGCCAATATGTCAAATATCCTTTTTAATTGGGACCTTATACCCAATATAAAATATTAAAAGGTTTTTAAGACAGTATGACATGTAAACATTGGTTTCTTGGAATTATCATATTAGTTTAATATGGATATCAACCTATATCAATCTATTTCAAATTGTGTCTGAAAAAATATCAGACAATGGATTATTTTTAGGTCAATTCTTTACTTAAGCTCATAATAAATGGATTAACATTAATTAAGAGTTCATTTTTTTAAATCTGCAGAAGATTACAAAGAAATATAATCAGCAACTAAGCCTCATTACGAAAATCACGATTTTATAAAATAAGCAATTTATTTATTTTGATATTGCTGGCAATTATTTTCCAAAAACTTTAATTGAACTTGTAAACTTTCAATTGCACTTGCTGATAGGTCTTTGCGTGAAAGTTTAGTCGTTTATAATTTATAATGGATTTCTAATTTTGTATGATTCGCAAAATTGGCGATGATTGGGCAATGTTTTTCGGTTTGGCTGCCCACTCCTCTCAATTTTCGGCAACGAAGTTGCAAAATTCATTTCGCAAATTGGAAAACAAATAAGCCCACTCGTGGTTTTCAACTGTCTGATTGAACAGCGTAATTACGATTGTAATGACTGGCGAGGAGAAACTCTTTGTTTGGGGTTTTCCCTCCTCCTCTATTGTTTTTTTTTTTTTTTTTTTGTGGCCCAAAGGCAACTCCAGACGAGACGAGAGTTCATTATCAAAGCCTAAACCCAAACCTAAAGTGATGGGCAAACAGGCGTGCCACATTCGGGGGCAGATTGAATGCGAATGCGAATGCGGCTCCGGGTTCGGGTGCATATAAAACTATGGCGGGTATATTCCCGCAGCCAGACGCACCACACACTCGCACACTAAACACACACACACACTAAACACCCACACACACAGACACAACTAGGACTGTGGTCGTAAAAGGCCAACTTAATGGCCATATCCCGGGCTAAAAGTCTGCATTCATGGCTCGTTGGGTCCACATGGCCTGTACAAGTGTGTGTGTGTGCGTATCTGTGTGTGCGTGAATGCGTGTGTGTGCAGATACAATTTGTTCTTTCTCATTTTTTTTTTTTTTTTTTTTTGATGGTTGTTTCCTTTTTGGAAAGTACAATAGCTAAAGGGCTTTAATTTTATTACATACAGCAAATAAAGTCAACGAACATGCGGCGGCCTTCCAAATTAAATAAGACGCAGACACGACAGAGATAGCGACTTGGCCTGAAGTTTCGGCCGGAGTTTTTCGTGCCAGCTGCGGCTACAAGTTGAGAGATGCCAAAAATAAGGCCAAAAACAGGAACAAAAAAATATATATATAAAACAAAAAAAAACAAAAAAACAGAAGTAAAGTGAAGTGAAGGCAAACTGCGAACAGCCGCAATTTCGGTGGCAGAAATTCAGGGACAACTCGAGGGCTTCGAGCGGAGAAGGCTCCTCCAATCGGAATCGGAATCCGGAGCCCGCTGGTTCCGGCGAATCTCGAGAGCCGCAGAAGGCGACGGCCCAAAGTTTACTTAATTTTGCATTCAATTTGATTTTATTCCCCGACGCAATAGTGCTCCATTCCCGCTCCCCATTCTCCATCCTCCGATCTCCATCCTCCGTTCTCTGTCCCAATTAAAAGTCGAAAGCAAAGACCGTCCATCTGGCATCGGAAGCTGCCATAAACACGGCCGTAGACAAAGCCGGAGATGCGGAGGCCGGCAGACAATAACGCACACAACAAAACACAACACAACACACAGCGCAACACACAACACAACACAACTAGAGAATCATTTGAGTTGCCTGTTGACTGGCTAACTGGAAAGGTGGTCCGCCGTTGGCAGGATAATCGGAAAAACGGGTTAAGGGGAGGCGGTTCGGTGGAAAAGTTCCCGCGAGAAAATCGGGCTGTTCAACAAGCAAGCGGGTGCACCTTCCTAAAAAAAATCTCATAGTATTTAGTCTAATTTTTACCCTTGAAAAACGCGATGCTGATACCTAAAATAGAATTTTTTATTATTTGTCCATCGTGGTCTCAAATCTTAGAATTATAATAACTTTCTTCACTGTATACCAGAAGCAAAGGCAGTTGTACTAAAAATTCAGACAACACGTCTTTAAAAATATAAATACTATAAAAATAATATGAATTATAATTAGATATAACACGATAAATACATTATCACAAAGGACAGACGGATTACTTAAAGTGCCTTTAAATGACTTCATAGATTCTTTTTAACCATTTATTTTTAACCATTTATTTTGGTAGGACTGCAATACAAAGCCACTGCAGTTCCAAGGCTAAAAATAATGCTAAATGCTTATATCCAGTTTCCAATGCAAACAAATTACAAACTCTTCAGTATTCATTGAGTTTCTAATGCAACAAAGCGGAAATGCCGATGTGGCAGAGCTACTATACATATATCATTAAGTCCAAATTAAATTAGACGAAATGCCTTTGGAGCCGTGCAGGAATATTTAAACAACTATTTAGCAATGCGAATTCGAATGAGCCTCTGCAGATATCATCGCCATTCGAATAAATCCTGTACAAACGACCAGGACTTCTTGAGCGCTCCTTCAGACTTGCTTCTCTTTGTTTTTATGTTGGTCCGCCTGGCTGGCTCGGGGATTAAAGTTGAACGCGTATAACTACCAATTAAGTTGGTAAACATATAGTCCTATAAACATGAGAAGCCCAGACAGAAGGCAGAAGACACAGGACTCAGGACGCAGGACGCAGGACACGGAAAACAGAAGGCAGACAGACGAGGAACATAGTTAAGTTGAATGCGTATGAAGCGATAAATGTCAAGTTAAACGGGATGATGGGGATTGGGGGGTTTTGGGGGGTGGATCCGGGGGAAAAGGTCCAAGGAGCGGGCCGGCATGTCCTTTGGATCCGCCACGGATAAGCATCCACCCGATGGCAGTTACATATGCTCCTCTCCGCCGGCGGCTCAATCAATCAAAGTCGTCTTTGTGTGGAAATAAATGAATGTAACTGTGGCAGATAGCATTCGAGAGCAGGGTTTGTGTTCATCTATTGATTCCGAATCGGTCCGTCATATCCTTCCTGCCGTCTGCTCCTCCCCCTTATCCTTCCTCTCCTTCTGACCACTAAAGCTCCGCTGCTGTGGTGGCGTGCAACAAATGG